GCATCTTCTCAGATCACAATGGCTTGAAACAGGAAATCAACCTCAAGGAAAAAACTCATAACATTCAAATACATGGAGGCTGGATAACATGTTATTAAACAATGAGTGGGTTAACAATGAGATCAGGTAGAAATCAAAAAGCACCTGGAAACAAATGAAAATGAACAGACAACGTCCTAAAACCTATGGGACACAGCAAAGGCAGTCCTGAGAGGGAAGTTCATAGCATTACATGTCTACCTAAACAAGACAGAAAAATCTCAAATACACAACCTAACCTTATACCTAAAAGAACTAGAGGAACAACAACAAACAATGCCCTTGTGTGATTTGGTCTTCCCTGTGACCTCTTGGACACCCTGCCGCATAGTGTACTTGGAGCCACCACTGCATGGGAGCAATCTGCTACTGTATGGCTAGCAATGTGAAGGGGATACAATTAAACAGCATCCCGACTCAATGATGAAAATCATCTTTCCAAATATTATTCAAGGAGCACTCCAACCCAGGAGGACTACTAAAAACTGACTCATGGTATGGGAAAAAATATGAAGAAATAATATTCAACATGCAGATTGCCATGTGTGTTTTCTGTATTAATAAATTCTGCCAGGTAGAGAACAAGAGCAACTATATATAGCACTTGTGAGACATGTTAGATATAAAGTAGAGTTTGTATGTCCTAAAAATAGGAAGGGAGAAGAGCAAAATGAATATAGAAAAGCACATATCATATTACCTCCAGATTGGCAGTTACACTGTTCCTAAATGTGCCACCTATTCTGACTCCATGTGTTTTCTGACCAAGAAATGCAGATAAAAGCCACAGCTGCTCAACAGGTTATGGGTGAGGTACAGGCAAGTTACAACTGTGGCAAGGAGGACTTGCCCCTGTGTTTCTCCAATAGAATATATGTGTGTTGGCTTCAGTCAGCCTGCTCAGCTCCCATACTCATCCCGACATTGGCCTTGTAATCATACTGTAAGATGGCAAGGCTGATAAGGCAGAGAGATAGAACATTAGTCACTGAGTAACAAAACATTTGGTAGTATAATCCTTCCATCCCACTTGTACTTATCCTAAGTATATTAATCTCCCCCATCTCCCCCCCCACACACACACACACTTGTTTCTCACTGTATGTTTTAAGTTGATTCAACAAAATAATTCAATTTAAGCATTTTAATTTGGTCTATGGCCTGTTCAGTGATTTCATCATGGCCTGCCTGGTAATGTTCTCAAGGCTACCAATGAGTAAAACTATTTTCTATCACAACATTGAAGTACACAGGAAACAGTGATGCCCTGGCTGAGTAGCTCAGTAGGTTAGAGCGATGTCCAGGTATGCCAAGGTTGTGTTTGATCTCCAGTCAGAGAACATACAAAAATTGACCAACGAATGCATTGATACGTGGAACAATAAGTCGATTTCTCTCTCTCTTAAAAAAAAAAAATCAATCAATAAATAATTTTTTTAAAAAACCAGAGTGAAAGGAAGAAGAATGCCATGAATGAAAAATAGCACCAGTTTTCATTATCAGCAGTGTTCACCAGGATAGACTATGTTCTGGGCCTTAAAACAGACCTTAACAGGTACAGAAGAGAGACAGATTTGTAAACACTGGGACAAGGTCCTGCCTGAGAAGCCCCCGGATAAAGACACCGTCACCCTATCTCACCAGGAGGCAAAACCTTCAACTCAGGACTTGGGGGATAAGAAGGAAGAATAATACATTAAACTCAATGTCATTGGACGGGATAACAGTGAGATTCACTTCAAAGAAAAACTGATGACATATCTCAAGAAACTCAAAGACTCATACTGTCAAAGATAGGGAGTTCCAATGAATTCAGTCAGGTTTCTCTTTGAAGGTGAAAGAATAGCTGATAATCATATTCCAAAAGAACTGGGAATGGAGAAAGAAGATGTGATTGAAATTTATCAGGAACACACAAAGGGTCATTCAATAAGCTTAGATATTGTTCTTATTTTTTTTCTTTTCCCTCAACCATTTTTTATTTTTAAAAACAGTTATTTTGTAATAGGGTTTTCAAAATAGGATTGAAACTGGCACCGCATCTCTTTAAAACGTGTGGTAATTTGAACACTACTATCCATTATTCATTGTTTGCTTTCATTGTGCTGATTTCTGGTCATCAAACCTCAGGCCCTCTTTCGAAATATTACATGTGTGCACAGGGAGGCCACCTTTTTCAGGACTGCATTTTCAGGGTTGTGATAAATAAGGTTGACCAAGGCAAGCGTTCATAATAACTCTTCAATTGGCTCGGAAGTTCTAGCATGTGTTTGCTTCACTACTGGACTATGACTTTCAGTGGGAGATGGAAGTTTTTCAGAGAATTGAACTGTGGGAAAATAACCTTTTCTTAACTTGAAGCTACTTTTAAATCTGAGGGACTGGACTAACAGAAGAGGAATATCAGACTGGAGTCAAGATGACAGAAAAGGTGAGAGTCAAGACCAACTTCCAAGATGGCTTCACTGAAGAGAAAGCATTTTAAGAGTCAAGAAAAATCTTGTCAAAAGATCCCAGAAAGGCTCTAATTTTCATTAGCAATTCATAAAGTTATTCATGAAGAAGTGTGTACAACAGAAAACTATACTTTTTAAATTTTATTTATACTTTTTGGCCTAGGATATGGGTTTTAAATGGACATTGTCTGTACCAGCTTCATTAAAATAAATGAAATATTTGTAAAAATCATTTTTAAAAATAACAAATTTAAAAGAATAGAAATCATACAAATGTCTATAGTTAAAATTTATGACAGAGACCTTAACCTGGACAGAAACTGGGAGGACCTGTGGGAGGAACTATCACACTCCATGTCATCAAAAGAGCTCTATGCGAAGAAATCTATGTATACAACATAGCTCTATGTTGAGCATAGGTCGTAACAGCCTCTCCCCTTAACTCTCTCTTCCATTCTATGAAGTACTTCCTTTATCTTTCTCCAGTTTAGTTCATGCATGTGGCTCACCATGTTTCCACTGGATTGAAATCCTTTCTTGTTCCTGAATAAATTCTTTTGGTGATGAATGCCTAGTTGATTTTGTTTTATGGTTGACAGTGTTCTTAGACCACAATGGAATTCAACTAACAATCACCCGAAGGATCGCTGAAAAATCCCAAACTGCTTGGAGATTAAATACATTTCTAAATAACACATGGATCAAAGAAGAAATCTCAAGACAAATTACAGAATACTTTGAACTAAATGAAAATAAAAAAACAAAATTTGTGAGATACAGCAAAAACATTGCTTAGAGGGAAATGTATAGCATTGAATGAATATACTAGAAAAGATCTAAAAGCAATCATCAAATTTTCTACTTTAAGAAACTAGAAAAAGAAGAGCAAACTAAATCAAAGTAAGCAGAAAAAAAGAAACAAAAATTAGAGAAGAAATCAATGAAATTGGAAACAGGAAATCAATAGAAAAAAAATCAATGAAACCAAAGCTCGTTCTTTGAAAAAATAAGTAACATCAATAAACTTCTAGCCAGGCTAACTAAGAAGAAGGAGGGAAGACACAAATTACTAATACCAGAAATGAAAGAGGGGACATCAATACAGATCCCATGGACTTTAAAAAGATAACAAAGCAATACTATGCCCACAAATTTGATAATTTAGGTGAAATGTACCAATTCCGTGAGAGACATAATTTTCCAAAACACACCAAAAAAATGAATATGCCTATATCTATTAAAGAAATTGAGTCAATAATTAATAACTGCAAAAAGAAAGTACCTGGTCCCAATGTGTTCACTGGTGAATTCTAACAAACCTTTAGAAATTATACCAATTTTCTACAATATCTTCCAGGAAATAGAAGCAGAGGGAAAACTTTCTGACTCATTCTATGAGGACAGCATTGTGCTAATGCCAAACAAAAGGACGAAGGTTATTGCTAGAAAACCACAAACTATTTCTCATGAACACAGATGCAAAAACCCTCAATAAAATATTTGCAAATCTAATCCAACTAAATTCCTTTCTAAAGATCATTAATACTATCCATTTTGGATTAGAGAATAGAAATTAAATGCATAACACATTTACCTTTTTATCTATTTCTTGGGTGCTCCAATGACACTGCAATCCTATATGTCCAGAGATGATCACTTTGAGAGTTGTCATTAATTTTCTGTGAGTTGAGTGATTCAACCCAAGATGGACCAGGTCTTTTTTTTTTTTCCCCCCTTCAATTCTGGGCACAGATCACAGTTCCTGGCATCATAATAGACGTCTACAATGTTTGGTGGGTGATTGATATGAGACTTGTTGAGACAATTTGAAGATCGTAATCAAAGCAGGGGCACCCCCCAGCTGGCTTGCCTGCCTGGAATATTATGTCCAGCCACAGAGTCAGGCTGCAATTACCTCACGCGTTTATTCAGTTTATTTCTTTAGCTCTAAAACTACACCAAACATTCAGGTCGAGTGTTGAAGCCACGGCTCTCAGGCCCTCGATTTTTAAACTGTGGGTCATTAAATCTGTCGATTACGACCAACATTTTGAAAACTAATATAGGCTTAAACACATCAAAGTGCTGCTCATATCCTTTTGTTTCCGATTTTTTGCGGATGTGTTGGGTCACGTTGTAAAAGTGACGGGTGTTTGGGATCACGGTTTCAAACGTTTCCGGCGTTGAGTAGGGTGAAGCGCAGAGAGCTTCAGGGAAGCCCCAAGGCTAGCAGGGCACAGACGTCGGCGCCTCAATTCGCACAGACGTCCCACTCACACGATTAAGAGAGCAGATTGGTCAGATCGTGAAGGTCGGCCCACAACTTCTCGTCCACCAATGAATGTTGAGGCGATGGAGGAGCGACGCACGCGGGACGAGGCTCGCGGGCTCCTTAAGTAGCGGCTGCCTGGACGCTCTTGTAGAAGAGCCACCCGACGTCCCGGTGGGGTGGTGCAGAGCCCAGCGGGAACGATGTCGGACGTGCCGAATGTTCTTCACGGTACCATGTCTAGGCAAGAAGTGGGCGCCAACGCCTTCTCCTGGGTCGTTGCTTCTCGGCCAAGCGCGGCAGTGTCCCAGGCTCCGGAACGGAGGCCGGAGGGAGAGCCGAATCGAAGAGGTCGAGGGGGCCGTCGGGGCGGCAGAGACAGCGACTGGAGGGACATCTCCAACCTCCAGCAGCCTGTGGCCGCTGGTCCTTGGGAACCGCCGCTCTGCTTTGGATTGAAGAATGACTGGGTTGGCGTGGTGATCGGTGAGAGCTGGAGGATGGGTGTGCCGAGCAGGACCGGGAGAGGAGAATGGGTGGGGCCAGGGTGGGGCCAGGGCATGGGCTTCTACGCTTCTACTGTGCCCTCGCCTTACCTCCAATCAGTTGCCACCTAGTAAGACTCAGGTCTCTCCCGGTGACATTTTTAGTGTCTTGTGGTACTAGAATGATGTCATTTAAGGCACCTTTTGTTGTTTGTGGAGACAGTGTTTTGGAAGAACAAACTCGTAGAAGACTTAAAAAATCTTTGGGATAAAAGGTCAGGCTTACCCCCAAATCAACTACAAAACAGTGCTGAAATCAAGCTTTTTGAGCACTGTATAGAGTCCTTAACCAAAATAAGAAGGTAGAAGATATTAAAGGGCCATTCAGAGAACTAGCCACATCTTGCACATAGTTTTAATTAAATATTATTTTTTTATCCACACCCTAGGACATTTATTTCATTGCTGTTAGAAACAGAGGAGGGCAGGGTTGGGGGGGGGGGCGGGAAGAGAAAGAGAAATAATGATGTGAGAGAGAAACACCTATTGGTTGCCTCAGTACCTGCTCCGACCAGGGATTATCCCACAGCCTTACAGTGTGCAGGACCGGGCACAAACAATAAACAGCCACACTGACCAGAGCTAAATATGATTTGTCTGCTGAAAAACAGGATCTTTTTCTTATTATGTCTTGAGTCTTACAAATTCATTTTTGAAAAGTATTTAGAAATTATTGGAATTTAGATTTGCTCCATCTATTGCCATTAAGTTGGAGGATGAATTTCAACATTTTACCATTAGGTATGGGAGCTGATACTTTGTTTTACCTTCCCCCCTTTTAACTTGTTTTGAAAAAAATAAACAGATTTTATAGGCTGCTATGAAATAGAGCACTATAAGACTGATTGCTTGACCAGCAAGAGATTGACCCCTCAAGGTGTCTTGGGCTCAAAGATCTGAAGAGTGATGCTCCATAAATGAAAGGCACAAAGTTTGCAATAAAAATCACTTCAGCCCTTGCTGGTGTGCCCCAGTAGGCTAAGCACAGGCCTGTGAACCGAAAGGTCACTGATTCCGATTCCTGGTCAGTCTCATGCCTGGGTTGCGGGCCGGGTCCCCAGTTGTGGGCCTGCGAGAGGCAGCTGATCGATGTTCCTCTCCTCCATCCCCATACATCAATGTTTATCTCCCTCCCTTCCCCTCCCTCTATAAATAAATAAATCCTTTTAAAAAATAAATAAAATTTTAAAACTTTTTAAAGTCACTTAAGCTCTCAACATGTATTGAGCACCTGTGAAATACAAGCACTGTGCTAGAGAGTACCCACTCGATGTTGATTCTGGATCCAATTTTTAAAAATAAATACAACTTTAACTTACAAAACAACTTTAAATGTAAAGTACCGTATCAATAACTATAAGAATACTGTTTCATAGTAGATCTCTAGAATGTTTTCATCTTGCATGGTTGAACCTACCCATTGAATAACTTTCCAATTCCCTCATTGCCCATCCCCCATCCTTGGCAACCACCATTTTACTTTGTTTTTCCAAGTTTGATAACATCAGACTCCTCATGGAAGTAGAGTCACATACTATTTGTGCTTTCATGATTGGCTTATTTCACTTAGCATAATGTCCTCCAGTTTCATTCCTATTGTCAAAAATGGCAGGATTTCTCTTTTTTTTAGGCTGAAAACTTCCATTGTATGAACATTCCATACTTTCTTCATCCAGTCATCTGTTGACAGACATTTAGGTTGTTTCTACCTCTATTGTGAATAATGCTGAAATGAACATGAGAGTGCAGATACCATTTTGAGATCTTGAATTCAATACTTTTGCATAAATACCGAAGTGGGATTGCTGGAGTATACTGTAATTCCATTTTTAATTTTTTAAGGAACCTCTGTACTGTTTGCTATTGTGGCTTTACCACTCTACATTTCTATCAAAGTACAGAAGGGTTCTCCTTTTCTCCACACGCCCCTGAACGCTTACTTCATCTTTTTGATGATGGTCATTATAACAGCTATGAAGTGATTTCTTACCGTGGTTTCAATGTTTGCATTTCCCTAATGATTTCAGTATCTTACCACATATGCCTGTTGGACATTTTTACATCTTCTTTAGAGAAATGTCTATTCAAGATCTTTAACCATTTTTAATTGGATTTTTTGTTGTTGAGTTGTGTGCAGGGTTCCAATTTCTCCACATCCTTGCCAACTTTAGATCTAATTAGTTTGCTTGGGCTGCTAATGAATCCTTAGTACCTACCTCCAGGAAATAAGCCTCTTACCATCCACCAAAATTTGGGATAGAAAACGCTTGCTTTCCTTTTTTCAAACTGAAAGAAATTATTGGACCCTAGGAGCCTTTGTCTGGATGACCTGAAAAAGAACTAGAGACAGTTCTTTAAGGAAAGTAGATAAAATCCCCATAGTGATTTCAACTTGCTTTTTTTTTAACCAAAGAATAACACCTTTATTAAATTTGTACCCAGAAAATTGTAGGCAGAAAATAAGTAAGCTAAGAACACAGTAATAACTTCCATTTCTTGCCACAAATTTAAAAATTTGATAAACCTATATACTTCTCATCACAAGCAGATATGGCATGCAAAAGATAATGAGATTATCTCTTCAACTTGAATGCATGAGTTTGGAAAATAGTCATTGACTTACTAGTTGATATTACTACTTCAAGTTAAAGAGACTCTTAGGCAAGTGTTAATGTATAGTACTCATAGATACAGTATACAGTAGTCAGATACAATATAATGTACAGTAGTCATAGATACAGTAAAAAAAGTCTTTATTTTTAAAAACAGGTCGTGGTGGGTCAAAAATAAAAGACATCCAAAGTACAACAAACACCAAAATACAGGTAAGTGATCTGTGTTCTTAAATCCAGAACAAGCATAGTTCATTCCTAATTCTAGTTTCTGCTCAGTTGTTAACATACTGTGGTAACTTGGATAAATTGCCAAAGCTCTTCATACGGCCGTTCTTTAGAAGAGCTCACCTGAGCTATGGGCCATTCTAGGTGTCGGGGGGTTTTGTGACTCATACATGTAAAAACCTTTAGAGGTAACCTTTACTAAAGAATGGGATCTCTGGGGACTGTTTGTCCTGCCTTTGTGACCCCCATTCCTCAAACCTTGACCTGTTCCTATTTCCCAGTCTCAGTAAGCAACTACGTAATTCATGGAGTTCCCAAGCAAGAGTCTCAGATTACTAACTTCTCATTACCCTACAGCCAGTCCATCACTGTTGAGGCCTTTCTATTTCCCTTATTTTTCAAGGGAAGTCACATCATTTGGGGCATTCTCCCCTAACTGAAGCAAGTGCTTCCAGTGGTCCTCTAACCATTCTCCACTGTGGCCAGAGCAATCTTTCCAGACACAAATTATGTGTGTTCATGACCTTTTCCTGCATAAAAGCCTTATACAATATCTCAGACACTGATGGCAGTACTATATTTACTTGATACTTTTAGAAGTTGAGCGATTGTTGGAGGGGCAAGTGGCAAGGGGACTTCAATCATACCAATTTTTTCCCTTGTATATAGGTAATAAAAGGGTGTCCTGAAGCAGAAATCAAAATTTTTGGTAGCAAGGCAATGCAGAAAAAAGCAAAAGCAGTGATAGATAATCTTGTTAAAAAACAACAAAATTATAACTCACAACCCAGAGCTGGTAAGTAAATTTTGCCCACTAAAGCCCTGTAAAATTTTTTAAAATTTCATTTTGTTTTATAAGCCATATTATAGCTGATGCTTTTATTGATAATAAAGCTTTAGGTTGCTATTATTAAATCTAGTCTTGTTACAGAATTTTTTTCTGTGGAATCTAGGATGCTCTTAATCTCCTTGGTTAAACCTTGCAGTTTTATTTTAGCCACAGATGAGTGAGAAAAACAAAACACTAACTTTTTAAAAAACATTCTTCTTAATGATGGAGCAATAATTAGTCCTGGGCCCATCTCTATAATCTCTTCCCCGGAATGTGACTGGCTTTGAAAATTGCCTGATTATTTGGTATTTTAGAAATCTCAGATCTGCTTGAACTAAAGAAAAAGCTATTATTGAACCATTTACAGAAGCAGTAAGGAAGTAAAAAAGAACAGAATCTCGTGTTCAAATGGAAGTGTTGCCTGTAATGTTTCTTGGGAAGGAACCCCCAAGAATCCTGTAAGACTCCATTTCTTCATCTGTTAACCTGGAGTGATGTCTTCCTCACGGGGTTATTGTAAAGATTAAGTGACTTGTGTGATTTATTAGTAGACGCTAGGCTTTCATGCTAATTAGCTTCTCCAGTAAGTTACATTTTTTCCCATGTCATGAAAATGAAGCAAGTAACTGATGACAAAAACCATGCCCAGAATTGTCATGGCACCGTAGCACTAAAATGCTACATTTTATATTGCAAGCATCACTGTCGGTTATTAAAACACAAAGTCCTAAAATGCTTCTGGGGATTTTTGTACTGATAGGATTTGTTTGGAAACTAATCAGGTAAAAATGTTTTAACAGATCTTGCTGAATGCCAACCTTCTGTTCAAAGAGATGTAAGGGCAGGTGACAGTGTTGTTACAGAAGATCAGCCACTAATTGATTGGGATCAAATTCGAGAAGATGCTTTGAAATGGGAGGAAAAAAAGTGGGCAGGTTAGTGCTGTATTCTAACATTTACATGTGGTATTGGTGTGTCTCTTAATTGAGGTTTTTATTCTCTGCAAAATGTGTTAGTTTTAATAATGAGATGTATATGAAAAATGATAGTAAAATTTGCAATGCTGTAGTTCCTAGGGCATGTTACTTCCAGTGTTGTCTGAGTTGTGATTTATGCTATAAATGGGAAATTACAATATTAAACTTACCTATACCTTGTCTTATTTGAGATAACTTACTATAAAAGTTTTATAAAATAGAAAATCAGGCCCAAGGGGAAAATGAAGGGAATAAACGCGCTGACCATGAGTTGTTAACATTGTTGCTGCGACTGAGCACAAGTTGATCTTGGAGGATCCTGACTGACAAGGGCAAAATGAAAAGGGAAAAACATTTAATGAACATGCAGTTCTTGAGAAGAGATCAGTTTTAAAAATGTGTTTAATTTTAAATGAAATTATTGTTTGGAGTTATATATGGAATAAAATGTTCCACATTATAGTCACTGAATTTCAGAGAAAGTTTGAACACTAAATTTGGCTATTGGAATAAGGCAGCAATACATCATTTATTTAAAGTTAAAAAGCTAATGCACTAATATATGACAAATATTAGCCATGATTAATTCCACTATGGCAGTCAGCCTGTCTGCACGCTAAGCTTCCAGTGCCACCTTGACAAGATACGTGTTAGGGAGATTTGGGATGAATGGCCATAGAAAGGATTAAGTTTGGAGGAGAAACAATAGGCATTTATGAAAAAAAGATAGAGTAGCTTCTTAGAGTAGAATAAGGATAAATATTTTATTCCTGAACAGTAATGGGATAGACCTTCAAAGAAAAGATAATATCAGTTTACTATGTTTGAGAGAAGATTCATCAATTGTGATGATCATGTCTTATAAAGCTTGTTTTTTTCCTTTTATACTTAATTTTATAATTAAAGATCTCTTGCTTGTGTGAAAAATATAATTAAAAAACAAATCAAAAAGGGAGATCTAGATTCCAGCCTAAGCCTGGCTGGCAAAGTGTGCAACAACTACCTAAAACTGTATAGATGCAAACTGAACCTGGTATGTATTTTGTTTGATTTCTGTTACTTTGAATAACAATACTTTGGGCTATTCAAAGTATTAACATACTTTCAAAGTATGTTAATACTTTGAATAGCCCAAACTGGAACATAGTATAAAGTCAATGAAGTGTAAATTGCTATTATTTATCAAAGTTTGAATTTCATCTCTGTCCCAGATTTACCCCCAATTAAGAAAAACTTTTATATGGAGTCGGAAACAACAAGATCAATGTTACAAGCGCAAGTAGACATTTGGAGGTGGGTTGTTTTATTACTTCTTTAAGTGAGTATTTGTATAGTTACATTATTAAATTAACTCAATAGGCAAAGATTTGAAATGATTGACTTTGAAGTCTACATGTTTCATATTCAAACAAAAACTTGGTTGCATCCTATATGATATATATGAGAGTATTGCTAGTCAATAAAACTTTCTGCAAAGATGGAAAATGGGCTATATTTGTGTCTGATAGAGTTGTCACTATCCATATATAGCTCTTGAACCCTTAAAATTGAGAAATTGAATTTTTAATTAAAAAATTTAAACTTGAAAAGACATGTAGTTAATGCCTGCTGTATTGACTAGCAGTTTTAGAGAATCATTTCTACAATTGTTGGAAATCATAATAAATTGATCTGTTATCTGAATAATAGAATTATTTCTTACTCTTCAGTCCTTATTATCTGGAATTAAAGGTCCTAAAGGCAACATTTTTAAAGGTAGTATCTGCTATAAAATTAAGATAGCAGAAACAATAGTTTTTCCAGGGTTAGGGTAGGGCTCAGACCTTGGACAAGTAATGAGTATTCACCTGCCAAATGAGAATAATTCTCACTTCACAGGATTGTTGAGATTAAAATAAAGAAATATGTGTGGAATATTGTAGGCCTTCAAGCTTTTGCCAAATCTGACTTTGAATCATGAAACATAAAATTTTCAGGCTCTATTCTTAACCTTTCCATGAAACTTTCATTGGCCCATTCACACATACAATGTAATTTTTTCCTTCTTTCTGCAACTGTTCTGAAAAGAAGAAGATGGGCTGACTTCTACTTCTTAATTATTACATTTTACTGTAACTTTACTATCAGTCTGGTTTTAATCAGTTGCAGTTGAATTTCTAGATATAGCGGAACTAATGCCAGAAAATTTCTTGCTTTTTAAGTAAAATGACCAAGGCCAATAGTATTTGTGCTGTTTTTCCTTAAAGGAAGGAGAATTACAATATAGTGTGTGATGACTTGAAAGATGGTGAGAAACGTCCTGTCCCCAATCCTACTTGTACATTTGAGGATGCTTTTGAGTGTTATCCTGAAGTTATGGAAAACATTAAAAAGGCAGGTTTTCAAAAGCCAACACCAATTCAGGTATGCTGAATAATTCTTTAATTCATATATTTCACTAATGGTTTTCCCCCTAAACAATATCTGTTAGAAGTTAAATCACCAGGGAGCAACTATCTCTTGTGAGCACTCCCCCAGCACCTCCTGCACCTCCAGTTCCTCGCACTCTGAAAATATTTGTTGGAAAAAGTTTGGGGCTAGGAGAGGAGGGACACTTGACACAAAGAAATGCACTTTTTTCTTTCATTATTTATCATTCTGTTTCAGTCACAGGCATGGCCAATAGTTCTGCAAGGAATAGATCTTATAGGAGTAGCCCAAACTGGAACAGGGAAGACACTGTCCTACTTGCTGCCTGGACTTATTCACTTGGACTCTCAGCCAATGTAAGAATTTCTACAGCTGAGTTCTCTATAGGGGTTTAATAGATATGGATACCAAAAATGCAATTAAAGTTTCTTTGATAGATTGCATTGGTCAAAAGGTAATGCCTAGTCTCGGGAAAATACACTTGTTCTGTGCTGGTGAAAGTATAAATTTAAAAAACATTTTTGGGAAGTGCTCTGGCCAGTGTGGCTCAGTTGGCTGGGCATCGTCTGGCAAACTGAAAGGTCTTTGGCTGGATTCCCAGTCAGGGCACATGCCAGGGTTGTGGGTTCAGTCCCTGGTTGGGGTGCATGCAAGAAACAACCAATCGATAGATGTTTCTCCCTCACTTCGATGCTTCTCTCCCTCTCTTTCTCGCTCCCCTCCCCTTTCTCTGGAATGAATAAAAGGAAAAAAAATTGAGGGAAGCAATGAAACATTGGAAAAAATTTGTTTAAAATATCATGTCCAGTATGATTGTATGAGAGAATGTTTGACACAGGAAAGCATTGACTATGTTAAATGAAAAGCCTTCTATCTGGGCCCTTGGATTTTGTTTGTTTGGTTGGTTGTCTTTCCATATTTCTCTACTTTGTATGGTGAATGTATGTGACTTTGACACTCGTTGCTACAAGTTTTGACAGCACTGAATGCATGTTTCATGTATCTGAGGGAGATACTTTAATCATTTGTTTTCTCTCCAAAGAGCTAACAAGAAAAGGAATAGACCCGGCATGTTAGTCCTTACACCCACTAGAGAATTAGCTCTTCAAGTGCAAGCTGAATGTTCTAAGTATTCATATAAAGGTCTTAAAAAGTAAGTCATTTCTTTGGCTAGTCTTGCATCAGCATCTTAATCATTTGTAGCTTTACACATTATCTCATTATTTTTCACACATTTTGAGAATCTCATTGGCTCAGCACGGGGTCAGGTATTATCCCTGACCTAGATCAATGGTAGCCAGGGTGGCGGGGTCAATAACAATAATGCAAACACGGCTCTTTAGGACAGACATACAACTGTGGGTTGATGGGTATTGATAGTTCTCAGAAAGGGGCAAATAGTATCAAAGGCATCTCATACTTTTTTTTATTTATATACTTTTTATTTTATATCCTGGATGCCTAGGTTGGTTGGAATTTTGAGTTGTGTTAGGATATTCCTTGCCTGAACACGAACCTCTGTGTTTTTTTCTTAAGTGTTTGTATATATGGTGGTGGAGATAGAAATGGACAAATACAAGATCTGACAAAAGGTGTAGATATCATTATTGCAACTCCTGGAAGACTGAATGATCTGCAAATGAATAACTTTGTCAACTTGAAAAGTATAACCTACTTGGTAATCATGGATTAGGGGTCTGAGATACTGGGAGGAAGATTAAAACAGTCTTTTAGAATGGCTGTCTATTTTATGATATTTTTATGTTGTAGGAATATTTCCCATTCCCTCTAATATGTTTAAATATGGGTTTCAGGATAATTTTATTTCAATGTTGTGTTTATAAATGTTGGAAAGTGTAGATAAGTACAAAAGAAAATCAAAATCCACATGAATATTTAAACTTTTTTCATTAAATATATTTAGAAAATGCTAACCCATTTTAAAAAAATCAATTTATGTTACAACCACAGACCACTTATTTTAAAATATTAGCTTAGGAAATAGGGGTAATAAGAAAAAAAAATACCGGTTAGTATCATATTTATAAAGAGAGCATACATATTAGCTACCTTTCATATATATCTAACCATAAACATTTTTAATGCAGGTATTAGATGAAGCCGACAAGATGCTGGATATGGGATTTGAACCCCAGATAATGAAGATTTTATTAGATGTGCGCCCAGATAGGCAGACTATTATGACAAGGTAGGTACATGCCTAACTGGTAGGCTGCAACATGGAAATCATTGGAATAGAATCCAGCCTTTGGTTGATGTCCCCACAGGATTTTGAGAGCATTTCTTGAAAGTATTTTAAGATCCTTAGGTGAAAGGTATCATGTTATCACTTATTAGAACAATTCAGTGTATCAGTGTAGCAAGAACTATTGGTTTCCCAAGTTACAGATGAGATTTCTGTAAAAACACAGGAGTCCTGGAGGAGAAACTGTGTTGCATAGTGTGGTCTCACATTTGAATAAGTGATCCCTTGTTCCTAGAGGTAAACATTTGACTACTGAATACATTTTTACCCAAGGCAAAACTGAGGAAGCAATGATTGTTATTTAAATCCGTAAACCATTTTCTTCTTTGTGTTATTAGCATAAAAAAAGAATAGTGTATAATTGAGGAAATATACTAAATTTCCTTATTTTGTTTCCTTCACATCTAATTACTGTGAAAGTATAAAAGATGTTTACTTTCATAATATACATATGGTTAAGAAACGTTTGTACTTATATATCCTTTCATCAGTACACTTAAAATGTTTTTATTTGGCATAGCACTTAGTTTTGCCTACTGACTGTATGAAAAATACAAAATTTTTTTTATAAAGGCCAACAGAAATTTAACACTTGAATTCATTTTACTTTTTCAAAGAGTAGAATTTAAGGTATAAATCTCTTTCACCTTTGGCTTATAAACCTGTTTATTAAACATATTTAAAGGTTTCCTCTAGTAACATCACTAAAATTGAGCAATTATTTCTGAAATACTTACTGAAAAGCACTAAATTTGTCTTTCATGAACAATTTGGTTCATAGCATCCTAGGGAAACAGTAATGGTTGTTTTATAGTAAATTTTTCATGTTTGTGTATCTTGTTTTATTTCCAGTGCAACATGGCCATATGAGGTCCGTCGACTTGCACAATCTTATTTGAAAGAGCCAATGATTGTATATGTTGGTACTTTGGATCTGGTTGTAAGTTTGTTTTATATTACTATTGTTAAAAGTATTTTTTTCAATGCAAATGGAGAACTCTATTTGCTTAATGTTATTAAATTTATTTATTTTTTATTAAATTTATTGGGATGACATTGGTTAATAAGATCATATAGGTTTCAAGTGTACATTTCTTTTGTTGTTGCTGTTTTTAAAGGTTTTTTAAAATAATTTTTTTTTTTTATAAACATAACACTTTATAATACAGAGGAGCAGATCCATTAATGTCTACACCAAATATCCACTGTTGGCTATATACCTTAAAACACTTCACTTAAAACTGTACACTAGTATTATCTAGTTTTTAATTTTATATTCTTTTAATGCGAACCTAGGTATGATTATCATATCTTACACATACAATATTTCGTTAGTTTCATTTAAATATTTACTAATTCCTTTGCACATTAATATTCTATGTTAAACTTTTCTTCAAGGTCATATTCCCTTATTTCAAGCAATATCTTTAAAAATTTCCTTTGGGTTGTCTTGGGGTGGCAGTACTTCCATTTTTTGTTTATCTGCCAAAATATTTATTTTAGCTTTATTTCTGAAAGATGGTTTTTCTGGAAATATAGCTTGATTGGGCTGCTTTTTTTCTTCCATTTTTACTGTTGAATAGTGGACTATTTGTATATGAGGTGTCCTTAACTTTTGCTTTAAGTGTGTGTGTGTGTGTGTGTGTGCGCGCGCACACACGTGCACGTGCACTGTACAATTTCACTGTAAGACTTATCAATATTGATTTTTTTAAACTCATGACTAGATCGATAGGTATGTCAGTTTAGAAAAATCCTATGCTATTATGTCCTTTGCTTCCTATTAGGCCCATGCTAGGGTATCCTCATGCTGTCTTCCTTGTCCCTTTTCCTTTCTTTTTTTTTTTTTTTTTTTTTTTTTTAATTAATTTATTTACTTTTTAAATACATTTGTCTCTGCCTTCCCCCCCCCCCTCTTTCCCTTGCCCCCTCCCACCTTCCCTCCCTCAGCTCTTCCCCTTTGGTTTTGTCCATGAGTCCTTGTTGTATGTTCCTTGACTTTCCCCTTCCCTTCCCTTTCCCTGCCCCCCCCTTCCCTCTTGTCTCTGTTGATTTCTTTTCCTTTCAGTGTTGCTGGTCATATTTGCCTTGCTTCTTTGCATTGTTGGTTAGGTTCCGCTTATAGGTGAGATCATATGGTATTTGTCTTTCGCCCCCTGGCTTATTTCGCTTAGCATGATGCTCTCCAGTTCCATCCATGCTGTTGCGAAGTTTAGTACTTCTTTTTTCTTTCTGCTACGTAGTATTCCATTGTGTATATGTACCATAATTTTTTGATCCAATCATCTACTGATGGGCATTTAGGTTGCTTCCAACACTTGGCTATTGTAAATTGTGCTGCTATGAACATTGGGGTGCATAGGTTCTTTTGTATTGGCGTTTTGGTGTTCTCAGGGTATAGTCCCAGCAGGGGAATCGCTGGATCAAAAGGCAGTTCCATTTTCAGCTTTCTGAGGAAATTCCACACTGCTTTCCATAGTGGCTGCACCAGTCTGCATTCCCACCAACAGTGGACTAGAGTTCCCTTTTCTCCACAGCCTCGCCAGCACCTGTTGTTTGTGGATCTGTTTATGATGGCCATTCTGACCGGTGTGAGGTGGTACCTCATGGTGGTTTTGATCTGCATTTCTCTAATGGCTAGTGATGCAGAGCATCCTTTCAAATGCCTCTGGGCCCTCTGTATCTCCTCCTTAGAAAAGCATCTGCCCAGGTCCTTTGCCCATTTTTTGATTGGATCGTTTGTCTTCTTGGAGTCAAGTCGAGTGAGTTCTTTGTATATCTTGGAGATCAAACCTCTATCTGATGTATCATTAGCAAATATATTTTCCCAAATGGTTGGCTCCCTTTTCATTTTGCTGATGTTTTCTTTAGCCGTGCAGAAGCTTCTTATTTTGATGAGGTCCCACTTGTTTATTCTTTCCTTTATGTCCCTTGCTTTAGGAGACATATCAGTGAAAAAATTGCTGCGTGGGATATCTGAGAGTTTCCTGCCAATGTTCTCCTCTAGGACTTTGATGGTGTTGCGACTTATATTTAAGTCTTTTATCCATCTTGAGTTTATTTTTGTGTATGGTGTCAGCTGATGATCCAATTTCAATTTTTTGCATGTAGCCATCCAGCTCTCCCAACACCATTTGTTGAAGAGGCTGTTATTGCTCCATTTTATGCTTCTGCCCCCTTTGTCAAATATTAGATGTCCATAGAGACCTGGGCTTATTTCTGGGCTTTCTATTCTGTTCCACTGGTCTATGGGTCTGTTCTTGTGCCAGTACCAGATTGTTTTGAGTATAGTGGCTTTGTAGTAGAGTTTGATGTCTGGTATTGTGATCCCTCCTACTTTGTGTTTCTTTCTCAAAATTGCTGCAGCTATTCGAGGTCGTTTATGGTTCCATATAAATTTTTGAAATGTCTGTTCTATTTCTGTGAAATACGTCATTGGTATCTTAATAGGGATTGCGTTGAATCTATAAATTGCTTTTGGTAGTATGGACATTTTAAGGATATTAATTCTTCCAATCCATGAGCACGGTATATGCTTCCATTTATTTGTGTCTTCCTTAATTTCTTTTTTCAATGTTGTATAGTTTTCTGCATACAGGTCTTTTGTGTCTTTGGTTAAATTTATCCCTAGGTACTTTATCTTTTTTCGTGCTATATCGAATGGTATATTTTTCCTGATTTCTTCTTCTTCTATTGCATTGCTGGTGTACAATAACGCCTTTGATTTCTGAATGTTGACTTTGTATCCTGCTGTTTTGCCAAATTCACTTATTAGGTTGAGGAGTTTTTTGGTAGAGTCTACAGGGTTCTCTATGTACACTATCATGTCATCTGCAAACAATGATAGCTTTACTTCCTCCTTTCCTATTTGGATGCCTTTTATCTCTTTCTCTTGTCTGGCCGCTGTGGCTAGGACTTCCAATACGATGTTGAAAAGAAGCGGTGAGAGCGGACATCCTTGTCGTGTTCCCGATCTTAGTGGGAAAGCTTTCAGTTTTTGCCCGTTGAGTATGATATTGGCTGTAGGTTTTTCATATATGGCCTTTATTACGTTGAGGAATGCCCCATTGATTCCCATTTTGCTGAGTGTTTTGATCATAAATGGGTGCTGTACCTTGTCAAATGCTTTTTCTGCATCTATCGAGATGATCATGTGGTTTTTGTCTTTTCTTTGATTTATGTGGTGTATCACGTTTACTGATTTGCGTATATTGAACCATCCCTGCATCCCTGGGATGAATCCCACTTGATCGTGATGGATAATCTTTTGAATGTATTGCTGGATGCGGTTTGCCAATATTTTGTTGAGGATTTTAGCATCTATGTTCATCAGCGAAATTGGCCTGTAGTTTTCTTTCTTTGTAGGGTCTTTATCTGGTTTGGGGATCAGGGTGATGCTGGCCTCATAGAAGGAGTCTGGCAATCTTCCCTCCTCTTGGATTTTTTGGAATAGTCTGAGAAGGACAGGGGTTAGCTCTTCCTTAAATGTTTTGTAAAATTCTCCTGGGAAACCGTCTGGCCCTGGGCTTTTGTGTGCTGGGAGTTTCTTGATTACTGCTTCAATTTCCCCAACTGTTATCGGTCTGTTCAAGCTTTCTGTTTCTTCCTCCTTCAGTGTTGGAAGATTATACTTTTCTAAAAATTTGTCCATTTCATCCAGATTTTCAAATTTCTTGGCATATAATTGTTCATAATAGTTTCTGATGATCATTTGTATTTCTGTGGTATCAGTTGTTATTTCTCCTCTTTCATTTCTGATATTATTTATTTGGGTCCTCTCCCTTTTTTTCTTGATCAGTCTGCTCAAAGGTTTGTCCACTTTATGAATCTTTTCAAAGAACCAGCTTCTGGATTGGTTGATCCTCTGAATTGTTCTTTTTGTCTCTATGTCATTCAGTTCTGCTCTAATCTTGACTATTTCCTTCCTTCTACTTGCTCTGGGATTTATTTGTTGTTGTTTCTCCAGTTCTTCAAGTTGTAGTGTTAGGTCTTTTATTTGAAATGTTTCTATCTTTTTAAGGTAAGCCTGTATTGCTATGAACTTCCCTCTCAGGACCGCCTTTGCTGTGTCCCATAGGTTTTGGACAGTTGTCTGTTCATTTTCATTTGTTTCCAGAAATTTTTTGATTTCTTCTCTTATCTCATTATTGACCCATTCATTGTTTAAAAGTGTACTGTTCAGTCTCCATGAGTTTCCTAGTTTTTGAAGTTTCTCTTTGAGTTTGATTTCGAGTTTCAAGGCCTTGTGGTCTGAGAAAAAGTTTGGTATTATTTCAATTTTCCTGAATTTACTGAGGCTTGCTTTGTGTCCTATCATGTGGTCTATCTTTGAAAAACTGCCGTGAGCATTTGAAAAGAATGTGTATTTTTCTTCTTTGGGATGTAAGATTCTATATATGTCAGTTAAGTCTCTTTGATTCAGTGTTTCATTCAGCGCCACGATATGTTTATTAATGTTTTGTTTGGAAGATCTGTCCATTTTGGACAGTGGGGTGTTGAAATCGCCTACTATCAGTGTGTTGCTATCTATATCTTTTTTGAAGTCATCCAACAATTTCCTTATAAACTTGGGGGCTCCTATATTGGGAGCATATAAGTTTACAATGTTGATGTCTTCTTGATAGATTCTTCCTTTAAGTATGATAAAGTGCCCCTCTGGGTCTCTCTTTATGGCCTTTGCTTTGAAATCGACTTTGTCTGATACAACTATGGCAACGCCAGCCTTTTTCTCATGTCCATTTGCTTGGAATATTATTTTCCATCCCTTTACTTTCAATCTGTGTAGGTCTTTTGCTCTGAGGTGGGTCTCTTGTAGGCAGCATATGTGTGGGTCATGTTTTCTTATCCACTCAGCTACCCTGTGTCTTTTGATTGGGGCATTTAGTCCATTCACATTGAGAGATATTACTGATAGAAACTTACTCATCTTTTCTCTTTGTACTTGTGTTCCTCTCTGTCTCATTCTTTTCCTTCATCTGCTTAAACCAGTCCCCTTAGCATATCTTGGAGTGCTGGTTTGGTAGAGATGTATTCTTTTAGCTTTCTTTTGTCTGGGAAACTCCGTATTTCTCCTTCTATTTTAATGGAGAGCCTAGCTGGGTAGAGCAGCCTTGGCTGTAGGCCCTTGCTTTTCATGGCTTGGAATATTTGTTGCCATTCCCTTCTGGCTTGGAGTGTTTCTGTTGAGAAGTCAGCTCCTAGGCGTATCGGGGCCCCCTTGTATGTTACTTTCTCCTTCTCCCTTGCTGCCTTGAGGATTCTCTCTTTGTCTTTGACATTTGCCATTTTAATGATGATGTGTCTTGGAGTGGACCTCCTTGGGTCCCTCTTGAGTGGGGTCCTCTGTGCCTCCTGGATCCATGAGAGCCTTTCTCTCCTCAAATTAGGGAAATTTTCCATCATTACTTTTTCGAGGAGGTTCTCTATTCCTTGCTCCTCTTCTTCTCCTTCTGGTATCCCTATTATACAGATATTATTGCGTTTCAGGTTGTCCTGCATTTCCCTAAATGCTTCTTCATTCTTTTTGAGCCATTTTTCCATTTCTTGCTCTTTCTGGGAGCTTTTTTCTACCTTATCCTCCATCTCACTGATTCGATCCTCAGCTTCATCCAGCCTGCTTTGGATTCCTTCTACTGTGTTCTTCAATTCAGAAATGGTATTCTTCATATCCTCTTGTGTCTTCTTGATAGTTTCTATGTCCTTTTCTAGGCTGATATAGTTTGCTGTAAGATCCTGATAGTTTCTCTGCAGTTTCTCATAGTTCTCTTTGAGCTGGCTGAGCTCATTGAGCTTCCTTAGAACCATTGTTTTAAATTCCATATCTGATAGTTCCCTTGCCTCTATTTCATTGAGCTCTCTCTGTGGGGAGTCCCCTTTTCCACTCATTTGGGGAGAACTTCTTTTTCTTCCCATTTTTGTGAGAGTCTGTTAAGTATTTTTGTCCTTTACTTTTCTTTCTGGGCTTGCCTCTGATGATGTCAGTTGTTGACCCTATAGGGCCTTGGGTTGTTTGTTTGAGCCTTTCAGGAGTCTAATGCCTGTGTCTGACTCCTGCTTGGAGCAGCTCTGTGACCCCTTCGGTCAGGGCTGGGCTATTTTTTGGGATCTCTCTGCGCTCTCACGAGAGCTCCTTGAGCGTGTTCCCAGCGCGGCAGGGTCCCCCACCTGCCTGTGCTCGCATGTGTTTGCCCCAGACCAGAGGGCTTATTCGCGACCTCCCGTGCTCATCTGACCTCCCTGGCACGCGAGCTTCGCGGCACTGGTCAGTTTAGAGTCTTCTATTGTGTGTTTTCCCCGCTTTTGGCTCTTTGGGTGCGTTGCTTGCCCTCGCCAAATGGGGACTACGGAAATGGGAGGAAATCAGCTCTCCGGTTAATCCTGTTTCTGGTCTCTCCTCCAGGGACTCTGGGCAGCTCTACTTATTTTGTGGGCTGCTCCGCAATCGCGGCGGGTAGGTCAATTTATGCCTGCCCTTGCCCCTCTGTGCAATCCCTCGCAGGCCGTATGGGTGCCAGTCTGTGTGAGGCCTTGCCGGCAGGTGCAAGCGTTCGCCAGCCCGGGTCTAAAATAATTTTTTTAAAGAGTTTATTTGAATTTTATTTTTAGAGAGGGGAATGGAGGGAGAAAGAGAGGGAAAGAAACATCACTATATGGTTGTCTCTCACACGCCCCCTACAAGGGACCTGGCCTGCAACCCAGGCGTGTGCCCTGACTGGGAATAAAGCCAGAGACCCTTTGGTTCACAGGCCAGCAGTCAATCCACTGAGCCACACCAGGCAGGGCTAAAGAATTTTTATTTATTTATTTTTTATACAGAGGGGAAGGGAAGGAGAAAGAAAGGGAGAGAAACATCAGTGTGTGGTTGTCTCTCATGTGCCTCGACAGGGGACCTGGCCTGCAACCTAGGCATGTGCCTTGACTGGGAATCAAACTGGTGACCCTTTGGTTTACAAGCCAGCACTCAGTCCACTGAGCCACACCAGCCATGGATAAGTGTACATTTTTATGATACATGATCTGTATATTGCATTATGTGCCCACCACATGAATTCAAATCATCTTCCAAAATATTTCTTATTAATTATGGACATTTTAATTACTTTGTGTTTTGGCAAATCTCCTCTGCCCACTCCTTAATTTTAGAGCGAATACTAGATACATATGATTCTATCCATAAACATTTCAGTATATATGTCTAAAACATTACCTTAAACATAACTGTAGTATATATCACACCTAAAATTTTAATAATCTGTTAATATCCAATCATTGTTCCTATTTTCCTGATACCTCATTTTTATTAGCCTTATTAGAATCAGGTTCTAAACAAGTCTACACATCTGTGCATATATTTAAGCCTGCATTTCTGTTTTTGTGAAGTTCAGATAGATCAGTGTGTTCAAATGATGTTAATAATTATACAATTTACAATTAAAGATCTCATTATAAAATTTTCTGGCCTTTCACTTAATAATTGTAATTGGTTTTCCAATTAATCATTAATGAAAATTGCCCCTTTTTACTTAATTACTTGTAGTAACAATGGCTTATTGCCTAGGCTCATTTCATTAGATTTCATGAAAAGCAGAATAAATGCTTGCATCTTTCCTTTCATTAAGTACTATTAACATGTATTTTATTTCTGGATCAAAAAATAGTACTAATGATATTTTGAAATTTTGCATTAAATTGTCAATATACTCATTGAATGGAAACTTTTGTGTATAAACCAATCATCTTCCTTCATAGCAATGGCTATACTAAAAATTCATGACAATTTTGGTGAGATTAGCCTCACCCCATGGTTATTTCTTTCCCTACAATGGTAACCAACTTTCAACACACTGCCAACCATTCAAGAGTTCCAACTTCTCTTGGGTGAAATTAGTGATAAAAAGTGAAAGGCTGAGGTACAAATCCTTGAGTAGAAATAAATAGTTTTCAGAAGACCTGCTTTATTCCTGTTAGCAGTTTATTAAAACATTAACCTCTAATGGAAAAAAGATTTATTTTGAGCCAAATTATGGTATTTGCCCATCAGTGTTGATGTACTATGACCTTTGAATCTTTTAGGCTGTAAGTACTGTGAAGCAAAATATAATTGTCACCACAGAAGAAGAGAAACGATCTCATATCCAAGCGTTCCTAGAGAGCATGTCCCCCAGAGACAAAGTCATAGTGTTTGTCAGCAGAAAAGCTGTGTAGGTATTTCTTTCTTTATATCCTTAATCATCAGTCAAATTGATTTGTTTAGCCTTCTATTTGTATACTAACTTCAAATGGGCGTGTATGTGGCTTTCAGTAGGTGATTTCAGACTTTTGCTAATAGCAGTTAAATAGTGAGTTGATGGTGGTATTGGAATAAGCACTTAAGATCACTGACTTTATGTTTGCTTCAGCGCTGATCACTTATCAAGTGACCTGATTCTGCGACACGTATCAGTAGAGTCTCTGCATGGCAACAGAGAACAAAGTGATCGAGAGAAAGCATTAGAAAACTTTAAAACAGGTACATCTATGCAATTACTATGTGTTGCATTTTAAAGGTGTACAGTGCAAAGGAGCTGTCACTCAGCCAGCTCCTTTTCCTGGAACGTTTCTAAGATCTGTCCTCAGTTTACAGACCTCAGAACTACACTTGTTAGAGCTCTAAATCCTAATCAAACTCTCAGAACTACCCAAACTCAAAAGAGCTAATGTTTAAACCTGGGTGTGAAGGCAGTACTTTGCAATGGGGGATATTTTTATTAGTTTACCTGAGATGCATGTATCTTTGTGACATGGCTCACATGGTTCAGGGACCATTTGCCGAACCATGGTATCTATTGTGTTATAGCTTGCCAGCAGTTGAGAAGAAAAACTAAATATCCCTTTCCCATTTTCACTACCTTAAGTGTTTATTAATATTAAAGGCAATAATACCTCACCTGGTCAGATATTAGGGGAAAATGTACTTTCTGATTTGTCTTGAGTTGGTTTCTGCAAGAATGTGTCTATAATCTTTTGGCTTTACTCTTTAGGTAAAGTGAGAATACTGATTGCTACTGACTTAGCATCTCGAGGTCTCGATGTCCACGATGTCACACATGTCTATAATTATGATTTTCCCAGGAACATCGAAGAGTATGTGCACAGAGTAGGACGCACTGGAAGAGCTGGGTAAGTAATCATAGCCGCCCATGAAAGAAGTCAGCCTCTGGCCTTGGCCAGTGTGGCCCAGGTGGTTGGAGCGTGGTCTTGTAAACCCAAAGGCTGCAGGTTTGATTTCTGGTCAGGACACATGCCTGGGTGGCAGGTTCGGTCCCCACTTGGGGCATGTTCAAGGAGCAACAGAGTGATGTTTCTCTCCCTCTCTCTCCCCCTCCCTTCCCCTCTGCCTAAAATCAATAAGCATGTGCTCTGGTGAGGATTCGGGGAAAAAAGCCAACCCTGGCTCCTCATCTTATCTAGAAAACTGTTTTGTTCTCTTGCCTGTAAATTGAGCCACCCTGGAACCTGCTTTGCTCCTTCATTCCTGTCCAATGGGCCTGTTTCAGGTTCAGCTAGACCCCTTTGAGGTTTACTTGTGTGTGACTTTTCAATTCCACCTTTTACTTTATGTCTATAGTGACACAAAACTGCTAGGTTCCCAGTGGTTACTCTCGTCAAAGTTGGCGTCCAAGTTGGCGCATGTAAGGGGGCCTTTCTCCCCGGGGGCGCTGCTGTCACAGACCCTTGTGATGCTCTGTCTAAACAACTGCAGATTAGATTCCATGTCGCTGTTTGAATGAGGCTAAATTCTGACATATAATATATATTTAGGCTTCTGAAAAAGGCGAGGTTTTACTGCTACTGTTTCTATTATTCTATTTTGCTAACTGAATAATGAATATTAATTATAAATCAAATTACATGAGTTTCTCCCCGCCCCCCGCCTTACAGGAGGACTGGAGTTTCAATTACCCTTATCACTAGAAATGATTGGAGGGTTGCCAATGAATTAATTAACATTCTGGAAAGAGCAAATCAGGTGAGAATATAAAACTCATTAGAACTCTACCTCCTATCACTTTTCTAATATTCAAATAATTTCATTTATTCTAAGTACTGGGGCTTACTGCTTACCAGGGAAGACAGATAATAAACAAGTAATCAAACATGTTATGGGGACTGTAGCCAAAGATGAGGAGCTATAACATCATACAATTGGGGAACCTCTTCTAATGGGGGAGAGCATCACTGAAAACCCGGCTGAGGAAGAAACCAGTGGGTTGGGAGCCTTGTAGAAGGATGGGATGGTGTTCCAGCAGGGGACATAATCCGACCTAGAGATGAGAAAGAACACAGAAAGTGGCACCAGGGAAGGCAAGTGAAGGGCACCGGGAGGCCCCTGGGAGCCCTCCAGGAAGGGGAGTAGTGTAATGAGGGGTGTTTTTAAATCAGTCTGATTTCATAGCTTGAAGGTAAATTCAGAGTTCAATATGCAGGGAGATGCATTTCATTCTGTTTGCAAGATGCATGTAATCAGTTCTGGACATTCTCTGAGTGAAATCATTTGGAGACATTTTAGTATGGTGTGGAAAAGCTGTTATACTAAGAGAATAATCTCAATCCTAAAAACACATCTAATGGTTTCAGAGTATCCCAGAGGAGCTTGTGTCGATGGCTGAGAGATACCGGGCAAATAAACTGAAAAAGGAAGTGGAAAAAAAATTAGGAAGACCCCAGGGAAAATCCAAGAAGTTTTATTATTAATGTCTACATTGCAGAGTGGGACCAGCCTACATATATATAAGAGGTAAAATCTGATTAACACATGGTCTTTCAAATGCCTCTTTTCCTTAACTAGGCTTTGTTAGTATGTTTACTGCAATCAGCATTGTCTCTAAGAGTTATTAACATAAAAATTAGGTTATTTTTTCCCTGTTACCAAAGTCCCACTTATATCTTATTTAGAGTTAGAAGAATTAATTCAGAGTTAAGGAAATAAGTTTTACATTGTACAGAAAGATCAAGAGTGTAAGGAGTTGGTCGAGGTATAAAATTGTCACCTCTTCTGAGCAATTCGGTAATGTGTCAATTGAAACACATATACCTTTTGATCCAGCAATTCCTCTTCTAAGAATGTGTTCTATAAACATGTCTGCATGTACAAGTAAAGATTTACTATAGCATTATTTATAGTAGGAAAAAACTATTATCTAAACGTCCAGTAGGGCACCATATGAGTAAACTGTAGAGAAAATATTTTTGTAAATCTTATTTCTGGTTAGGAATTAATATCCACTATATAGAGAACTCCTAAAACTGAACAGAAACCAACCACCTGATTAAAAATGGGCAAAAGACTTGAACACACCTTTCTCCAAAGATATACACGGTGGGGCAAAAGTAGGTTTACAGTTGTGAGTACATGAAAGTTTATTCTTGTATTATTTAGTATGAGTTTTTGTATTATTTTCCATACTTTTGCTTATGTTTGCCCATGTACGAACGACCAAGAAACATATGAAAAGATGCTCAGTTTCAGTAATCACTAGGGAAATAAAAATCAAAACCACAATGAAATTACTTCACACCCAGTAGGATGGCTACTAGAGGATGTGTAAGCATTGGCTAGGATGTGGGGAAACTGGAACCCTTGTGCACTGTTGGTGGGAATGTAAAATGGCGCATCCCCTAAAATATGGCAGTTCCTCAAAAAATTAAAAATAGAGCCCTGGCTGGTGTGGCCCAGTGGACTGAGTGCTGGCCTGCAAACCAAAGGATTGCCAGTTTGAATCCCAGTCAGGGCACATGCCCGGGTCGCTGGCCAGGTCCCCAGTTTGCAGCCTTAACTGGGTGCTTGCACAAGAGGCAACCACACACTGATGTTTGTCTCCCTTGCTTTCTCCCTCCCTGCCCCTCTCTATAAAAATAAATAACATCTTTTAAAAAAATTAAAAATAGAACCCAGGAAACCTACTTCTGGGTATATATCCAAAAGAATTGAAAGCAGGGTCCTTTGGAAGTATATGTACACCCATGTTCGTAGCAGCTTTATTTGTAATGCCGAAAGGGAGAGGCAACCCAGCTGTGAATGAATGGATAAACACAGTGGTGTGTAAGAGGAAATTCTGACACACGCTACAGAATGAATGAATCTGGAGGACATTACGTGAAAAGGTACTATGCCAAGTGAGAACAAATACTGTGTGAGTCCACTTACCTGGGGTCTAGAGTAGTTGATAGAAAGTGACAAAGTAGAATGGTGGTTGCCAGGAGCTGGTGAGAGGGGGGGCCTGGGGAAGTGTTTACTGGGTGTAGAGTTTCAGTTTTGCAAGATGAAGAAGTTTGGGATAATTTTGTTAACCACTGTCATCCCAATAAATTCAATGAAAATGGAAAAAAAAAGTGTTCTGGAGATTGGTTGTAGAACAATGAATATACGTAACACTATTGAATTGTTACTTAAAAATGGTCAGTTTTGTTATGTATTTCATCACAATTAAAAATATTTTAAAAGATTTGGAAACAGTTTATGTTTTTTTCCACTTATTTTTCAGATTTCAAGAATTTTTAGATACACTACTTAAAGTATATTGAAGTATGGAAACATGCTGGAAGTGTTTGAAAAGACTTGACTAATTCTTAATATAATAGTGTTTTAAAATGTAGAATTTAATATTTTATACTTTCTTTAGTAAAAATCAAAAGTATGTAAACTGGAGTTGAAAATTTTTTTCATGGATATTAAGGAATGCACCATTAAGCTTTTTTCACTTTTTTCTCTCATTTTTTTTAAAAAAGGTAAATGTTGTCTCCTGTACTGTTGCTGTATTAAGGTAAATCTTTAAGGGTTTAAAGCTTGTTTGGATATTGTCCTAACAGTGAAAAAGATACTGTTAACAAAATAAAAGTTTTTGTATGATAAAAAGATAAACTGGTCTGTCTTTATGCGTAGCCTTTTAATTTTGCTTACTGAATAGTATTTTATTCAGGGGTTCTTTTCTTAAGTGATTATACTTAACTACTTTGACAAGAAACAGTAAAAGTTTCATGGGAACAAATCATGCCACAGCTGTCTTACACTTTAGCTTATATAGCTCCATGCTAAAATAAATCCTAGGGAAATAATTTCATTTCCACGAAAGTGTCTTTGACTAATAATACTCCCCCAACTCCTCTTACAGTTTAATGACAGTTTTCTGTGTCCCATATGTGATAGCTACTTGTATTAACATTTAGTATTTATGTAGGTATTTATATTTGTGTATAGTTAGGCGTTCATCATCTCATCTTAGGTTATTCATGCAATAATAGTTTCCTGGTTGTATTAAGATTAATAGGAAAACAAGAAATAAAGGTAGAAGCACAAATTAGTGAATTAAAAAATACAGAGTTCACCGAAAATCAACACCCGACTCTTTAATTAGACCCATCGAAAAGACAAATTTCTCGCAAGTCTGAGGGGATAGGAGAGAACAGCTCTCCCCACTCTACCTACTTATAGAGGGATAGAGAGGCATAAAATTTTAAGAAGTGTATAACAATATATCAACACATAAGAATTCATAGCTTGACTATATTTTCCCAAGTTACCAAAATTAACTCAGGTCGTTAAGCTGAATAGACAAAACAGAAGGAACATGAAAGGTAATCAGAAACCTTCAACAAAGGGTAAACCAGAATGTTAAAATAGATGAGTTTTCTAAAGCTCAGTCTATAAAGCTAGCATTACTGGTATCAAAACAAAAACAGCATTAAATCAAGCCATTCTCCCTTCTGTACCTAAATGAAACCTCTAGAAAATTATAGCAATTGGAATGATGCAATGGAATAAAATGCCAACACTAGAAAGAATGAGGCAGTTCTACTGATACAGATGTGAAGCCCAGGGTCATATTGCCTCAGTGGTCCAAGAAACCTCCCAAGTAAGCCTGATTTGAGGAGGAGCTTTTGCTGACTGCTAATGTCCCCCAGAAGCCTGGCAAATGCAAACAAATCCTCTCTACATGGAGGCGCCTACATTCTAGACCAAAAAGAAGTCTCCATAAGTAATTCTTGTTTTTAAATCTTCACCCGAGCACATGCCTACTGGTTTTAGAGAGGAAGGGACGGGGAGAGGGAGAGGAACACGATTGGTTGCTTTTCATAGGTGCTCCAGCCAGGGATGGAACCTGCAACCAAGGCAAATGTCCTGACTGGGAATCAAACCCATGACCTTTCATTTTTTGTAAACAAACAGCAGCTGCCCCTCCATTAAACGCTGCCTGAGCACAGAGAAGAAAAGCTGATATTTATTCCACATCTGTTTCAGTTTTGTACTTTGTGTATGTATTACCTTTGCAGAAACAAATGTGAAAGTGTTACTAAAAAAAGTTACGTGTTTTTTATTTATCTACAGGTGAACGTAATATTTTCCTATAAGTTTATGAATATCCTGAGACATGTAAAGGCAATGTAGAGCTTATTTCTTCATTTCATTCTTACCTATCCTAACCCTGAGGACAGGGCACTGCTTCCAAATATATCTGTATGTTGAACAAAGCCCACCAGTTTTATGGAGACTACGAACATTTCTAATATTGTCTTCTGCAACCTCCCACACACTTGTGCTAGGAGAAAAGTGGTATTAAAAAAAATGTGATGTTCAATAAGTGCTTGATGAATTTAATTAAGGTGATATGTATTTTGGCTTTTTCATTCCAATCTGGTAAACCTTTTAGATTTCAGATACTCCTTTTGCTTTGTATTCCTTGACTAATTTCTTTCCCAAAATAATCAAGCCTTTACACTAATTAGAGTTTATTAAGACAGAGTGAAATAGTTGTTTAAATTCATTTTAATCAATCATTGCTGTGACAAATTTGAAACATTCCAATTATTATAAAGTCACACTAATTCTTGACCCTTTAACAATATGATTTCAAAAATCTTTAAAAACTGGAAATCCATTGTTTCTTTCATATTCAATTTGCTTTAACAGAAATTCTTTACTTGTTTTGTCAACATGGTCTTGAGAGAACAGATTGACTCCAGGAATAAAATAGTTACTAAGACTTTCTGCCTTGAGGCACTGAAGAAAATATTCTAGACACCTATCAAAGCAGAGTTCCACATCTTTGGACTGCCACTGACTGTCCAGTGGGGCCAGGGTACACATGTGAAAGAAGGCAGTTTTCACATGGTAAGAGCAGAATTTTTTCAGTTTCTTTTGGTTTCCGTACTTCTTTTTCAATTGTTCTAAAAGACACTTCATTAGTTTTAAACAATCTTTCCTGTTGAATAAAAAAAGAAAACCACTGAGATTATTTACCACCTCCTTCATTCCACAAAGAGCTTTAGGCATCTTCCAGGAAGTTACAATAAACAATACAGATAGTGTAATACATAAAAAGACACAAAAAATAAAGAAATGTAAGTATAATTATAAACCTGTTTTTTCAAATATATGCTTTAAAGTTTCAAAAACGTTTTTTTCTTCCCTCTTCCCCCATCTTAGCTTAAATATTCATCAGGATTAACACAACTATGAAACTGGCATATATCTGTATTATTCATCCAGTGATTTTTGCCTTTTTAGGCTACAAATATTTACCTTACCTATCCAGTTATTTAGTAGTTGACCAAATATAATATTTTCAAAGATATGTAACCATATCAGCAAACATATCTCTTACTGCTGGCTCCAAGGCCTGCACGTGAAGCCTTGGACAGCCTCCTGCGCCTGTGGGTCGGACATCCTTGTTGTGACCCTTTAACTTTTCAGACCCTTATACTGGACAGCCTGAAAAACTCCTATGAACAATTCCCTTTCAATTTCACTTCCTTATGGCGTGTATGCTACCGAGAAAAATAATTACCCATCTGTCAGTGTTGTTTAAAATTTAGCCCATCAGTCCCTGGCCTTCAACACAGGCAAACCATCTAAGAGCAAGCACCAGTATCCAAAAGAGTGATCCTCCAGTGCCCTCCCATTACGTGATATTAATATTCATTACCTTGAAGCAACCAGAATACTGAGACACAACCGGCTGTCATGGCTGATCATGGCTAGCACTCACACCCTCTTATTCTGTCCTCCCTGTGCGTCCACCTGATCCAGGTTCAGGACTGTGGAGCCCGGCCCTGCCTTTGAGCAACACTCTTTCCTTGGTCCCTTGGAACTGGCTTCCCTGGTTTCCCGTGTACACTCTACTGTACACTAGGAATAGCACCCTAGGTCAACCCAGCCATGTGCTTACCCCAGGACTCACCCAGCAATGATCATCTGTAGGTCTGAGCTATGGAGTCAATTAAAAAAAGAACATTCCACAGATAAGCCCCCATTTAACAAAATAAGAAGTTACCTGCAACATTTCACTCCAAAAACTTCACAGCATGTTTTAGACTGTCCATGATTTTTCAAAATGTTCTTTTCAATGTGAGAGAAGGAGAGCCGCCAGGTTTCCTCTTAATTTCCCAAAGAAAAATAGAAAAGCACTTTTACCAAAAGCGTCCACATATACACAACAGAATACATAAGTGATTTTCTTCATTAAAATATCATTCTGAAAAATTTCTAGGACAGAGTCCCAAAGAAGTGAACAGATAATAAATGTAATTACATTTTAAAAGATGTCATTTGAAGCAAACAATGGACCAAGAAAAAAATGGGGATGGGAAGCTTAATACAGTGAGCCATGTAAGATGTATTACCGTCTATGTATTGCAAAAATCAGTTTCTTAATCTTTTGTTTCAATAATAATTTGAATCAACTGATTCAAAAAATTTAAACCATACTTTCCAAGTTTTGGTATTCATGGAAAATGAATTACAAGACATTTCTGTTCCTTGGGAGAGTTTCTATAAGGATTTCTTCCCATCTTCCCAAGCTTCACCATGGCTGGCTCTTCGAAGCTATGACTATCCTATTACTTAGTTGGTTTTATACCAGAAATGCGTGATTGATTTATAATTTAAAAATCAGTTAATATAATCAGTCACATTAACAGAATCGAGGCGAGACATATGACCCTCTCAACAGAAGCAGAGCATTCAGGTAATGAAACTTAACATTCATCATTTTAAAAAAAGAACACAGCCACATGGTAATATAAAGTAAAAAACTGAGCGTTTTTCCTTTGAAGTCAGGAAGGCAGGCTGTCTGCCATGCCTATTTCTGTTCAACATGCACTGGCTGTCCCAGTGAGCATAATGGGGGAGGGGGGGGTACAGCCCTGGAAGAGAGAATCAAAGCTCTCGTTATTGGTAGATAATACAGTCGGGTATGAAGAAAATAAAAAGAAGCCAAGTGACAGGTATGTGTGAGTTCAGTAACTCCTTCAGTTTACACCCCTGGCCGGGTGGCTCTGTTGGTTGGAGCGCTGGCCCCTACAACTAAAGGCTGTGAGTTCCATCGCCGGACAGGACACACACCTAGGTTGCAGATTCGAACCCCAGTAGGGGGTGTACAGGAGATGACCAATCACATCAATGTTTGTCTCTCTCTCTCCCCCTTCCTCTCTCTCCAAAGTCAATAAGCATATCCTTGGTGAGGGTTAAAAAAATTTCTTCAGTCTACTTTTCTATTAGTTGAAAATTTTTTACACTAAAAAGTTACAATTGCCTATGAGTAAATCTAAGAAAAAGATACACAAAACTTCTGCAGAGAAAACTCTAAAACTTTACTGAGAAGTATTAGAGGAAATCTAAATATTCAATTGGCCATAAAGTCTGTTTAGTTTTTTCTGGAAAATAAAAGGCATTTCTTATTTTCACCAATAACTTTACTCATATGGATATTTTGAGTATGTTGGCTAACTCCCACTATTGGCTTCTAGAGGGTAGAGGCCTGGGGTGCTGCTAACCATCCTCCAATGCACAAGACAGCCCCACAGCAAAGAACTATTTGGCCAGAATGTCAAGAGTACCAAGAAACTTCACACACCACTTCTGACACTTTTGATCAGTCACAGCACCTTCTCCATACACCATACAAATCGTTTTTTGCATTTCAATTACATTTTTACCTTTCTTGAAATAATAAAGCATAATACGTTGAAAATGTTATGTATCTTCCTTCACCTTCAATATTAAAATGGCTGCACAATGCCCTGGCTGGTGTGGCTCAGTGGATTGAGTGCTGGCCTGAGAACTGAAAGGTCACCAGTTTTATTTCCAACCAGAGCACATGCCTAGGTTTCCAGCCTGGTCCCCGATAGGGGGTGTGCAAGAGGCAATGAATTCATGTTTCTTTCCCTCCCTTCTCTTCTAAAATATAAATAAAATCTTTATAAATAAAAATAAGAATTGCCCTGGCTGGTGTGGCTCAGTGGATTGAATGCTGGCCTGCAAACAAAAGGGTCAAGAGTTCAATTCCAGTCAGGGCACATGCCTGGGTTGCAGGCCAGTAAGTGCATACAAGAGACGACCACACACTGATGTTTCTCTCCCTCTCTTTCTCCATCCTTTCCCCTCTCTATAAAAATAAATAAATAAAATCTTTTTAAAAAAATAAGTACATAAAATGGTTACACAAAAATTCAACAATTTTGATAAGCTTTTTTTAAATGCATGCTGATGTGACAGCTGTCACAATACAATCTAACAACTGAGCACTACTAGAGCCATCACCCATTAAAAAACAAATCAAAAACAAAACTTTTTCACCAACCCAATACATGGAGATAGGTACCTGCCCGTGAACTGGAAGACTCATTATTATAGGTATATCAAGTCTTTCCAAATTTACCTATAAATTCAATGTACTCTCAAGCAAAATTCCAAAAAATGCTGTCTGAAACTTGATAAGCTACTAAAATTTTTATGAAAATACAAACCATCAAGAATATCTAAAGCACTCACGAAAAAGACAAAATGGGAAAGCTTGCCCTACCGGATATCAAGACTTACAAAGATACATTATGTACGACAATATAGTATAGGGCAAGGGTTGACAAAGATGAACAGAATAAAGAGTGTGTAATAGCTCTACAATACACGGACAAGGAACATATGGGAAAGGTGCACTGAGCTCAGTGTGCTGCGCACTGCTACTGCAGGCATCCATTTATGACAGTCACCGATGCTATTCTGGACAAGGCAAAACCGTAAAGATGGAAACAGATCAGTGGTTGCCAGAAGTTTGGAATGGGAAGGGTTGAGTAAGTGACGGACAGGGGACTTTTCAGGGCACTGAAACTATTATGTAAGGGTAGATACGTGATACAATGCACTCGTTAAAACCACTAGAATTTTACAGCACAAAGAGTGAACCTTAAAATATGTAAACTTAACAAAAAATGATTTAGGAAGTCAAGGCATCCCAGAAAAAATGTAGACTGTGAAAAGGGACTCTTAACTGCATTACGGGTGTATAAAACATCCTTCCTGAAAGAGGTGTGGGCAAAAGGTACTGACCTAAATTACTTTGGAAATGGGCTCTGTAAGACTGAAGGCAGAAAACTGCCCGTAAACACTGTACTGAAATTGATAACTATTTCCCATGAAGGAAGGGCTTTAGATTTGGAAACAACTACACATGTACACGAGAACTGAACAATTAAGTAAATAAAAGTGGCAGATGGGGAGTCAGGTTTTTCACTGTTGGAATGAGAGGTGACAGAGAAGCAAGGACAGAGAGAATGATCCATGTGATAATGGAATATAATTAGAAACAGTATGAACTCATGTATAACTTAATATAGACAACAGGCAGTTACATATAAAAATATTTAGAGATATGTGTTTAGACTGCAGTTAGTATACATACATATATTTCCTTGTTCCTTCAGCTGAGGGGGCTGACACCCTACTAACAGAACACGCATACACACAGCACCCAGTTCGTGGTTTCTAGTACATTCTCCAATAAAAGGATCCAGGACTCCATGGAGAAATAGCTGAGTCTAGGACTGATACAGGAACTATACAAGATGTGCCTGGAGCATCTGGTAGAGCCAGAAGGAGTTACACTGAAAACAAAACAAAAAGCAAACCCTCTCCCCCACAATTTTGGGGCATGTGTCCAAAGGACGCAGGGAACCAAGTGAAAAGAGCTCCTAGAGGCCAAACTGAAATAATTGAAGCAATAAAATTAATAACGTTGGTATTGCATTAAAACTCAAAGAGTAAAACAAACATCTATGACTCTGTATTTGATATAAATGATTAAGTAAATTAATAAAAGGGGAGGAAGAGACAAATCCTCCATGCAGGAGAATTCCAAAAACTTTGTGTAAATACTCTGCTCTTAAAGAGGTGGAGCATAACCCCCACTCCTTACATGTGAGCTGTGCACTGTGCCCTCCTTCCAAACACTACAATATGAAAAAGGAGGGAAACAAGGAACTTAGTGCAGAAACTTGACAAACGACCAGCTGATCAAGGGCAACATCAACAGTGTTCAGTCATGTTCATGGCACGTTTCCTTTATATGATGTGATGAAAATGGCACTTTACCCCTCTGGTCTTCCTCTCCAAAACCCAGAACTCCAGTCTAATCGTAAGAAAAACATCAGGCACATGTCGTTATGAGGGGCATTCTACAAAATACCTCACTAGTACTCCTCAAAACTGTCAAGGCCATTAGTAACAAGGCAAGACTGAGAAAGCGCTATAGTCAAGAGGAGCCTAAGGAGACATGATGATGAAATGCAATGTGGTGTCTTAGATGGGACCCTGGAACAGAAAAAGGACATACGTGAACACAAAGGGAATGCAAATAAAGCCTTGTTCAGAGAGGCTCGGTAACTAGCCAAAGGTCACACAGCTAGTAACAGAGGTCTCAGAATCTAGACCCAGAGCAGTCTGACACCAAGGCCAACGCTGCCTTTCTTTAGTACAAACAAATTAAATAGATAAGACTCAAATGTGGGCTAGTAGACATTTTAAAGATGAATATTTGATATTATGACTACAACTCTGCCCTTTTCAATTCCATCGTTCACCATACTCCCATCTTGTAGCTTACTTAGCCCGATGACTCTGGAAATGCCAACAGCAACAGCTGATCTTTTGCTATCCTTGTACATGATATTAAAAACTCTTTTTTATGTCTTTAAATAAATTAACTTTCACACTAAAGATACCTTGAAAATGGTCTTCTTCCTTTGCATGCTTAGGTACCAGATAAAATGGCTCTAGTCTTAGATCTCTCCTAACTTTCTTTCCAAGCCAGTGTTCAATCGGCAGGCCTTTCTCGGTGCTAGCTGGCCAGCTGCTGCTTACTTTCAAAGCCAAGATTACATCCACAGATATTTCTTTAGGTTTTCTAATAAGAAGTGTTACAGCAGGACACCCTCTCCTTTTCCTCTCCAAAATGACATCAATACCTGTTTAAACATATAAAAGGGAAAAAAGGGGTTTATTAATCTAATGTTCTTGAAAATATAGGAAAAATAATAAAACTATGGCTGGAGATCTACAGAGAGTTAAGGTGCAAATCAGTCCTAAAGCAGAAACTGACCCCGTAAGGCAAAGTGTTTCACTCCTTTAACCGATATTCATTGGTGCTGTCCTGGCGGAAAGGCACTGTCGAGAACCTGTCCAGCATACGTGATGAGGAGCACCTGAAGTCTTTGGGGTCTGCAAATGCTTTGATTAAATTTTCATTTAAATTGGTGAGTGGTAGTTTGGAGGGAAGCCTGGAAATGAGGCCAGATGAGCAATAGGAAGGAGGAGCAAGGTGATCAAGAAGACCAGAGAGGAAAACATGGGGGAGGGTAGAAAACAGACCACAGCCATAGCCCCACACAAAGACTTGGGTGCCTGTGGAAGCACAGAGGCAGGGAGCATCAAGACGCAAGGAGCAATGCCTGTTCACTGCAGTGTTATTCACCACAGCTCATAAATGGAAACAACTGATGAGTGAATGGATAAAGAACTGTGGTATACATAGGTGTGCCTGGGAGATACTGCAGACCACTGCAATAAAGTGACTATTGCAATAAAGCAAGTCACACAAATTTTTTGGTTTCCCAGTGATATAGAAGTTATCTTTACACTATACTGTAGCCTGTTAAACGTGCTCTAGCATTATGTCTAAAAACACAATGTACATGCCTTAATTATAGTTTATTGCTAACAGCTGCTAAAGCATCATCTGAGCATGGTGGAAAAATAGCAGCAACAGGCTTCCTCGGCACAGGGCTGCCACAAACCTTCCATATGTAAAAGCGCATTATCTGTGAAGCGAAATAAACTGAAGAACAACACAGTGAGGTATGCCCATATACACAATGGAATATTACTCAGTCTTAACAAAGAAAGAGATCCTGGCGTTTAAAAAACATGGATGAGCCTGGAAAAAATAAGCCAGACACAGAAAGGCCAATGTTGCATGATCTCACTTATATGTGAGATCTAAAAAAGTAGAATGCACAGAAGCAGAGAGTAACATCATGGTTAACAGGGAGGGGAGGGTGGGGGAAATGGGGAAATGTTGATCAAAGGGAACAAAGCTGCAGTTAGGTAAGTAGGTCTAGACATCTAATGCACAGCATGATGACTGTCATTAATACTACCATACCGAACACTGGAAATAGTACGGGATTAAATACTGTGCTAAGAGAGAAGATTTCAGGTACTCTCACCACACATAAAAAGAGCTAACTATGCAAGATGGCGTGTCAATTAGCTTGTCTGTAGAAATTATTTCACTGTGTATATGTATATTAAAGCATCACATTGCACATATTAAATATATACAATTTTTATTTTTTTAAGACACAAGTAGCAGAAATGAGAGCAATTACACAGATTCAAGTCAGCAGAACTAGCAATGGAATGAATCAAGATACGGGAGAAGGCAGGAACCTTGCTCCACCACTCAAATCGCTACGCCTTCTCCCAGTTCATTCCCTTCAGAGAACTCACTGCAATATGTGTTCACAAGTCTCAAGCTTCAAAAGAGGACCCCACGATTTTATTCAGCATCATATGCTCAGTGAATATTTGATGGAGACCAAAATTGAGCCAATCAACATTTTAAAAGAATACCAAGAATATGTGGTAGAAGGAAATGAAGAGCAAAGAGTTGTTTCTAGGAGGCAGTAGTCAACAGTGTGTCGCAGGGAGGACAGGAAAGGTCAGGAGAGGAGCACACATTGGCAATTAGTAGGTATGACTGACCTGTAAGAATCAAAAGTGGAAAGTCTTACCTTCAATGTTTTTAATTTCTTCCTTAATGATTTCCCTAAACTTGGAGAGCATCTTTGAAGCTGATAATATTTCATTATCTAAAAACTGACTCAGAGGATTTCCTCCGGGATTCCTTTTGAACTTTACAAAGTAATGAGCACCGCTGCTGTGGTATTCTTCTAGCTCAACTCTGGGGACATCCAGTTTGAACATAATATCAAATTCATTAGGAGAAGAAACCTAAGAAAAAGTAAAAACAGCAGTGAAATGTTTGCTTGTGAATATTTTCCAGCAACTGTAATTCTTTTCTTAAAAATTTTAGAAGCAAGACTCCTACTATTTATACCCTCTGGGAGCATGGTTGTTGGAGCTGGGAGAGTATCATTGGTTTTAGTTTGTAAGTTCTCTACTTACTGTTTCTTTTTACCAGGAGTACGCCCAATCTTTACCACTTAAAACAGTTTTAAATGATACCATGTATCATAAAAAGTTTTAAATGATACCATGTAAGCTTTTAAATAATACCATGTACTAGTTTTATTCTGAGTGTAAGGCTTAATAAAACTAAAAGCCTTTTGGTGCTATCTTTCACATCACAAGACACACATTGCAGTCACCCGCCAGTCACAGGGGTCTCAAAAACGTGTGTGCTCACCTACTGGGTCGTTGAGCAGGAGCCATCTCCTTATATCCACTGGTCGCCCGCATGAGTGTGAGCTCCATCAAAGTCATGTACAATATTAGCGTCTTAGGACCACAGCACTTGTACGGCCTTCGAAGACTCGTTTCCATTCTCACAACAATAATTAAAGTAATCATAATAAATGCTGACTTTTACTATATTAAAAAGTCCACAAGTCTGTTTTTTAGTTAGCAGGATGCTTCAAGTACGCCTGCTGGACTGCACCGTTCAACACAGCACCTAGCAGCCGTACACCTATTGACCAATGAAATGTTGCTAGTCTGAGTGAGACGTATGCGGCGCCTAACTGTCCTCCCAAAATTCTTACGTTGAACCCCTAACCTCCACTGTGTCTGTCCCTGGGAAACAGAACTTTTAGGAGACAATTAAGGTTAAATGAGATCATGTGGGTAGGGTTCTAACCTGACAGGACTCGTGACTTTTTAAGAAGAGGAAGAGCGAAAGGCTGCATTCCTCTGTGCCCAGCGAGCACCAAAGAACACAGTGAGCACCCAGGGAGAAGGTGGCCATCTGTGAGCCCGGAAGAGAGTCCTAACCACAACTTAACCCTCTTGCCTCCAGAACTGAGAGAAAATAAATTTCTGTTGTTTAAACCACCCGGTCTATAGTATTTTGTTTTGGTCGCCCAACCTGACTAAGCATACTGTAAAAGTGTAACACTTAAAGTGATGCCAGTGGGAACAAATTGAGAGCCTCTGAAAAAATACTCTTCCATAAAAGCAGTTAAGAATCATGGGCAGAAATGGTCTAATTCAACTCTTTCAAAACTCTGTAAATTAATCAAAGGCTGGTAACAACGCAAGGAGGACTTATTCAAGAAAGCTAGCTGAATAAATAAATTTAAAAGAAAAAGAAGAACGGCCGAATGGTTCTGCTGAAGAGAGCAGAGTAGGTGAACACTGTACTCACCTCCTCCCACGATCACATCAAAATCACAACTAAATCATAGAACGATCACCCTGGAGAACCTTCTGAAGGCTAGCTGAACAGAAGTACTGCAACTAAGGATGTAAAGAAGAAAGCACATCAGGACTGGTAGGAGGGGCAGAGATACGCCTATGTGTGGCAGTTGAGAATCTGCAGGGGTATTTCAGCTGCAGAGGTTCCCCCTGAGGAGCGAGGGGCCTCAGCCCCCTGCCAGGCTCCCCAGCAAGAACCAGTGCCAGGAAGAGGAGCCCACACAACAGGTGGCTGTGAAAATCAGTGGGGATTCACTCCATCTGGGTGAGAGAGAACGCTGCTGGAGACCCAGGCAGCCCCTTAAAGAGCCGGCACACAGACCCTCACTCGCAGGCACTGACCCTGTGCTCCGGCAGAGGGACAGCAGCTCAAGGGGCACCAGACACAGACAGGAGAAACCGAGGCACGTGGCTTCAGAACAAGGGCGGGATGCATGGGAGCGACAGCGGCTCTTGTCCCCGTGTGGCACCCGCTCCCCACGTGACCAAATCTGAACCTGCATTAGCCTGGTAAGCTTCACGGGCACAACCCTGATGACTGCCTGCACCCCGCCTGCCCCACCGCCAGGTCCTCAGGCCCCAAGCGGGTGGCGGCTGCCCTCAGTGCGCCCCGAGACTTGCTGAGAGGCCTCAGGCTCAGCACTGCCACCAAATCTGAATCTGCATCAACCTGACAGACGCCACTCGCCCCAGCCCGGTGACTCCCTGAGGCCCTGCCTCGCCCAACTTGAATGCCACCCAAGGCTTTTCAGCTGCTGAGCCTTACAGGCAGCTGGCAGACGGTAGCAGCACTGAGGGTATCTGGTGCCTTTTGCTAACCTTCCCCAGGCCCAGTACTGGTGGCCAGTCGGCCTCGGTTCACAGTCTGGCCTCCCCCACAGGCATCCAGGCCCAGCACAGGCAGCATCTGACACTGGCCCAGTGCTACAGCTCCTCCCAAGAGTCTTCAGAACCAACAGACCCAGTGGCAGGCTTCAGGCCACAACAGAGCACCACCCAATAACCGTATTTTGCCATGTATGATGTGCACTTTTTTGTCCAAAATTTTGAGGGAAAAATAAAGGTACACATTATGCACGGTATAATGATTACGTACCACGGGTATAGTAATGGGTATAATAATCCCACATATAATGCGCACTAAACGTGGGTGCGCGTTATATACCCCAAAATACAGCAGCTCCACAAGCAGCACACCCAAAGGGTGGTCTCAGCAGGCCCCGAACCCCACAGGGACCAATGCCACCATGTGGGGTCAGCCTCTGCACAGCAGCTTGTACGGTGTGGTTATGACCGATCTTCAGTCAGCCTGACCGTCAGTCCCACCTGCTGATGTGGCAACAGCAATCAAAACTCAACTAACAGGATGGCACACACAACTCACACAGGGGACAGTCCTGGAGCATCCGGTTCAAGTGACCAGAAAGGCTGTGCCACTGGGATAGCAATGCTAATATCAGATAAAATAGCCTTTAAAACAAAGGCTATAATAAGAGATAAGGAAGGATATTACTTAATGATAAATGGATCAACCCAGCAAGAGGACATAAGCCTTGTAAACATTTATGCACCCAACATAGGAGCACATAAATATACAAACCAAATATAGGTGGATATAAAGGGAGAAAGCAATAGAAATACAGTCATAGTAGGGGACTTTAACGCCTCATTGGTATCCATGGATAGATCTTCCAGAGAGAAAATCAACAAGAAAACAGTGGCCTTACATGGCACAATAGACCAGATGGATTTAACTGATTATCTTCAGGGCATTTCACCCCAAAGAGGCAAAATACCCATTCTTTTCAAGTGCGCATGGAAGATTTTCTAGACCACGTTAGGACACAAAACAGTCACAATAAATTTTAAAAGATTGAAATCCTATCAAGCATCTTTTCTGACCACAATGGTACGAAACTAGAAATCAATTACAAGAAAAAGGTGAAAAACACATCAAGGTAAATAACATGTAACTAAACAATAAATGGGTTAACAATGAGATCAAGGAAGAAACCAAAGATACACTGAGACAAATGAAAACACAATTACCCAAAATCTATGGAACACAGGGAAATTCTTAAGAGGAAAATTCATAGCAATACAGGCCTACCTCAAAAACTAATAAAAATCTCAAATAAACAATCCAATCTTACACACCTAAAGAAACTAGAAAAAGAACAAAGCCCAAAGTCAATAGAAGGTAGGAAATACTAAAGATCAGAGGATAAATAAGCAAAGTTGAGTCTAAAAAAAAAAAAAAGATCAATGAAACTAAGAGCTGGTTCTTTGAAAGGAAAAACAAGATGGACAAACTTTTAACCAGACTCATTAAAAACTGTAAGATAGTGGATGCTGGTGTCACCCCCTGGTATGGCTGGAGAAGGAGCTCATACCTGAGACGGGAAGGATTCCCAGCTGCTCCCCTTGGGCCCCAAAGAGGGCCTGCTGGCTGGGCTTGGGGGTGTGCCCTGAGATGCTGAGCAGAGAACAAGTGTGATGATGCGGGGTTGCCCGGCCCCATCCACTGGGCTGAGGACTCCCCAATGTGACTGTCTCCTGCTACCTTACCGGCCCAGGGGGAGGGAAGTAGGCCAGAGTCCGTGGCCTGCAGAGGGTACAGGGAAGCACGCCGTCTCCCTCAGGTTTTTTAAGTACTGTGTAAGCTGACGGGGGCCTCTGAGAGATGATCGGCAATGGTTTAGGATTCAAAGGCTCAGTGTTTTTGATGGCCCGAGCTGCAATTGCTCCACAATAGTTCAGCAGTTTGGCTATCAGAGCTGAGCACCAAGACAAGAAATCCTATTCATGTTTTCTGGCCAAATAAGCAAAGAACAGTGGTCAATGTATAAGATGGTTTGAGCTTGCGTGACTGCCCTATGAAAGCCCTCAAGGTGAGTGGCCTCCAACCAAGGGCTGTGCAGTGTTCAGACTTCTACACAGAGGTAAAAAAAAAAAAGCATGTTTAGACTGGAATAATGATGCTACCTCGTAGATTGGAGGAGAACTTTAAGCAGATTTCCTGGATCATGTTCCCATCCCAACACACAACTTTGTTCCTAAGACCTTCCTGAAGCTTTCCTTCTATGGCAGGTATCAGAAGTTCCTGCTAAATGGATGACTTGTGGCACTGTACAAATTTCATGAGCTCTGTAGCTCCAAAATACCTGCTATGTGTGTGGACTGGAACACTGTCAGACAACTCAATGTTTTCCAACTTCCACTACTGGTGACAGTGGGGTCTCAGCCCTGCCTCCTTTCACAATGTGTCAGATGCAAGAGTCTACTTCCCAAATGCCTGTTAGTTCCCAGCACAGGTAGTCCACACCCCACACTTCCACATTCAACACCTCCACGCCCTCCTCTGAAGACTCCCTCTCCCACAGGCAAAGGTGGATGTCCACATCTAATGTCCATTTGGTCGACACCACCCTGCCTGTGCACAGCAGCATGACTGAGGATGCAGTTCAGAGTCACAGTGAATCAGCCTCACCTTCAGCCTTCTCCAGAAGCCACAACAACCTGAGCCCAACAGGCTCACTACAGCCCCAAACCCCTGTGCCAGCACAGAGAGACCGGGCACCAGGACCTAGGACCCAGGAGGGAAAGAAAATTAGGCCTTTGTGGACTGAGAGATTCAAGCGATCACTGGGAAACAGAAGCCAGTGAAGTGATGCTCTCCACTCGGATTGGGTCAGGCTCCTTTGGAACTGTTTCTAAGGGCAAGTGGCACAGGGACATTGCAGTAAAGATGCTAAAGGCTGTTGACCCCACACCAGAGCAGTACCAGGCCTTCAGGAACGAGGTGGCTGTCCTGTGCAAAACACAGCACGAGGACATCCTGCTCTTCATGGAGTACATGATGAAGGACAACCTGGGGGCTGTGAGCCAATGGTGCAAAGCCAGCTGATATTGCCAGGTAGACGCTCATGGAATGCATTCTTCGTATGCAAAGAACACCATTCACAGAGACATGAAATCTGTGGTTCACAGAGACTGGGAAGGGCAGACCAGGCACTTCTGAAAAACCATCCCGGTGCACTGGAGTGAGCAAGAAAAGAAAGTGACCCCAAACTCATGTTCCATAGTACCAAAGTACAAAGCCGTGGTCTCTATATTCCTGGGCTGTTTGATGCATTATGTGCAAAACTATCACTTGTGTGCTACACCACTATCTCTGCAGAAAAGCCCTTCCTATGATAAGTATTTATCATAGGAGCTGATGTTCAAAATTCAAAATCCACATGTCCCCCCCATCAGGCTGGTTTGCCTACCTTTATTTTCCCTCTGAGTGTTTTTTGTTGCCCTAAAAATACTTGTTTAGCCACTAGCCAGGGTCCCGTATGATATATTGCCATCAGTAGCCACTGCTGTGTGTGGAAAAGGCTCAGCTCGTGAGCATGGGGCTTACCGGTAGGGAGCAGGACAATCCAGCATTGTGAATGGCTCCCTTCTCCCAGGGCCAGAAAGGGTAGGTAAAAAGACAACATGAAGTAAGGCCCTGTGAGTAGTCTAGAAGGTTCTTAGCAGCAGTTTCTCTGAAAATGAAAACATGCCCGTTCAGGGCACATATGGAAAACAACTCTTACAGTGATATTTCTCTTTCTCTAAAATCAATAAACACAATTTTTTAAAAGAACTATCCCAATAAAATTCAAGAAGAGGGAAGCTCCTAAGCTTATTTTATGAGATCACCATTACCCTGATTGCGAATCAGGGAGGAACCGTGGGAGGTGGGAATATCAGGGAGGCTGGGAGAGGGGTGGGGAAGCCGCATAGTGCACTTGGGGCACAGTAGGGGAGGCGGCTGGCAGCTCACCTTCACTTGCTCGTAGTAGCTCCCAGTTCGTAGCAGCTCCACACCTTTGAACTCGGACTGGTGGCTCCGCAGTCTAAGCAGCAGGTGGTCCACGACCCTGTTTACAACATCAGCCGCTGCTGAGATTTCAGAGCGGCTCAGCCTCAACTTGTCCAGCACGGCCCTGGGCTTCCAGCTGCCGGGCGCTGACTCCCTCCGGCAGAGACTAGGAGCTGGAACCAGCGGGTCCTGACCCGGGACCTCCAGGGGACACGGCTGGGATTTCTGCTCCCGAACAGAGCACGCGCCCCTCTTGCGGCAAGATCCAACCCCGGAAAGGGGCGGCTCCTGGGCCACGGGAGGCTCCGGCAGAACCGCTTGCCCATCCACAGAATCCTCCGTCCTCAGAGGCGCCTTGTGGGTGCGCGCACCTTGCGCGCGTACCTGCTGCCTCTGCTGGGGACCCGGGGCGCTCTTCCGCAGGGATCCCGACGCCCTGGTGGAGCAGCACTTCTGCCCTTCAGGCTGGCCAGCGTCGGGAACTACCACACACTCGCTGGGCTTCGTCTGGGCTGGCTTCTTCGGCGCGGGCCTCGCCGAGGCGCCCTTCGCACTGTGCACCGAAACTCTGAGGGTGGTGGCTGCGGCTTTCGAGGTTGCGCGCGTCGCCTTCCCGCGTTGAGGCTCCATGGCTGGCGCTCTCCGCTACCCCTAAAATGACGCAGTTTGAGAAAAAGCCAAGGGAAGAGGAACGAGCAGTTGCGGAAATGAAACTTAAAACTTGAAAGTTTGGCGGGAACACAGCTGCCTAGCGAGCACGCCGGAAAGGTGAACCCACGCTAGGAGGTCACGGGGAGCCACGCCCTCACTGCGACTGGAGGGACCGCCCAGGGTCCTGGAGAGATGCCAGTTTTTTACCTTTCCAGTGCCATCTATGCCACTGGCTCAAAAACCTAACCCAAAACAACGGGAAACACTCTCAGGAAGTTTCACAGCCATACGCATTTGCTGGCATACTGCCTAAAAGAACTTTGGAAATCTACAGCCTTTCTTGTACATTTAACTTTACAAATATTTTCAATGTAAGTTTTAAAAGTAATTTTTTAATTAACAGGAAATAGAAAACGTTCACCTTTTACAAGACTGAAAGAGATTAACGGTTGTTGGAATATTTTTATGGAATATGTATTCTTATTTCTTAAAAGCACACACAAGCTTAAAGAAAATCTGTGAAGTACATGTTTGTGAGTTTTGTCCATTGGTTCTCAAAAATGCATTTAAAATTATACATTTTAAATAATCCATGCTGCATCAGCTGTTCAGATTCCAGAGTTCTCAGTACAGGCTTTCAAAAATCTATTTCTAAAGTTGAACCCTTTATAAGAATACATATTAGACAGGAACTCCTTGAGTTTAGAATGCCTTAATTACTTCTAAAACCACACAGCTCAGTGCCATTAAATACATTAACATTGTTGTACAGCCATCAGCACCATCCATCTCTAGAACTCTTCATCTTGGGAAGCTGAAACTCTACACCCATTAAACACTAACACCCCAGTCCTCCCTCTCTCCAGCCCCTAGCAGCCACCCTACTTTCTGTCCATATGAATTTGACTGCTCTGGGTACCTCATGGAAGTGCAATCACACAGTCTTTGTTGTTTTATGACTGGCTTATTTCATTGCAGATAACATCCTCAAGGTTTATCCATGTTGTTGTGTGTGTCAGCCTTCCTTTTTAAGGCTGAATAATTCCATTCTATGTATACCACATTTTATTTATACATTCCTCTGTAAATGCATTAATTTTTTAAAAGGTTTCCCTGAATCCAGTACTTTGATATATGTCTCTCTTAAGTACAAAGCAGTTTTCTTACACCCCAGTCCCTAGTTTGAATTGTGATGCAACCAACTGTATATATTTTTACTGTATGAAACAGGAAGACTGTTGTGTAGTTAGGCTTATTCAGAAGTTGACCAAGGTTCAGGGAAGAGTAAAATGGAAGTTGTAATTTGGAAATCCGTTGCCTTGAAACTGCAAATGTACTTGAGCCGCTTTCCAAGAAACCCAATGAATGCTCTTCCACCCCACCCCCCATTTTTACAGAAAGGGACAATGGACCCAAGGACAGGGACAATAATGTGGGGATTGCCTGAGGGAGGGGCATGGGGGGAGAGGGGCAAATGGGAAAGTCGGGACAACTGTAACAGCATAAACTATAAAATATAATTTAAACTTTTTTTAAAAAAGCACTTAACATGGACCAGCAGGGCCCTCTCACTCTTTTCAGCTGACCTGTCAGTCTCGGCTCCTGCCTCTGCAGATCATTCCCTTCCCTCCCGGCGAACAAGTCCTCCCTCCATTGAAGGCCACACACAGGTGACTAAAGAAGATAAAACCTCAAGAAGGAAAGCCACAGTGAATGCCTTCAAGGCAGAAAGCCACTTAGATGACCAGGAAGGACAATGCTATGTGGTAGCCCTGGAGGCGCTCTCTGCTTTAGAATCCCAGAGAGCACCTGAGGTGCTTTTGGATACTGGTCTGGATTTTGCAAGATGCAGATGATGTCCTTGAGGGGCTGCTGAGGAATGACTGCTGGGCTTGTTTCCGGTGTTCACCGCACACAGACACCTAGTCCATGGACAAGAACTCCTGTGGGGCACACATGGGGAAGGGAAGGACAAGGAACTCTACCCATGAGAAAAACAAACACAAATTGAAATGTGACGAGCTGTGATATGATTGTGGCATGGAAAGGGACATGGATCCAAAACAGTGTCATTGGCCCCTGAGCTGGCCAAGCATTGTTTGTTCACATTTGCCTGCCCCTCACCTCCTGGGCAATTTGATTCTCAGAGACCTGGACTGAGGCGGGAGGGTAGGTATGAGGAGAAACGGTGTGAGAGGGTGTGGATGTGCTGACTGCCTGGGTCTAGAGAAGAGTGAAACAGTCTTACCACTTCCAGGCCACCACATCTCCACATGCCCGCTAAGGAGCCCTGAGCAGGCAGGGGCCAGAGCTCACCTGAGCTGCTGTGGCTTGGTGCAGGTCTGGTAACGCTGGGGTGAAGGTACAGGGCTCCTGTCCTGGCCTCACCTGCTGCTGACCCCTCAGTCCCCCAGCTTCTGTGCATTATTTTTTCTTTTTCCAGGGCCCATTTCTCCCCCACAGTCAGGGTTTCTTTTAACAGACAATGGGAACCCTGAGATCCAATTCACACCCAAACATTAGAAACTCCTTTGGATTACAGATCCCAGGGCATAGGCATCTTTAAATGTGAAAGAAAATGTCAGTGGAAATAATACTGAGGTGAGGGTCACTTGCAGAGGTCTGAAGATACCAAGGCCCGCCCTCTGTTAGGTAGGCGGCCAGGCTGCTTGGGTGGGGGTCTGGCCCTGGGCAAGAGGAGGAAGGTCTGAGATGGAAATAGAGACCCTCAGGGAACGCTCTCTCTCACCCGTCTCTTCCCCTGGGTCAAGCTATCCCCTTCTTGAAAGCAAACACTGGGCTGAGTGGACCCAGCCCAGCCAGGTGGGGCAAATGTCCTCAGATTTCTCAGGGTGCCCAACAGACTGTCACCAGGTGCTCAGCACAGATGCACGTGGGGCTAAGGGACACGCCCACCTCAGCTTCTCCTCCAGGCTCTCCCCTCCTCCTCAGTAGCTCAGTCTCCAGTCAATGCTGTTCCCAGAAAAGGCAGCTGTTGAGTAACAGGGTGTAGGGGAAGGCTGCTTTTCTTCCTCTCTCATGTCGGCTACGGCACTGCAGGGCTCCGCTGTCTGTGGTGACTTGCTCACTCTCACGGCCAGCATGTGGCAGCTGCTTCCACCCATGGCCCTACTGCTTCTGGCTTCTCCAGTCACAGAGCCGAAGATCTCCCAAAGGCTGTGGTGCCTGTGAACCTGAATGGGTCAGGGTGCTCCAGAGGGACAATGTGACTCTTAAGTACCAGGGGGCCCACACTGAGGAGACAATTTCACACAGCGGTGGCATAATGAAAACCTGCCAAACTGGACCTCCAGCTCCTTCACCCAATCGGCCAGAGTTGAGGACAGTGTGGGGTACAGGTGTCACACCAACCTCTCTGCACCCAGTGACCTGGTGCAGCTCCAGGTGCACGTTGCCTGGCTGCTGCTCCAGGCCCTTTGGTGGGTGTTCCAGAAGAGGGACCCTATCATGCTGAGGTGCCACAGCTGGAAGAACATTCCTGTTCACAAGATCCAACATTTCCAGAGTGGCAGAGGCAAGAAGTTTTCTTATCGGAATTCTGACCTACATTCCAAAGGCAACAGCAGACAAACACAATGGCTCCCACTTCTGCAGGGGGATTATCCGGACTCTTGTGTCTTCTGGAGGCTTTGAACGGCATTGTTCAAGGTCAGGTAATTCCATCCACCTCACCAGGGAGCCTAACCACGTTCTGCCTGGTCTGGGACTCCTGTTTGCAGAGGACACAGGCTCTATTTCTCTAGACAGTGAGACCTCTGAAGCTCCTGGAGGAACTGGAGAAATTGTTACTGAACAAATGCAGGAAAGCAAATGAAGAAAAGCAGCCTTCCCCTACACCCTGTTACTCAACAGCTGCCTTTTCTGGGAACAGCATTGACTGGAGACTGAACTACTAAGGAGGAGAGGAGAGCCTGGAGGAACTGGAGGAATTGTTACCGTGGCGGGGCGGGCGGGGGGGTGTCCAGGTGCTATTTCTGAAACAATGACACCCCCCTTCCCCAGGATCCCTCAGTTGTAGGTCCTTTGCCCGCCACCCTTGGAATTACAGCTCTGAATGGCAGAATTTGGTGAAAATGAAAGGCACTATTTATTCAAAAGTTTTATTAATGGCTAAATGTCTCCCTTAAACCTCAAAATCCCTTTAAAACAATCATCAACACACACGCAGTCCTGCCTTTCCCCCTTTGCCCAGTTGGGCCAGTCAGGGGTACCGTCCTTCAGAAGAAAAAGAACATTAGTCCAGGGCTCGGCTAGGCAGGCCTCTCACGTTTCTCAGCACCATCCACTGTGTCGATGCGAACTCCAGTTCTTAATCCATTACCATGTGGCACCTTCTCATGGCCCACTAGCAAGGTCCTTTCTCCCTTCTTTCTTCCCGTGAGGTCTTCACACTGTTCCCCAGAGTCTGTGTCCCTTTGTCTCTCCCACAGGCTCCTGTCTCTCCTCCTCCCCTCTCCCAGTTACATTCTGTATTAAGCTTTTTTAAACCTTCCTGATTAGCCTTGGTGATATGCAAAAATAACCCTCTTTGCATATGAGGAATGAAGTTATCCTGTTATTGACATGCAAAATGACTCTCAATGGTCCTGCTCCAGGTTCCCATCCCCCCCCCCCCATGGCAGCCCGCCCTGGGGTGGGGAGAATATATATATATTTTTGGACACCCAATCTCTGGATCCCGTTAAAAATACCCTTTGGGGGGGGGGGCCCTGGGTGTGCCCCATTACAAAATGATAACATTACGAGGAGCAAGAGCTCTCAGAAGAAACAGGAGCAATAAAAGCAGAACCTCTGAACCTCTCTCCGTATTCACAACTCCATGGTCTCCAACACCCACCTCTGGGAGCAGCAGGGAATCTACACCTCAGAGTTGGGGCTGAGGGTCCTTCACCCAACTCTATTTTTCTTCGTCTCCAATGGAAAGGAAAGGCATGATTTCTTACATATTATTGTCATTTTTAGTACTTGATCTGGTTGTAAAGTTTGTTTTTAATTACAGTTGACATATAATGTTATGTTAGTTTTGGGTGTACAACATCGTGATTAAACGTTTAATATGCCTTAAGAAGTGATCAAAATGCCTGTGATCTTCAGGGGCCAACAGTTAAACCCCTGGTAAGCAGCTACCAGGGACCGAAGTCTCAGAGCTACACAAACATCCGTCACAGCAGAGCAACAGTCTCTCGATGGCAACCCTTGGGAAAACAATTTTTTTTTAATTGTCTTTGTCCATCTATACCTGGGGCTCTGGGCCTTGCCAGATAGTTTACACTAACAGTGTGATTTGGTCTCTGCTGTATCAGTTTGACCTCTGCAAGGGGTTGGAGACTGAGTAATGAGGTCAGTCATGCAGGCACAGAGTCCTACGACTCCCAGTAAAAGCCCTGGCTACCCAGGTGCAGGTTAGCCTCCCCAGTTTGAGGCAGGAGATAGTCAGGAAGGAGGAAACTCCAGAGGTGCCCCAGGGCTAAGATAAAGAACATGGATAAAGGGCGGAGACCCTTTCTGAATCTGAAAAACCATTAAATCCTATTTAATCAGGACTGCACCTGAGCAGAAGATGCTTCCTGACCCCTACTTCATTATAATAAATTAGCATTGTGGGACCCTCTTCCCAGTAGCCAATCAAGGAAATCATGGGAGACCCACCCTAAGGAATAAAAGCCCTTTAGCCCCTGAGTTGGGGGCTGCTACTGCTGTTAGGCTCTTCTCCGCTCTTCTCTGCTCCACTCTGCTCAGAGTTGGCCTGCTCCCATGTTCTGTGTGGCTTAATAAATCTGCTTTTTCTCGCTTTCTGCTATAAACTCTGTGTTTGGTTCAATTTTTTGTCCGCAATCACCAAGAACCCGGTTACCTGTGCCCACCTGACAGGTTGGCAATACTTCACAGTGTCACACATCATTGCTAGGAAAACTGAGCACTATCCATATGACTCCAAGGGGACAAACAACTGGGAGCTTATGCCTGGTCGCTCCCGGACTCTGCCCTGTGTGCCTTTTGCTGTTGCTGAATTTAAACGTGTATCCTTTCACTGTGATAAACCGTAACCGTGACTATAACTGCCTTTCTGGGTTCTGTGAGCCCTGGTAACTTATCATTAAACCTGAGGATAGGCAGCCACAGCCCCTGCTGCCGCCGCCACAAACACCACCTCAGCCAGCCAAGGCAGTCAAGTGCCCAAGACCCTCTTACTCAGTACACCTCTAAGCACAATCTCCAGGATTCCCAAAAGCCTGGTCCCCATCTTGGCTCACTGGGGACCCTTCAAACTGGAGGGCAACCTAACCTAACGGTCCATTCCAAGAAGGGCATTCAACAAATTACATACAGCAGTGGTGATCCAGAGGTAGACCCCAGGAGCCCAGCTGGCCATCAGTAAGAAACAGCCAAGCCCGCGTTCTCACCACCCAGCAACGTCTCCCCTCCAAAAGTCACCCCCTCCTGACCCACTCGAGAAGAGAAGGCTAGCCAGGAATAGAATGTGATTTCTTCCTGGAGTGAAAAGCAAACAACAGCTGAGGATGGTCTTGGGGATTCCCAACACAAATGGTAACAGACTAACTTCAGTGTAATTAAGGGCTTTGTCTTCTTTTACAGTAGAAATTCTGTTACTCATATATCTATCCCTGCCCAAACATCTTATCTCTGAGTCTGTTTTTAATGTCTCTGTAGGAAAGAGAAGGATCTCACTTAAATGTATGTCATGTGGCCCTGGCCAGCTACCTCAGTTGGTTGGAGTATGGTCCCAATGCACCAAGGCTGTGGGTTCTAGTCCTGGTCAGGGCACATATAAGGAGCAACCAATAAGTGCATAAAGAAGGGGAACAACAAAGAGATGTTTCTCTCTCTCTCCCTTCCCCTCTGTCTCAGTGAAATCAATAAATAAAATTTTAAAAAAGTAAATATACATCATGTGGAAAGATTAGTAAAATTGAAAATATAGGTCTGCGATTCTCTTATTAATGACTCAAACTACTGATTTAAAAGTACTTATTAATAATATAATATGTTGAGTAGTCCTTGAAAAGGACATAAATTTGTATTTATTGTCATAGAAAATGGCCATGATAAACTATGATGTGTAAAAATAGATTACATAACAGTGCACATATCCTATATTCATTAAGAATATCAAAAATATATAGTCGGAATTTAATTAAAATCCAATGCTACAGTGTGATGGCATAATCTTATACTATTAGTACAACCTGACATAAAGTTTTTAGAAAGTTAATATAGCGGTTTTCAAATATTTAAACATTGAGGGGTCCTGAGAGAAACATCAATCGGTTGCCCCTTGAACTCCAGGACAGGGACCCAGTTCAACCCAGGAATGTGCCCTGAACCAGTGATCTTTAACCTTGAGGAATCATGCCCAGTCAAGAGCCACACCAGTCAGGGCAGCACCATAAATTTTTAAAAGATATCTGTAGAAGGATGATTGTATTATCAAAAAATTAGAAACAACCCAAATGCCCCATAATTGGAGTTAATTAAATAAATTATGGTTCAGAGCATACACAACTGAATAATGTATGGCACTAAAAAGTAAGGGAGATCGATATACACTGGCATGGAGAGAGTAAAAAATACATTGTTAAAAAAAGATGCAAAGTGAGCCCTGGCAGGAGTAACTCGGTTGGGTATCTTCTTCTGCAAACCAAACCAAAAGGTTGCTGGTTCCATTCCCTGTCTGGGCACATGCCCAGCGTTCGGGTTTTGATTCTGTCCCCAGGTGGGGCATGTGCAGGAGGCAACCGATCTATGTTTCTCTCCCTTTCTTTCTCCCTCCGAATCAATAAAAAGAAAAAAGAAAAAAAAGCAGCAGAGTTTAAGTATATATAATCGCAGTATTATATGTGCAAATTAATAGTAACATTAGTATTGTATTTAAAAACTACGAGGAATTAGCAAGAAAATGCCAACAATGATTATAGGGGTGGGGACTAGAAGGCCTGGTGAAGTTGTAAGGTCTTTAACTCTCACAAGTTTTGTAAGATTTAAATTGTGTAAAAGAATGCAATATTATTAAGACTGTAAAATTATGTATTTGATAGATTTTAAAAATCAGAACAATAAAACCCCCAGGCAGGTTGTTTCACTCTAATCAGTAAAAGGTTTCTTAGGAAAGGTGTTAAAAATATCAATTCCCAAAGGCTGGACATTTAACCTTTAACTGTTGGATTCCACAATTAACCATCATTAATCTTTCATCCACAAAGGTACTTGAACTCCTCTCAAATCTTCCTAGACTCTAGTAATTACAAACAAACAGAAGTCGAGTCGAGAGTGTGCCAGAAAATTCAAAGAATCTCAAAGAACAGTAATCAAAATCATTGTTCGAAGGTGGCCACCTGCCGATCAGGGCTGCAACTTGCCTGAAAGGACAAGAAATGACCGAGTAGGAGTTCCCACTCCAGAGCCACAGGTAATCGGACAACCGGGCACCGGCCACACAGAGGTACTCAAGGCCAAGGCCACCAGCGCCGTTGGCGCGTCTAAAAGTCGCGCCAAACCGCCAGCCAGCGGCGACGGCGCACGGAGACGTGCCCTGCGCCGTGACATCAGAGCAAGATGGCTGCCTCCTGGAGACGTACTCTCGTACCCCAAAATTTTGCGGGTCGCTTGTGTCAGGTTTAAAGTCAAACAGACTCTGCCTTTCTCGAACCATGTTCCCCCTCGGAGGTTGTGGTCGTCGGATTGCGGCTTCTCTCACCAACCCTCACTTTTCGCTCGCCCGGTTCAGCGGTGACAGCGCTGCGCCCAGGACCCCGCACTTCGACGTGGTAGTCATCGGCGGAGGACATGCCGGGACCGAGGCAGCCGCCGCTGCCGCTCGGTGCGGCTCCCGGACTCTGCTACTCACGCACCGCGTGGACACGATCGGTGAGCACGGGTGGAGTGGAGCCTCGTGTATGATGCAGTCTGCAAAAAATCCCCTTCCTCCCTCCCAGTGCCTGATGGGGGTATCTTATTCCCTCTCCCAAGGCTAGCGAGGATCCTACTGTATGGTTTTAGCCTGATTTGTGTCTCGCAGAATCAGGCGGGTCCCGGTCAGAAGTCTTCTGTGGACCACGGATTATGCTTCTGCTGACAAAAGTCGTTGCTTGGGGGATGTGGTGGGGCGGTGCCTTGGAAAGAGGGAAACTAAGAATATTCTACGTACTGATAGTTTCTTATTTTATTGTTGCCATTTAACCTGAACTAGCTTGTTGCTTTGGGTAAAGAGCAAATTACCATTGTTGATCTTTTATTAAACGACTATTGTGGTTTTTCTCGAGATTTTGTGAAACCCTTTTGAAGAACGATGCTACCTTTTATTGCATTCTATATTCTACTGGATGTTTGTTCCCTCTTCTTGTGCTTAGGATGCTACAGTGCTCCCCGCCCCCCACCCGATGAGGCAGTGGTTGGACGTCCATAATTTGTAGCAAGACCGCTCTCTTGCATCAGGATAAATGCTAGCTAAAACACTGTCTTGTAAATTTTGTGTTCCTATGTCTTTCCTCCTTCATTTTGCTTAAGAGTGAGCAGTAGTTAAAATATTAACTGGGCTAATAAAAAATTGTGAGTAAGTCACATATTTATATACCGAAATACTTTTTAAAAATTGCCATCCAGATCGTAACTGTGGAGAAATACATACTGTTAATAGTGATTCTTTGGAGAGGGACTATATGATTACCCAAAAGATTACACTTCGCTTGTTATACAGTATTGTTTATTGTACTGCCTTGCAATAATAATAACAAAAGTCTAATAAAAAGTATTGAACTAAGATGATCATTATGTACTTCTGTCAGGGATAAAGAGATTCTCACCAAAACTCATATATTGTCAACAAAATATGATACAAGTTTTAAAGTACATTTCAGAGACAATAACATGAGATTAATAAATAACAATTTTATCTTAAAATCAAAGTTTCATTTTTTTAAGATAATTTAATACAGTGGAATATTAGGTATTTCTACTTGGCCTTGTAAATACAGCTTTGGCGTAGGAAGTTTAACTTCTATAAGAATACAGAATGCAAGAATTGTCCTGTTATTTTTCAGTCATATCATTTGCCAATATTGAAGTTAGAGGCAGAAAGTCTTCTATTTTATACTAACTTGGAAAATAATGATTTTTGGCAAACTTATTTTTTGCCTTTCACAACCAAAAAGACAAGTCTTATAAGCCTGTTGATTCTCTGTTGTATCACCTATGCATTAAATTGTCCATTAAAGAGGTTGTTAGACTTTCCGAATTTTATTCTCGGCTCTACTGTGTATTATCTGTGTGACCTTAGACTAAGGGACAATTTATTTAAGCCTCAGTTTCTTTCTCAGTGAAATAGAAATAATAGTACCACTTCATCAGGTTGCTGTAAAGTTTAAGTCAGAAAATAACGTGCAACACATCTAGAATAGCACCCGATCCACATTAAGTGGTTAGATATTAACTATTGTTTTACCATGAGCTTTTCTACATACCTGACTTAAATTCTGTAGTACAGTGAAAAATGCACTGATTTATACATTTCTACTACCACTGACCACCCCAAGTACTGGTAAGACACTTGGGATATTAGTAACCTCTATTTAAGAGACAGATGACCAATAGATCTCCTTATTCCAACTCCAAATTATTGGGAATGAAAGCTGACTTCCTCAGTTGTATATTGATAAAGAGTTTGAGGACTAAGCAAAAGAGAACAACATGGCCAACTTTTATGCCTATAAGGAGAGCGCTCAACATTGATACATGTACTTCTTTGAGAAAAAACTTTCAGCAACTTAAAAAGATGAGGATTTCTTTGCATTTGACTTTCACAAATGTAAATTTTATAAATAGGTTTATAATATAGTACACCAGATCAATAAAGTGCCTATAAGTTGTCTAGTTTAGCGATATAATAAAGTGGTGGAATTTCAGTAATTTACTCCTGGTGTTTAGGGTTTTGGTTTTTGTTTTTCCTTCTGTATATGAGAAGACTCATTTCTGGGGATCAAGGTTTGAAAAACTGTCACAAATTAGTGGGATTTGGAGATTTTTGAAAAATTAACTGATATGTAATGGAAGTTAAAAACAGTCATTTTCCCTGGCTGCGTAGCTCAGTTGGTTAGAGCATTATCTTGATAGGCCAAGGTTGCAAGTTTGATCCCTGGTCAAGGCATATACAATAATCAACCAATGAATGTATACAAGTAAATAAGTAGAATAACAAACCACCTTTCTCCCTCTCCCTCCTGCTCTCCCTCTCCCTCCCTACTTCCATCCCTCCCTCTTCCTCTCCCTTCCTCACTCTCTAAAATCAATCAATTAAAAAAAATTTTTTTAAACTAAGTCATTTTCATGAGTAGCAGTATATAAGACAGGGATGGTGTAGGACCCAGACACATAATTTAAATATGTGAAGCTAGATGGATATAAAACATCCTGGAGTACTGGGAATAGTGGTGAACTGGAAAATAAATTCCCATTCATTGTTTTATTTTTAACAAAAGCCTTATGTGTAGTGAGCAAAATATCAGAGGCATACCACTGGGTTATCACCTCTAATCTAAAAGTATCTTCTCTTAAAATGAGAAGAGGGTTATTTAAGAGTTGCACAGAGTCATAGAAAAAAAAATCATACTTAGTGATATCATTCCACATTTCTATATATTTATATTTTGGTTACTTATTCATTAACAAACGATTCAGATGTTTTAGGTGTGATCAAGTTACTGTGTGTGGTGTTTTTTCTAAACGAAAAAGTCCTTGTCTGAAATATCTATAGTTGATATGATCTGGGAGAGAGGGAAGTGTGTTGAGCTGTATAAAGACATAAGATTGGACCCAAGTCACTAATTGGGAATGAATTACCTTCTCACTACTTATTTTTGGTATTTCTTGAATAAAATAATTTAACATTGATATGTGAAAGAATATGTTAACTTAGAAACTCAACTGCAAATTGGTTGCTCTCATATAAACTCCATGGTAGAATAAGTATTCACTATTTATGCTTATTGATTTTATACACAGTGTTTGGAACACTTTTCTAAGATATCTATGTAAGGATACTTCTATAAATAATTGTATTTTACACATTTGAGAAAATAATTGTAAGAATTTTTAATGGTGCTAATGAAGGAAAATTATTGATGATTAAAAATGTAAAAAAAAAAAGAAATGTGATTTTTTTTTTTAAAGTAAACCCCAGAAGCAAAGAATATTTTACACTGACCTGGAACATAAATTAAAACGATTATTAGTAAATGTTATTTATTGCTTACTCTAGTCCAGACACTGTGCTGATTACTTTAGATACACTATCTCATTTTGCAACTAACAAATTCTTACTCAGTTTAAACAAAAAGGAGAGTTTCTTTTCGGGCAAGAAATCTGCAGGCCGATAAACTGTAAGGTTGGTTAATTCAGCCCTGTCACAATGTCTAAAAATCCCATTCCTGCCACATCTCCATTATGCCAGGCTTCATGTGTCTTCACACTAGTTATCCTCACGAATGCAAAGTGGCTGTAGAAGTTCCAGGTGTTACATCCAGGTGTGACAGCTTTCAGCAGAAAAATGGATATTTTCCCTTCCTGTATTTCTTTAAGGAGAAGAGAAAAAAAACAAAAGCTTTCCCAGAGACTACCCCACCCCGCAACAGCTTAACCCCTCACGACTTATTTCCTTCCAGTCAACCAGACACTGGCAATAGGTATAGGATTACTTTATTTCCGTCAATAAAGATTTACCCCTAAACCGAGTTTAGGTCACAATCCCTAAACACAAAACCTCATGGAAAAGAGTGTTTACTTAAATAAAACTGTGATTATATATCAAAGGAAGGAAGGAAATAACCTACTACAGCTATCATCCCTATTTTTAAAGTAGAAAAACTGAGGTACTAAAAATTATATAACTTGCCAAAGTCACAGAGCTTGTAAGTGGTAGATGTAGGAATTGAGCCAGATCTCTCCCTCACCCCCAACCCAGGCGCCTAATCCCAGAACTGTTCAGCCTCCCTGTGGAGACCATAACGGTTGGTGGAGGGGAGGGGAGTGGGGGAGGGGGACTTGATCGTGGCTGCAGTGGACCTGCAGATGTTGACATAGCTTTCCTACCCCTCCAAAACCTCTGAGGTAACCACATGAGTTTAGACCTCCAAGAAGACAAGGGGGATTTAATGAAAAGATATGAAATATGGTCTCTACTTTGAGGAAGCTTATCATTTAATTCTTTCTGTAAAATAAACAAAAAAGAAAACAGCAGATGGCATTTACAGAAGACATAATTGATTATAACAGTGAACCAGTGGCAAAGGACTTCTTACAAGTGTGCTTGAATTGGGAAGGCTTCATGAGGTCAGGATTTCAAAAACACATTTTAAAGGAAAAGGAAACCTAATGGAATAGTGAAAACATGCACCAAGGAAAAGTTTGAAAGGAAACTACAGGTAATGTTTGTCTTGCAGAACGCCCCAAATAACTCTTGCATCCTATTGGGACTTCGGAATTTTTAGTGTTTGTTCCATGGTTTTTACTTTTTATCACATGAGAAGATTCTAGTCACTTGTATGGCATTTCCCTATTAAACCCTTGCTATTGCAAGGTGCTGACATATTTATTTTGTCTGTTCTCTTTAGGTCAGATGTCCTGTAATCCTTCCTTTGGTGGCATCGGAAAAGGGCATTTAATGAGGGAAGTTGATGCTTTGGACGGCCTATGTGCCCGAATCTGTGACCAGTCTGGTGTACATTACAAAGTACTAAACCGCCGCAAGGGACCAGCTGTTTGGGGTCTAAGAGCTCAAATTGATAGGAAACTTTATAAACAGAACATGCAGGTAAGAATAGGGCACGGAAACCATAGAGATTGGATTGTGGTGATCGTTAAACTCTTGTTTCAATTTGCATTCTCTTTTGCCAGAAAGAAATCCTCAATACAGCACTGCTCACTGTTCGGGAGGGAGCTGTGGAGGATCTCATTCTCACAGAGCGAGAACCTGAGCACACTGGGCAATGCCGTGTCAGTGGTGTTGTTTTGGGTATGCACTACTTAGAGACACTAACAACAGCATCAGACTCTATGCAAGCAATTTATTTTAGAGCAGAGGATGGAAAAGTTTTTTTTACTTATTCTAGGAAATGTTGTGTTTTCTCTTCATGGTTGGGAAAACTGTTTAAAAAATCATAAATCTCTTTTCATTTTGGACTTTGCAAAGCTTAGTTATGGGCTCATCGGTACATGTGTAGAACTGTATCTGCTGCACAACTGTGTCTTTTTCTCTTGGCTTTTCTGTTTCACCTTTTATTTTTCTTAGTTCTGAAGATGCTGTAACCAACTGAGCTACTTGGCCAGGGCTAATGATCGATTTTTGAAGTTTCCTTCTGATCTATGCATTATTTTCTCCAAATTTCTTTAATTCTCTTTATTTATTTGGGCTCTTTATTTTCATGTACATGACTTTCTTCAAGTGTCTGGGGAACTTTGGTTGTCTTTTTAGAATTTTAAAAATGAAGCACCAAAACACTAATTGGAAGATTTGTGAGTGCCCAGTTAATTTTATTGCTTGGCTGACTCTCTGCTCTGGTGATTAGGGACCAAACTGGCCTCTGCGTCGGGGACTCCCAAATGTCGCTGTCCGTTAGTTCTCAGCACGCCTGGTGGCATTCCGGGAACAGGATGGTACGGGGAGCTATGCTGGGGAAGCTCATCATTTCAAATACAGACCTAGACTTAATTTCCCTGTCACAAAACTAATTTGTATTCTAGATTTATTAATTTTTTTGAATAGGGAATGCATATACATGCTAAACACTTCCAAGGGGACAGGAGAATATACAGTGAGAAGGTGATCTCTCTCATCTCATCGCTCAGCCAAGTAGTTTTCCTCTTCCAGAGCATTCTTAGTTTCCTGTGTAGTCTTTCTATCTGTGCATATATATGTATCTTCATACGTACGTGTGTGTGTGTGTTGTTTCACATAGCAGCATATTATACACACTGTTCTGGACTTTTATTTTAACCACTTAGTCTGTTTGCAGTTTGGGAGCTATGTTCCTTTCTGTGTTTTTGTTCTGGTGATTACCTCGATAACTATGATTTTATGTAGTGTTTAATCTTCTCTTTCTTCTGTCAGTGAACAGTTACTAAATTAGTTTTATTTTCATTTCCTTTTTTCTCTCCTTGCTTCTTCAGATTTAATAATATTGTATGTAGACCTTTAAAACTTTATTTATGCTTTTATTACTTAGTTTCATCTTTGAATGCTATTTTTTTACCCTGTCTGTATTTTACATGCTTAGTAATACAATATTTTATTATAGTATAATGTACATAAAGTAAAATTTGCCATTTTAGCCATTTTTAAGTGTACAGCTCTGTGCCATTAAGTACATCCACAGTGTTGTTCAACTGCCACCACTAGCCATTTCCAGAACTTTCTCATTCTGAATGGAAGCTCTGTGCCCATTGAACAATAACTCCCAGTCACCCAAAGAATAAACCTAAATTTTCCCGTAAGGAAGTCCATCTGCAGATACAAGCTTTTTGTGTAGATTTCAACTATTTCTTCTAGTTTCATCCCCAAGCTTCATTCCTACACTCCTCAGCTCTCATTCTCAGCTGCCCAGTTTCTGGGCTTTTTTTAGGGCAAATTAGTCCATCCTCATTGGTGTCTTCTCTTCAGATTCTTGGTTTCTGGCTTCTCCCCTATGCTAGATCACTTATCACTCTTTCAGCCACATTCTGTCTTTCAAAAATATTTTGAAATGTCTCATCTTTTGACAAGTTCTTTCCCATTTGTTGTCCTTGCAGTTTTATACTTTTTTGCTCCTTTATTTTATTTTCTTGGAGTTTGAGGAGGGAGAAGGGATCATGTGAGACAGCCTGTCAGATTTAACCAGAAGTCTAACGTTAATTAATTTTCAAAATTGACTGATTTAATCATTTTCAGTGCTGGTATAATTCTAGGAACATGTGCATTGGTGATAGCACATTATGTTCTCCCTCCCAGCTTTCTTGGATACTAGGGATTGATAACGTTTAGCCTTCTTACTCTCATAAAGTTATTTCTCAAGTTCCTAAAGAGAAAGTTTTCCTGTAATTCTAATGTAAAATAGTCACATTCTAATTTGATCTATGGTATTAATTGGAACGTGATTTTTACTCCTTTCTGTCGTTTAGTGGATGGCAGCAGAGTATATGCGGACAGCGTGATTCTGACTACTGGGACATTTCTGAGAGGCATGATTGTGATTGGACTGGAGATGCATCCGGCAGGACGTTTAGGGGATCAGCCTTCCATAGGGTTGGCTCAGACTCTCGAGAAGTTGGGGTTTGTGGTGGGAAGATTAAAGACTGGGACTCCACCCCGAATTGCCAAAGAATCAATTAATTTCAGCATTCTAAACAAGCAGACACCAGATAATCCACCAAAACCATTCAGCTTTATTAATGAAACAGTGTGGATTAAGGTAAGATAGTTTACGAAAATCTGGCTTTACAGCTAAATATTGACTATTTACAGAAGGGTATAACCTAAGCCTGCCTTCTTTCCTTATTCCCTCCCTCCCTCCCTCCTTTTCTCTCCCTCCCAACACCCACCCTTCTTGGTAACAATTAACTTTACATTATTATTACTCAGGGTGCAAAATAAATGATCTTTAAAAGGATTAGCTAATTTGGCTTATTGGGTCATTTTACCGTATGTTCTTAAATTTCATTACTTCAATAACTTTGCTTATTTAAACTTTTTGAAACAATCTCAGACCTACAGAAAAGTTGCAAGACAATTAAAACAGTATCTTATAAACAATTGAAATTCACCCATTGTGAATATTTGACCATATTTCTATCTTCCTCTAGTTATATAAAATATATAGTGTAAAAAGTAGTATACACATTTATTCTCCTTCCTCTTTTTTTTGTCTGAAACATTTGAGAGCAAATTGCAAAGATCATGACCCTTTACCCCTAAATACTTTAGTCTGTATCTCAGCTAAGCATAAAAACATCCTTTACGTAACTTCAATGCAGTGATGAAATTTAGGGAATTTAACATCGATGCAGTAGTGTTGTATAAAGTCCATGGTCAGATTTTGCTGACTGTCCCAATGTTGTCCTTTATAGTGCTCTTTTTTTTCCCATCTAAGATCATATATTGCATTTAACTGTCGTTTCTCTTTAATCTGAGTTTTTCAGCCTTTCATTATACTGAAATTTTTTTAAGAATACAGGTTACTTTTGCCTGTATTACTTTGGAATATGATAAAAAATTGTGTTTTTAGAATTAAGAACTAATAACTTAAGGTCCTAGTTTCATGTGTGTTATCCTAATGGGTGGCTTCCAATATATTGTGTTTTTAAAAAGTCACTTTTATATTTTTGCTTTGGGAAAATGTAGATTTTGATGGTACTATCTTTTTTTATATATATATAGTAATATTTATTTTTTTAAAGATTTTATTTATTTTAAGAGAGAGAGGAAAGGAGGGAGAAAGACAGAAAGAAGCATCAGTGTGTGGGTTGTCTCTCACGTGTCCCCAAATGGGGACCTGGCCTGCAATCCAGGCTTGTGCCTGACTGGGAATTGATGGTACTATCTTGGTATGTACATTTTAAAACTTCTATTATAAAATTTTAAGTTTACAGAAAGTAGAAGAAATAATATAATGAATATGTGTCCCATCACTCAGCTTCAATAAATAACATTTTTTGGTATTCTTGTTTTATTTTTCCTCAATACTTTCTAATTGACGAGTTTAAGCAACACTCCCAGACATCATACCATTTCACTTATAAATACTTTGGTATATGTCTTTAACAGATAAAAACTTTATAAATATTAACTACAATACCACTACCACACCCAACAAAACAATATTTTTTTTAAACTTTATTTTTTGAGAGAGGGGAAGAGAGGGAGAAAGAGAGGGAGAGAAATATGAATGTGTGGTTGCCTCTCACACACCCCCTGCTGGGGACCTGGCCTGCAGTCCAGGCATGTGCCCTGACTGGGAATCAAACCAGTGACCTTTTGGTTTATAGGTTAACACTCAATCACTGAGCCACACCAGCCAGGGCTATAATTTCTTAACATCATGCACTAGTCAGTGTTTTAGTGGCTTTTGTTACATTAAAGTATTTATTTAAAATGTTTACAGTTTATTTTAAATGTTTCTTTATAATCACTTTATTTAAACCAAGAATCAAATAAGGTTCATACATTGCAGTGGATGCTATGCCTTATAATAGTTCCCCCTCTTTTTTATTTTTTGACATTTATATGGGGAAGAAATAGTCATTAGTTCTCTAGATCCAGCATTCTAGATTTGTCTGATTTCATCCCTCTGATGACTTAAACATGTTTCTCTAACTGCTGTATTTCCTATAAACTGGCAGATGTAGAGGCTTGCTCATATTTAGGTTCATCTTTTGGGTTGTTTTTGGCAAGATTATTTCATAAGTAGTACTTGGCATTATGCACAGATTTAATGTCTATAAAAGCAAGTTCAGCCCTGTCTAGTGTGGCTCAGTGGATTGAGTGCCAGCCTGTGAATCATAAGGATTGCCAGTTCAATTCCCAGTCACGACACAGGCCTGGGTTGTGGGCCATGTGCCCAGTTGGGGGTGCATGAGGGGCAACCACACATGGATATTTCTCTCCCTCTCTTTCTCCCTCCCTTCTCCTCTCTCTAAAAATAAATAAATAAAATCTTTTTTAAAAAAGTAAGTTCATATTTTGTATACAATGTATTTGAATAAGATGCAAACTAGTATAAAAGCAAAAGTAACTAATTCATGTGTTTTAGCCAGAAGATCAGCTGCCATGTTACTTGACTCACACCAACCCTAGAGTGGATGAGATTGTCCTTGAGAACCTTCACCTTAATAGTCACGTTAAAGAAACTACAAGAGGACCCCGGTAAGGACAAAATAACACTGCTCAATAACTTCAGGGAACGATGCCAATCCCCTTTTCTCTGTATCATTGATTTTTTTTTTTTAACTTCCATGTCCTCTTCTAGATACTGTCCCTCCATTGAATCAAAGGTTTTGCGTTTTCCAAACCGTGCACATCAAGTTTGGTTGGAACCTGAAGGAATAGATTCTGACCTCATTTACCCCCAAGGGTTATCTGTGACACTACCAGCTGAATTACAGGAGAAAATGATCACATGCATCAGAGGCTTGGAGAAGGCTAAAATGGTCCAGCCAGGTAAAGAAAATCACATCTGCCCCGTTAGCGGGAGCTCAGCATTGCCTTAGCAGACGGTGAGATCTTGGCTACGGTCATGGTCGCTTAGAGCCTCACAATTCAAAGCCCAATATCTGTGCACTTAAAATAGCCTTAATCTTTTACTCGGACTGGTGTGGCTCAGTGGATTGGGCGTCCTCCTGCACACAGGATTGCGGGCTCAATTCACTGTCCGGGCGCCTGCCTGGGTTACGGGCCAGGGCCCTGGTGGGGGGCATGCAACAGGCAGCTAATCGATGTTTCTCTCACACGTCAACGTTTGTCTCCCTCTTTTTCTCCCTCCCATCTCCTCTGTCTAAAAATAAATAATAAAATCTTTTACAAAATAAAAATAAAATAATATTCATTTCTGAAGAGCATTGAGTGATAATCTTTGCCTCTTTACCCCAAGTCACATCCAGCTCTTTGTACTTACTGTGCATCATTTATTCTTTGGTCAGGCTATGGTGTTCAGTATGATTACTTAGACCCCCGTCAGATCACTCCTTCTCTTGAGACCCATTTGGTGCAACGGCTCTTCTTCGCTGGACAAATAAATGGCACTACTGGTTATGAGGAAGCTGCAGCTCAAGTAAGAGATTGTTCAAACATTAATGTAAATGGAAAGGGACTATTTAACTGGTATTCCTCCTTCAAATGTTTGTTACAATAATTATATAGATCTTAGATACAATTCATAACTAATAGGAGACTTGCTTTTGCTTCAGGATATGTGGAGATGGCTACTGTATGCAATAGGATTTTAAAAACACTTTGGCTTTATTCTTTTAAGATGACTTTATTGAAAGTGATCATATATTATTCCTTTTAAGTGGGAAGTTATATTATTTTTACTTTTAAGTGGGAAAAGGCTAGAAAAGTTTTATAGGTGGAGTTTTATGTAAAAAAGGTTATCCCACCTAGCCCCTCAGGAATGTATTTTGAAAACAATGAATCATAGCATTGTAAACTAGTACATTACCCATATTCTGTTTTGAGTAAGGTTCAGATTTTCTGCCTCTAGTCTGTCCCTTCTGGGCAGTGGCTGCTTTCGTACTGCCTCTTGAGGTTTTTTTCTAGCTAGTGTTCTGAATAGGACAGCTCTTTGTTCAGTTTGAAATGGCCTTTTAATCATTTCAGTCCTCTTGTAGGGTGTAATAGCTGGAATCAATGCAAGTCTTCGGGTTAGACACAAGCCTCCTTTTGTCATTAGCCGAACAGAAGGCTACATAGGAGTCTTGATCGACGACCTCACCACACTGGGCACCAACGAACCATACCGAATGTTTACCAGCCGAGCAGAGTTTCGTCTGTCACTGCGCCCTGACAATGCCGACAGCCGCCTCACTTTCCGAGGTAACTCTTCACTGAGTCTGCCAACTAGGTTTACTCTTCTTTCAAACCTCTCCCATATTCTCTGAAAACTTTCTCATTATATTCTCTCCTGCACTCTTTCAGGGTATAAGGAAGCTGGCTGTGTGTCCCAACAAAGATATGAAAGGGCTTCTTGGATGAAGTCTTCCATACAAGAATGCATTTCTGTGCTAGAATCTATTGAGTTTTCAAGTTCTAAATGGAAAAAGTTAATTCCTGAGGCTACTATAAGTACGGATAAAAGTGTGCCTCTCAGGTATGCATTTTTAATAGAAACCTTTCTCTCTCTTTACAGAAAAATGAGATCATTTCAGAGACACATTGCCTGTAGACTCCCTATATACACATTTTAAAGGAAGCTTGCTTTTGGCTTCTTTTTAAATTCCTTTCAATGTAATTTTTCTTTTTATTTAGTTTTAAAAATATTTATGATTCAAATTATTATTTTTACTCTGTATACACTTTTCTGTGGCTCCCATTGAATTCTTCTGGCTCTGCTAAGATTTAGAGTTTACAAACCAAGAAATACAGTTACCTGCTAGCTTTCTTTTACAGGCATGGAGCAACTGGGGTGGTCTCACCTTGTCTGTGAGCTGTATAACAAAGAAGCTTCTTTGATTAAGCAGAGTGTTATAAATTCTTTGGATTTACTTGATGTGTCCCTTGTTACATTTTAGGAGGGGGTGGTTCTTGTTTTTATCATTCTGGTTACATGGGCTCTTAAAGGATATTAATATAGAGTTTTTTGATTCAAAGATATGTTTCTAAGGACCTTTATAGAAAAGTTCGCCTACTTCACACTGATTTTTCCCATTAAAAAAAAAAGTAAGCTAATAAAGAAGGAGTGGGTCTCAGAAGGTATAAATATCCAGTTGTTATACCTTAAAAGCACACATATGGGGCATTTATCTTGCAACTGTATTTCTAGTATAGATTTTCCCTTTCTTTTAATCTTTATTTTCCTAGTGAGGGATTTTTTATGAACATAAGTATACCCATTTTAAGGCTGCTTATCTGTATTTTATTATCTCTAATCTTTCCAATGCCTGTCTCCTTAATTGACAGCCTGGCAAAACATGTCCTTTGGCTTTCATTTCCACATGGTATTTTATTGTTTACAACTTCTTTTTCCAAGTTTTCATTTTCATGGGAATTTCTCAAAGCACTGGCACCTGTATTAGAGGATATTATGCAGTTTTGTAATTATAGTAACAGTGGTTATTAAAGAATCTGCATAGTAGTCAGCCATGTCAGAGGATCTCATTCACAGCAATAACAGCTTGATTTCCAAATAGGGGTGCTGGATATATTTGTTTACTGACTAAGTGGTAGTGCTATAAACATAGTTTATAATTGTAATCCACTCAATTTTCCAGCAGTTTGTTTAAATTTAGGAGGGCTCACATTATTTCAAACTTTGCACAAAGAATTTATAACATTATGCTTTGTTTTGGTCAAAAATGCACTATTTCAAATTTATATAATTAGAATTTGCATTAGATGTGACTGATATGTCTTGAGGTCATAGTGAAAGCAGGGGAGTGATTGTTTTCAACAGTTTAAAATGCTAATTGATGCAAAGTTTAAAATATGTAAAAGCCTACAATCAAAGCTATTTTGCCCAGCAAGGCTATTGTTTAAAAATTGAAGGAAAAATAAGGGCTTCCCTGACAAGAAGAAGCTAAAGAAGTTTCTTAACACCAAACCAGCACTGCAACAAATGTTAAAGGGCTTGCTTTAAGATGAAGAAGAAGAAAAAGAGGAAGAAAAAAGAAACAGAGGTAAATAGTTTAACAATACAAGGGCACAAAATACGTATCTATCAATAATCACCTTAAATGTAAATGACTAAATGCTCAAACCAAAAGACATGCGATAGCTGAATGGATAAGAAAACAAAAACCATATATGTGTTGCTTCCAAGAGACCTACCTCAGATTGAAAGATACACACAGACTAAAGGGATGGGAAAGGATATTTCATGCAAATGGAAAGGAATAAAAAAGCTTGGGTAACAGTACTTACATCCCTCAAAATAGACTTTAAAACCAAGGCTATTGTAAGAGACAAAGAAAAGCATAATGATAAAGGGAACAATCCAACAAGAGGACATAACCCTAGTAAAGATTTACATACCCAACATAGACGCACATATATGTAAAGCAAATCTTAATGGACATAATGGGAGAGATCAGCAGGAATACAGTCACAGCCAGGGACTTTTACACCCCTTTGACTTCAATTGATAGATCTTCCAGACAGAAAATCAACAAGGAGACAGTGGCCTTAAACGACACGCTAGATCGAATGGATTTAATTGATACCTTCGGAGCATTTCATCCGAAAGCAGCAGAACACACATACTTTTCAAGTGCGCATGGAACATTTTCTAGGACAGACCACATGTTAGGATACAAAACAAGTCTCACTACACTTAAGAAGATAGAAATCATATCAGCCATCTTCTATGACCAGTATGTTATGAAATGAGAAACCAAGCATAAGAAGAACACTGAAAAACATGAATACATAGAAGCTAAATGACATGTAATTAAACAATGAATAAGTCAACAATGAGATCAAGGAAGAAATAAAAAAATGCCTTGAAACAAGTAAAAATGAGAATGCAGTAATCCCAAATCTGTGGGACACTGGGAAAGCAATCCTAAGAGGAAAATTCTTAGCATTATAGGCCTATCTCAAAAAACAAGAAGACACTCCAACAATCTAACTTTACACTTAAAGGAACTTGAAAAAGAACAACAAACATAGCCCAAAGTGAATAGAAGGAAGGAAATAATAAAAGAGCAGAAATAATCGAATTGGAGTCAAAAAAAATGATGCAAAAGATCAGTGAATCCAAGGGCCAGTTCCTTGAAAAGATGAGCAAGATTAACAAACCTTTAACCAGACTCATCAAGGGAAAAGATAGAGAGGACCAAAATAAATAAAATCAGAAATGAAACAGGAGAAATAACTGACACGAAAGGAATAGAAAGGATTGTAAGAAAATATTCTGAACAACTATATGCCAGCAGATTGGACAACCTGGACAAAAATGAATGAATTACTAGAAACATACAGTCTTCCAAACTAAATCAAGAAAAATCAGAGAATTTAAATAGACAGATGAAACCTAGTGAAATTAAAGCAGTAATAAAAAAACAAACAAACAAAAAGAAACCCCAAAAACCTCCCAACGAACAAAAGCTCTGGGCGGGATGGCTTCACAGGTGAATTTTATCAAACATTCTAAAAACTAACACCTGTCCTCAAACTATTTCCAAAAATTAAGAGAAAGGAAGTCCCCCAAGCTCATTTTACAAGGCCAGCATTATCCTAATTCCAAAACTAGGTAAAACACACTACAAAAAAAGAAAATTATAGGTCAATATCCCCAATGAACATAGACACTAGAATTCTCAACAAAATACAGAAAACCAAATACACAATGCATCAATACACAATACATCAAAAATATCACACACCATGATTGAATGGGATTTATTCCAGGAATGCAAGGTTGGTATAACATTCATAAATCAAAGTGTGATTCACCACATAAAGAAAATGAAGAATATAAACCACATAGTCATGTCAATGGGTGCAAAAAAACCTTTTCATAAAATCCAGCATACATTTATGATAAAAAGTCTCAGCAAAGTGGGAATAGGAGGAACATACCTAAACATAATAAAGACCACATATGACAAAGCCACTGCCAGCATCATATTCAACGGGTAAAAACTACAAGTGTTCCCCTTAAGATCAGGAACAAGACAGGGATGTCAGCTTTCAGTTGTCTTATTCAACATAGTATTGGGAGTTCTTGCCACAGGAATCAGAGAAGAAGAAATAAAAGGAATCCAAATTGGAGAAGAAGAAGTAAACCTGTCTTTATTTGCAGATGACGTGATACTGTACATAGAGAACCCCAAAGATTCCACCGAAAAACCACTAGAATTGATAAATGAATTCAGCAAAGTAGCAGGATACAAAATTAATATCCAGAAACCAGCTGCATTTTTATATGCCAGTAATGAACTAATGGAAAGGGAAATTAAGGAAACAATCCCATTCACAATTACTTCAAAAAGAATAAAATACCTAGGAATAAACCTAACCAAGAATTTAAAAGACCTGTTCTCAGAAAAAATTAAAAATATATAAAAGGCTATCAATTTTATATTTTTACCAAACTTCTCCCATGAGTGACTATTTTGTTAAGGTGATTTTTTTGTAACAGTAATGTAACCAAATGCTTTTCTTTTTAATTTAGGTCTTTCCCTTTAGGAGGACGCAAGCATGATCCCAGTCTCCATGTTTGATTTCAGTAGAATAGAATTTATTTATTTTTTCCTTTTTAAAAAAATGTTTTTAATATTTTGATTACAGTTCACTATATCAAGCTAAACAAACAGAAAGTTGGTAAAATACTTGGATTGCTTTTGCTGCATATATGCCAGGCTCTGTGCTAAGCATGGACAAGTTGAACCAGACTTTGAGCCACTATTTTAACCAGAGACATACACAGGTGCATGTGCACACACATTTCTTGTCAGGATTGTAAGGAAACCCATTGATGTATCAGTTAGCTCAGAAATTATCTTGTCTTCTATTGAAGTATGAGAACTTGTCCTTTCTGTGCCAGACCTTTGGACTCGGAGGCTTACACTCGATTCAAAGCACATCTTGAAGTTTGGAGCTAAGAACAGCTCCAAGTCTTGTAAACAAATGATTTATTGATTTATTTATTTTAAATAAATTAGATGGTCATGGGCTTTTCTTCAAGGTCTCCATCCTGCAGATTCCAAGGTAACTCTTTTCTTGGTTAGTCATTAGGGGATATGTTCCACTATGTTCTCTAATTTTTGAAATTGACTGTCATTACCCCTTTGGAGCTTAGGGTTCTATGATTTCAATATAGCTTATGTGATGAGGCCTCTGTAGTTAGTTGTCCAGTTCCTTGTGGGGAGAGAATTTCTGGCCTTCCTCAGAGCTGGCTTTCTGAGGAACAGATGAATCAAACACCTGCAAAGGGTGCGAATACATGACAGAATGAGCTACAAAGAAGGGTTGGTGAGAGGCCTGGAAAGACTAGGGGCCCCTGATGGGCAGATCTGACTTCCTATTGACTTGATAATTAATTGGTTTAATTGGTTTTGGGTAGACAGAATTTATCAAAAAGGCATTCTATTAAAAGAGGGAAAGATCAAAGTAAACAAAAATAAAATGAATTAAGGCAGTAAATATAGGGAAACTGTACAGATCAGTGATGTCTTGTGAGAACCAAACAGAAAGAGAGAAACTACAGACTATTTTGCAGTCCTGGAGCAAGCAGGAGACCCCCTGCAGCTGGTTCTGAGGACACAAAAGAGTGACTCATTTACAGAACAGGGGCTTAAATGGTATGGCTTAGATGTAAATTCTTAGGAAATTCAATCAAACCCTTGTAATCAGAGAATATTCTGTTCTGACAAAAAAGGTCAACCTTTACCAACAATTCATTTCTCATGATAAAGGAAAGGAGAATCACACACATCTTACTGAGGTTCTACTGTGTTGCAGATGCTTCCAAGTTCACTGTACTTGGAGAAAATTAGCTATCTTTTGATATTATTTATTCTGAGATTATTATCTCCAAGGAATTCTGTTCTTAACCTGTCTTATATGATATGAACCCCTCTGTTAATGAAATATTTGTGTATTTGCAGAGCTCTAGATGTTCTGAAATATGAGGAAGTTGACATGGAGTCATTGGCCAAGGCTGTCCCAGAGCCCTTGAAGAAGTACACTGAATGTAGAGAACTAGCTGAAAGACTGAAAATAGAAGGTAGAAACTACGTTTTTTACTTAAGATTCCTGTATACTCCCTTTACCATTGGTAGAAATTATGAGTGGACATCAGATCCACTAAGAGCTCTGTTTAAAGAGGAGCCATCGTTACCACAGGGCCAGCGTAGTCTCAGGCTCTGTGCTGTGTGGGCCCCCAGGCTAGGGGCACTGCAACACATGTGAGCCCGTCGGGCATGCTGGGCCTCAGGCTCCGCCCCGGACCCACTGAGTGGGCATCTGCGTTTTAACAAGATCCCCAGGTGTTCAGTGTGCACATTGCAAGTTTGGGAACTGCTACTCTAAAACTCTCCTTTGAAAGAAATACTTATTTTTTATAATTTCCTTTTACGATTTCCCCATAGATTTTCTCATAATGAGAAAAATAATACTGTGTTTGGCCTTCACAATGTACTGGAATACTCTACCACTAACAGATACATACTTTGTATCAGGAAAGAAACACAGAGTCCACCCTGCACATTATAGCACACAGTGCGCTCTCATACTCTGGGCCAGTGCGTTGACCATCAAAGCTACAGATGACTTTGTAGTTTCACTGCATTTTTAAGGTTTTTCACTATGAAAAATTCCAAACATAAAAATACTGAGAATAAGATCATCTTCTGTATTTTGACAGAGGATGTTTTTTTCCTGGAGTGGAAAATTATGTGGAGAGAAAGGGAACAGAATGCGATGGGGAGAACAGGAGGAAAAGTTGGGGGGTGATGTGCTCTTTAAACAGGAAGGGACTTTCAGCTCCTTGGGGCCCAGCGGAGGTGGTGCTAATGCTTCATTCCTTCCAGCAGTGGCACCTTCTGTCAGTTCCAGAGAGGTCTGTCACCTTGCTATGCTTTGGCTGCCTTTTAGGATGACCCACACGGTGCCTGCCGTCCCACCATGCAAGTTAACAAAAGTTGAGCAACGAAAGGAAACCCAGCTAAACTCTCAAATCACTCTTTCCAATGACCAGACACCAGTAGTATACTAATGTGTAAGAAGTAATGTTGACCTTTTATTTCAGTATCATGATTTCTCCATTAAATAAAAATTACTGTATTGAACATCTACACTCTTAGCACCTGGGTAAAGGCGATTAAATTCCATGTTTTAAACTTGGCTTGTAATTTAATTTGTCCAATAAATCACCAGGTTCAGGTTAGAATAATCCAGAGTAATCATCTTTAACTTGTTTGTAGACAAAGACACTAATTTGTGTCTTTGGCTTAAAAGAAACCACACTAGGTTAAAATATGACAGCTATCAGTGGTTTTCAAATCACTTTGCAGATCCTCCACTAGACAAGTTTCTTGAGGGCAGAAGTCAATTTCAGAGTCTTGTATTATCTCTCATGTTTTGCTCTGTACTTACTTGAAAGATTAATTAAATATACTTTTAACACACACACACGCACACACACACACAATTTTCTGTCATTTATATTCCATGATTCCCTGCTGAGTCTATTCGTGAGTCATAAAATTGTATTACAATTACAATTTGTTGTACTAAATCGTTATATCACAATATTGTATTAAGACCTTTATGTGCATTATTTCATTTGATACTTAAACTGTCCTGTGAAGGACAGGTGTTAGCATTATTACAGAAATGTGGTAACTTGCCCAAGAACACACGACTGGTGAGAGGCAGAGATAGGATTTGAACCTAGGTTGTCTGACTGTAAGGCCTGTGCACCTCACGACTACCCTCTGTTGCCATTAAGATCCTTAGAACATATCTAAGTCAGCCCTTAGAATTTCTAGATAAAGAAGCTAAGGCCCAGAAGGATAATGACATGCCCACAGTCAGAGGATAATTAATTGGCAGAGCCAGCCTCAGGGCTGAGATTTTCTGGCTGCCAATGCAGTGAGGGAGGCAGGTGCTACAAAACCTTTAGGGAAGACTTGCTTTCTTGAACAGGACAGGATGACCATCTCAATTTAGGTTTTAAAACGGGTTTTGAATTAATTTTTCTTAGAACAGAATGCTTTAATTACAAAATAATGGCTGGATTATCTTTCCAACTTCTGAATAAAATGTTAGTTAAATTACTTAAATCACGTATTATCATCTAAAAAGCTTTAAACTTTCTAAAATTATAGCTTACATGTTCATAATTCAGAAAACCTTTTTCTTGAAGAAACATCTGAACTTTAGGACTTAAAATTCAAACACACAGCTTGTTAGGGAATGTTCCATCAAAATTTGCACTGAAAAGGAACGCAGTTTCTTTTCTTACTTTTAATTTCCAAACTTTTTGAAATGGAAAGGACATGCAGTAAACTACTAGGCAGCATGTTGTAGTTAATATGTAAGACACTCCCTCTGTTTATTTTAGCTTCAGTTGCCTCATCTACAAAAGGGAACACAGACCCCACCTATGTCATGGTGTTGAGATGAGGGTTGGATGAGATAATGTATGCAAAAGCTTTTTGTAAATTGTAAAGAACTATAAAAATGTAATACATTGATATAACCAGAATATCATAACTAATTTTGTTCACCAGCCACTTATGAATCAGTATTGTTCCATCAGCAACAAGAAATAAAGAATGTTCAGCGAGATGAAGCTCTCCAGCTGCCAAAAGACCTAGATTATTTGACTCTCAGAGATGTATCTTTGTCCTCTGAAGTTCGGGAGAAGCTACATTTCAGTCGCCCGCAGACGGTGAGAAAATGGGCAGTGGTTAGGAGCAGGCCATTAATTAAGAGCCAGTGCTTTAATTTTTTAAAAATCTCGAGTTGCCATGGCCACATAATTGATGTTTTATTTCATCATAACAAACTTAAACTCTTACTGTCAGTATCTCTTTCTGTGACAGATGTCAATATATTTTTATGAGAGATGGAAAAGCTTAGTGTAAATAAATAACCAGAAGTTAAGAATTCGGTTGATTATAATTTGATGGTTTTCAAATCACTAACTGGATTCCTCTCTAGGATTTGATAATGTGGCCTTTGCAGCTACCAGGAGAAAGAAGGGAACCAAAGAGGTCCGCCACCCCATGCTTTAGCCTAAGAGTGTTTATATGTGTACATGCAAGTATGCACGCATGCATGTGTGTGCACACACGCGCACATCTATAAGCATCTATAAAAAACTTTATAGTGTGTAGTGTGAGCCTCTAGTGAGTAGTTAAAGACTGATAGGCTGTAAGTATTGATTCTAAGACGTACATTTTAACATCTCTGAAAATGAGTTATACATTAAAAATTGGTGGTGTCTCAGTTTAATGAGCAGTGTTGTTTTGTTTTTTTTTATTTTTTTAATAATGTTTATACAGAGTTTTTTAAAGATTTTATTTATTTATTTTTAGAGAGGGGAAGGGGGGGAGAAAGAGGAGAGAAGCATCAATGTGTGGTTGCCTCTCGTGTGCCCCCTACTGGGGACCTGGCCTGCAACCCAGGCATGTGCCCTGACTGGGAATCGAACCAGTGACCCTTTGGTTCGCAGGCTGGCACTCAGTCCACTGAACCACACCAGCCAGGGCTGTTTTGTTTTTTTTAGTAGTGGGTCATAACAAATATATAATTTATAAAAATTTTTTAAGTGATTTTAAAAGGGAAGAGTGAGTTCATCAATATAATATGCTATTCTTAGGAATAGTCATCATTGAAACCAGGCAAACAAACCTTAAATTTTATAACTCTGTACATCCTATGCATTTTGGGTTATGTTTTTATGGACAGTCACAGGCTGTATTGCCCAGGATTATGGCCAGTAGCCAAATGGACCATTTATATTAATTGAAATAAAATAAAATATAAAATTCAACTCTTCAGTCATACAAGGCCCATTTCAGGAGCTAAGCAGTCACATGTGGCTAGTGGTTACTATATTGAACAGTGCAAATGTAACAGGAAATCTTCATTATCACAGAAAAGTCAGTGGAACGGCACTGGTCATTAAGAATTCACAACCCCTCATCCGCAGTTCTAAAATATAAGAAACCCTGATGAATGTCTGCTGCAGACTCATTTGGTGACAACACTGACCTGAACTGGAATGAGGCTATTTAGTCTTTATACCACTTAGAATTAATATTCATATATTTCACTGTAAAAATACAACACAGAAATATTAAGTATACGGTGCTGCCCAACACACTGGGGATGTTACATTAGGGTTTTTTTAAAAAGACTTTATTTATTTATGTTTAGAGAGATGAGAAGGGAGGGAGAAAGAAAGGGAGAGAAACATCGATCGGTTGCTTCTCATACACACCCCAACCAGGGACTGAACCTGCAACCCAGGCATGTGTCCCAACCAGGGATCGAACTGGCCACCTTTTGCTTTGCTGGACAATACCCAGCCAACTGAGTGAGCCACACTGGTCAGGGCAGTTATATTAGTTTATTTAAAAAAGAAAGTAGGCACTCTAACATCTGTTAGTTGTTGATCTGGGACAAATCATTTCAATTTCTCTAAGCCTCAATTTTTCTATTTTTTTTTAATGAAGATGTTAATAATCACATTTTATTTATAGAGTTATTTAGAAAATGCATTAAGATAGTTTTTCAAATATTTTATAAACTATAATATACAAATTGGTATTGGGAGGAAGATCTTGACACAGCTCACTTTTTTCTTCTTGTGGTTTTAATTCGTAGATTGGCGCTGCTAGTCGTATACCTGGAGTGACACCTGCCGCCATCATCAATCTGCTCAGATTCGTGAAGACCGCTCAGCAAAGACGGCCAGCTATGCATGAGTTGCCCAAAACTGATCAGCATTTATGTGATACAGAGAAACTTGAAGAGCAACAGTTATAGCTTTCTAGTCAAAGAAGACTTTTAATTAATATAAGTGTATAGATAGTAGATAAATATTTGTATTTAGCACCTGTTAAAATAACCTTATTAGTTATTATGGCGTTGTCATTAATTTATGAAGAAGCCAGAGATTATCATTGTGCTTTTTGTGTATCTGAAAAAATAAGCTCTTAATTTACACTCTTTCTCTCAGGTGCCCTAGTACAATGAGCCTATTAATATAACTTTGTGCAAAGTTCATGAAAGAGAGGTAATGGACCTAAAATGAAAGCTGGAAAAAAAAAACACTTGAAATTTGCCTTTTCATAAGGACTTTGTCCATTAAATATACCAAATTAAAAGTATTATCTTTCAACTTCTGAAAGTTAGCAGTCTTCTGCTTGTTTATGCTAGGTTTGGAGGTGATTTCAGAGCCCTCAGATTTTTAGGGCTAATAATTTGAAACTGTACAAAATTATCAAGGGTCATTCAGCTAATTTCCATTGTTGTAATATGGAGAGTGAAAGTTGACTTCTAAAATGTATGTACTTCTACAGGAAAACCTCACCAGTCTTTGAACTATTGAATGTTCATTAATCCCTGTATCATAGAATGATTGGGAATCATCATGGTTTCCTATCATCCACAATGTGAAAAACTTCTTGGTAACCTGGTTAAGGCAGAATAAAGTAAGAGAGAATAAAATAAAGGTAGTTATTTTATATCATACAATATTTTTTTAATGAAACTGTCATGGCCACAATTTCTTAACATTGAAGACAAATCTAATAATTGGTGACTAGTGTTTCCATGTTTTGAAGTTAGAATTGACAGAGAAATGAGAATGATGTCAGCATGCCTTTTCCTTTCCAGGACTTCCTTGATATGTAGTCACAAGCTCAGGGTGAGATGACCAGCTGGGCCCTTCGGCTGGCTCCTTAGATACCTCAACCTTTCTGGAGAGACTAGAGGATGAATACGACCAAGTGGGCCATTAGGCCCTTCTTGGCCCTGGAAATGCCCACTAAGATCTCTTATCAGCCTAGAGACACTCCCGTGTCAGCTTCAGGCCAAAGCAAATAACTAAGATAGTTCTGAGAACCCCGAAGTCACTTTGACTGTGGATCTAGATGTTAAGCCTGATTATGAGTTGGGGCAGCCAAATATCTTGCTGTAATTGTATATGGTCACTTGTTACTCTGTTTTTATGGATTTGTTTCATCTAACTTTGGTCTTTCCATAAAGCAGTCAAGATCAGTAGCAAGTAAAAAGTACTTGTAATGCTGGATTATTTAGCAGTGATGAATTCTTTTTGATACTTGATGCAGTAATCGCAAAAAATATTAACTTTTAGTTATGGCAGAATTAGTTATCTGGGCAGAATTCTTACTGCAGAGATGATATTGATTACAATAATTGTATTTTTTTTATTGTTGTTCAATTACAGGTGTCCCCATGTTTCCCCCATTACTCTCTCCTGCCCTACCCAACACCCTGCACTGCTTTTTTTAAAAGAAGGTATTCAGTAATTGTTGAGCATTAGAAAAGAAACCACTATTTTTGAACTTGTTTTTCTGATTAAATACAAGAGTAAAAGCAGTGACTGGAGTGCTTATTGAATAGAATATAGCAAAAAAATTATTTTGAGGAAACAAAGTTCCTAAATGCTTTGACAGGTTCTTGACAGCTGCACTTTGGGGCTAGTAACTCTACGCATATAAAGAAATTTAGGTTTTGTAATGCAGTTGCGTTACAATAGGAACTCAGTGAAAAATGTTAAGGAGAACATTTGTTATAAGCTCTGCCATTGAGCTTAGGATGTGAAACTTCTTTAAATCTACAATTTAAAATAACATGTTAACGTATACAAAATTACCTGACCTGAAAGAATATTTTGAAATGGCCCACCTTCTGGTCCTGCTAGCCAGAAGTGCTACAGACTGTAGAAATCGGCTAAGAATGTAACCTCACTCAGGCCAGTCACTCCATAAAAATCCCCCAGCAGTGACTACTCAGCATCCAGCAGACGGTGGCCACACTTGTGATTTCCTCTGCCCACCACAGACCGCATTGCCTAGTAGTTATAAAAGCTAGGTACTGAAGTTCATTTCAACAGAAACGCCAAAATAAAGGGAGGAAACAGCTAGGAGATGTTAGCATTTGTAAAGTTATTGGGGGAGGGAGGGAGGATGAAGATAGGGACCTATGCTAAATTAAACCATCTGGCCTCGAATTATAAAGTTTCCTTATAGCCAAGAGTTTGGATTTTAGTACTGATTGTTTTAAAATATTTTGTAATTTTTGAGTTTCAACCAAGATTGGAATAGCCGTGGCTTTTCCACTTCAGAAATACCAACTTCGAGAAGGATACCCTGTTCAAGAGAAGTGGTCAGAAATACCAGGAAAGCCACCAAAAGCGACTAGAGGCTCCTTTGGGGCTGGCAGAGCTGCTTATGCTGGAAGGCACACAGCGAAGATAAACTCCTTTTAGGCTTCCTCTTCACAGTACTTCTAGAGTTGCACTTAACTTCATTCCACCTTAATTTTTAATACCTCTCTTACCCTAACGTCGTGACAAGATAAAAGCCTCTTGAGTGCAGGCAATGCCATAGATGTACACACTTAGGTCATGCTTTTTGAGAGAGTGAATGAATATTACTAAAAGCAAGGGATGGCAAAACTAAAACTTAACTGAATGAACAATAAACATATTAATGACACAGACACTAAGAACTGCTTGCTGTTGTGTCTGCCTTTCTTTTTCTCCATAACTCTCCCATCCCCATTCTCTACGGCTTCATTCCCTCCCTATCTTCTTATATTGCCCCAGCTTTTCACTGCTCCTGATACAATAGTAAAGCGTAGTTTTACAATATTTATATATTTAATTTTATTTAACTTAAGCAAATTTTTAGTATTTCTGAATTTAAAACCCAGATGAAAGACACAACAGAGTAAAAACCAATTCATGGAATGGAAGAAAATATTTGCAAATCATACACCTGACAAGTGGTTGCTATTTAGAATATATGAAAGACTCTTACAACTCAAGCAAAAGGTAAAATAAAAACCATTTAAAAAGTGGGCAAAGAAGTGAATAGCCATTTCTTTAAGGAAGTTACATAAATGGCCAATAACCACATGAAAAGATGCTCAACCATTGCTAGTCATTAGGAAAGTGCAGACCAAAACCACAACGAGATGCCATCTCACACCTATGAAGATGGTCATTATCTAACAGTAGATAAGAAGTGTTGGCAAGGCTATGGAAAAACTGGAACCCTTATGCACTACTATTGGTGGGAATGTAAAATGGTATAGCAGCTATGCAAAACAGTATGACAGTTCCCTCAAAAATTAGAATTACTATATGATCCAACAATCCTACCCCTGGGTATATTCTCAGAAGGATTGAAATTAGGCCCTTGAAGACCCTTGAAGAGGGTCCTGTTCATAGTAGCATTATTCACAATAACCAAAAAGTGGGAGCAACCTAAGTATCCATCCACAGACGCATGGATTAATATATAAGTAAAATGGAGTATTTTTCAGCCTTTAAAAGGAAGGGAATTTTGACACACACTGCAACATGGAGGACATTTCACTGAGTGAAATAAGCCAGTCAAAAAGGGACAAATACTGGATGATTTCATTTATATGAGGTACCTAGGGCATCTAGTGTAGAATAGCGGTTTCCAGGGGTTGGGGAGAGGGAGAAATGGGGAGTTTACTATTTAATGGGTACAGAGTTTCGGTTTTGCGAGGCGCGAAGTGTTCTGGAGGATGGTGCTGATAGTTGCACAACAGTGTGAGTTTACTTAATGCCATGCTACACTTAAAAATGGTTAAGGTGGTAAGTTCTATGTTGTATTTTACCACAAATTTTCTAAAGCCAAATGAATTAATTTGCATCTGTATCTCAAGACTCCAAAACCCATTTGGTATATTTATTGATAATTTACCCACCTCTTATTTCTAAAAATGTAGTTGAGACATTTTAAAGAAAACAGAACAATCCAAAATTAAAAATCAGCTGCGTTAAAGGCAGATATAGTTAAATGTCAAATTCTAACTGAGAGCTGCCCTGATTCATGTGGCTCAGTTGGTTGGGCATCATCCCACAAACCAAAGGGAAAGGGCTGCCAGTTCGATTCCCTGTTGGGGCATGTCGGTCAGGATGCGTACGATTGAAGTTTCTCTTCTTTTCTTTCTGCCTTCCAGAAAGGAAGAGAAACATCAATGTGAGATAGAAAAATCAATGTGAGACAGAAACATCAATCAGTTGCCCCTAGTATGAGCCCCACTGGGGACTGAACCCCTTAACCCAGATATGTGCCCTGACCAGGAATCAAACCAGTGACCTTTCACTTCATAGGGCGATAAATAAATAAATGCATAAATTTAAAATAAAATAAAAATTCTAGCTGAGAGCTTCCTGAGAGTGATACAGTTCTATCTCATCAAGCATATCAGGAAAAAACTTTCTATTACCAAAATCTAAAAGCAATATATCACATGATTCCTTAGGGAAAACAGTGCTTTCATTAGTGATTTTATAAAAGATGAAAGTAGCTACTACTGTTTGCTGTGTACCAGATAAAAAGAAAGTGCTTTACATGCATTATTGCACTTAACCTCATGATAAAACTGTTCCCCATTCTAGAGACAATGGAAACAAGATTTGCAGATACTAAGTAACTTCCCTGTGATGAACACTGCTAGTTGTCTTCCCAATACCAACGTCTGCCTACTGCCCTCTGCCTTGCCAAAGGAACTGTGATTTTGTTTATTCCTTCCTGAAGCCCAAGAGCTAAGTCTTCATTAGTTTAAACCCGTCTTGGTCTCGCAGTCCTCCTAGAGTTTGGTCTAGGCCTGAGGCTGGTGTGAAACTGGCCCAGTGAATTGTAAAGGGAGTCTTCTGGGTGGCTTCTTTGCCATTAAAAAGAGCACCTCTTTTTTAGGTGATGAAAATGTTCTAAAATTACATGGTGGTGATAGTTGCCCAATTCTGTGAATATACTAAACACCGTTGAATTGTACACTTTCAAAAGGTGAATTTTCTCGTATGACATATATCAATAAGCTGTTATGCAAAAAAAAAAAAAAAAAAAAAAAAACTAAACTAAACTAAAGGAATGTATGATCAGCAAGCCCTTGGGCAATGATTCTTAAATCTGATTGGACATCAGAATTCCCAGTAGAGCTTATTAAAGTAGATGGCCAAGCCTTATCGCAAGCAATTCTGATTCAGTTGGCCTGGAAAGTTCTTGGCATCTGTGTTTAACAAGCTCCATAGGTTATTCTGAGACCCAGCCAACTGTGAGAACCACTAGCTTGCCTCAATAAATATCTATTGTCTCAGCTGTTTTTGGCAGAAACTAAATTGCAATTCATTTTACAGAGTGTGCTGGCTCAGGAACCTAGAAAATAATCTGTATGTGCAGAACACTGAACTTTCATTCTATACAGAAATTCAAGTCTAATGAAAAGCTACTCCACAGTCCAATGAGAGGTGAGCCATCAAGACCAAATTTTTTAAAAATGTAAGCTTCGGGTCACCCGAATGCCTGCCTGGACAGGTATACGTGGAAGTATAAATACTATTCTTTGAAACTTGTTTCAGCAATTTATATGCAATTTTTATTTCACCAATGTTAAGATGCATATTTTTTCCACATATTTTCATCTCTAAATTGGTGCATGCCCTATAGTCATGTCCTAGTATCTTATTAATTATAATTGGCAGCATTTGTGCCTTCCAATTGAAAACATCCTAGATGCAATGAAATAGTGTGTATTTATGCTGTGTTGCAATAGAAAATATATTTCTTACTGTGTATCCTAGTAAAAAATGTTTGAAAAAGACAAATCTGATTGGATAGCACTACTGCCTGATGGGAAAATTCCAGTACACGAGGACTCTTTTACATCAGTGTGCTCCTCAAAGTAAGAATTTTTTAAAAAGCTTTTAAAAGCAAGTCTTATTTATATCTTCCTATGCTGTCATTTGGTTAAATGACATGATTAAAGTGTAATTGCGAGGTCCCGTTGAGCATGGGTCTCAAGCATCCTAACTTTGCAATGCCTTTCTGCCACTTTGAGGGGGGTTTTTCCTCGTAAGGACCAGAGGTGCACCACTAGATAAAAAGTTTCTCTGTCCCTTCTAAATAATTTAGAAGCCTGTTTCTCTTGGTTTAACCTTCAGTTCCCATTCCCACCCTTTGTAACCTATTTCGTGCTAAGGGTTTGTGGAATTTCCATGCTTAATGAGCCATTATAATACGGAATCTAATGTAAGGGTTATCCCAGCGTTTAGAGACTGTATGGCGAATGGGGAGTGTGAATTTCCCTTTGAACAGTATCCTCTGTCAATTTAAAATACTCTTTTGTATACTTGGAGACAACAGTACATTTGTAGTGTTGGCTAGAGTAAAAAACTATTTTTTCAATCCAGTGCCTTGTAATAAATTCATTTTTAGTCTTTACTTATGTTGGTTCCTCTTTGAATTCTCTCAAAGTTGGCCTACACCCTTTTAAAATATGGACAATCCAAATTTTAAAACAGCACGTTAAGGTACAAAAAACACACTGCCTAAACTTAAAAGGAAACACTGCTAGACTATACTATATTTAATACAAGACAAGACTCTGTGTGTGTGTGTGTGTGCACATTTCAAGCAAAAAAAGGAAACATTGAATTTTCTATATTTTCTGTTTCACAAAGAACAACCTCAAGGTGGGGCAATTTAACAGACTTCAGAGACAGGTGTCACAGCTTTGAAGAAAAACACTATTGAGCAACTATATCATATGAGAAACTGAAGTCCAAAACATGCATTTCATAACTTCAATATTAAGACTTGCTATGAGAAAATGTTCTCTGTATCCAACCATAACTGAATAAAACCCATCTTATTTCTCAGGAGACATTTAACTGGGTTTTCGGCTCTATGCAGAATCCTGTGAGAGGCTCAATGGAAATCCAAAGGGTTAATCAAGAAGGTATGACAGTAGCCCCCTGGCTGGGTGGCTGGGTGGGAACATTGTCCCATACACCAAAAGGCTGAGAGTTTGATCCCCAGGCAGGGCACATGCCTAGTTTTTCCTGCTTGTGATCCCCGGTCAGGGTGTGAACGTGAGGCAACCAACTAATGTTTCTCTCCTCTCTCTCCCTCAAATCAATAAACGTATTCTTGGGTGAAGATTAAAAAAAGAAGAAGGCAGAGGAGGAGGGGAACAAGGAAAAGAAGGTATGACAATAGCTAAAGTGAGGGACTGCAGGTCAGCACTGTGCCAGACCCTTCCTTTTTGGCAATGATAGAGCTGCACCCCTTCTACCTCAATGGCTAGAACGCAGGCCTCAGAAAATGTTGCAGACTCTCTCACTGCAAGGTTGAGAACCACTTCCTCAGGCTCCAGACAGCACTGGAACTTGAATTGCTTATGTGGCAACACTACAGTTTATTACAACACCAACTAGAATACTCCCTAAATCACATGATTTTACTGAAAATTTAACCTTGTGGAATATTTGTTTTTTTCTTTTGATATTAGCCATCTTTCTTTTGACCTCTGGAAACCACAGTTGCAGGGTCAGGTCATACTGTCTTCTGTCAGCTTTGCTGCTAGTTATGCTAATTAAAATAAAGAAAAACACCTACTCTTGCCCTGGCTGGTGTGGCTCAGTGGACTGAGTGATGGCTGGAGAACCAAAGGGTCGCTGGTTGAATTCCCAGTCAGGGCTCACGCCTGGGTTGTGGAGCCAGGTGTCCAGCAGGGGGCACGAAAGAGGCAACCACTCATTGATGTTCCTCTCCCTCTTTCTCCATCCCTTCCCTCTCTCTAAAAATAAATAAATAAAATCTTCTTTTAAAAAAACACCTACTTTTGACTATGCCTATTTTAATCTATTCTGCTTTATACAAGCAATAACCTACATTTTAGACAATGTTTCCGTAGGGATTGTGTTAAAGGCAATATCCAGACTGCATGTGCTGTTGATCTGCTTTGAGTGTAAAGTTTGACAGAAAGCCAGAACTATCTGAACTCTTTTAAGGAAACCATGATTACTTAAAATAGAAAATTTAAATTCCTAGTGCAAAGATTTCACTCCTTAGTAACTTGAAGTGGCAGGGAAAATTATTCTTGTCTGCCCAAGGAAAGTAAATTTAAAGCTATCACCCACTTCATCTTGCTTTTACCAAACATTTGATAATATTGTCATGATGATTACATAGTGATTAAAATGCTGAAATATGACCTAAATTATAGTCTTGATAATAATAATCTAGATATGACCTAGATAATAATCTTGGCAATGCAAGATTATTAGGCAAATTTGCAACTGGCCTAACTGTAATCAGAGCACGAGATGCTGCATCACACCAAAAAATATATTTTTGCCGACCTGACCAAAAAAATAGATATAATTTTGATTCATTAACAGCAGGCGGCTATTACTGTGTTAACTGATGTCATTTTTCATATCCTACCTTTGCAACTTTTCTTCTTTCTTGTTTTTTCAATTATATTTTATTGACTATATATTACAGTTGTCCTGATTTTTCTCGCTTTGTCCCCCTCCACCCAGTATGCCCCATTCCGTCAGGCAATCCCCCCACCATTGTTCATGTCCACGAGTCATGTGTATGTTCTTTGGCTACTTAATTTCCTATACTGTACATTACATCCCCATGGCTATTCTACAACTACCTATTTGTGCTTCTTAATCCCCTCCCACAACCCCCTCCCTTCTGGCAACCATCAAAACACTCTCTGTATTCCATGATTCTGTCTCTATACCTCTTGTTCATTTAGTCTGTTTTTTAGATTCAGTTGCTGAGAGATATGTATTTATTGCCCTTTTATTGTTCATAGTTTTGACCTTTTTCTTAAAAAAGTCCCTTTAACATTTCATATGATAATGGTGATGATGAACTCCTTTAGTTTTCTCTAGTCTGAGAAGCTCTTTATCTGATCTTTGATTCTACATGATAGCTTTGCTGGGTGAGCAATCTTAGCTGTAGGTCCCTGCCTTTCATGACTTTAAATATTTCTTGCGAATCCCTTCTAGCATGCCAAGTTTCTTTTGAGAAATCAGCTGACAGTCTTATGAGAACTCCCTTGTAGGTAACTAACTTCTTTTCTGTTGCTGCTTTTAAGATTCTCTCTTTATCTTTAACCTTTGGCATTTTAATTATGATGGGTCTTGGAGTGGGCTTCTGCATCCATCTTGTCTGGGACTCTGTGCTTCCTGCACTTGCATGTCTATTTCCTTCAACAAATTAGGAAGTTTTCTTTCACTATTTTTTCAAGTAGATTTCCAATTTCTCCCTCTTTCTCTTCTCCCTCTGGCACCCCTATGAAGCAAATGTTGAACCTCTTGAAGTTGTCCCAGAGGCTGCTTATCCTGTCCTTATTTTTTTGGATTCTTTGTTCTTATTGTTGTTCTGATTGGGGTTTTTTTGCTTACTTAAGTTCCAAATCATTGATTTGATTTGCAGCTTCATCCACTCTACTGTTGTTTCCCTATAAATTATTCTTTATTTCAATTAGTGTATCCTTCATTTCTTACTGGATCTTTTTTATGCTGCTGAAGTCCTGACTTAATTCCTTGAGCATCATTATAACCAGTGTTTTGAACTCTGCATCTGATACATTGCTTTCCTCCATTTTGTTTAGCTCTTTTTCTGGAGTTTTGATCTGTCATTTCATCTGGGCCATGTTTCCTTGTTTTGGCAGCTTCCCTGTGTTTGTTGCCTTGTATTAGGTAGAGGTGTTTTGAGTCCATGTCTTGGTAGTGTGGCCTAATGTAGCAGGTGTCCTGTAGGGTCCAGTGGCACAGATGCAAGTATCTTGCATCATGCAAGATGGGTACTTGAGGTGCACCGTTCGTGTAGGCTGAGTACATCCTCCTCTTGTAGTTGAGCTTTGGTTACTGTTGGATGATCACTGGGAAGGTTTACCCAGGCCAGTAAGCTGCAAGGACTGGCTGTGACCAGTGACCACCAACCTCTGCCCTCTGTGGAGCATCAGCTGTGCAGGGGCAGGGTGGTGGTGGTTCGACATGGTCTGCAGCTGTCCACTGGGTGTGCAGGCTCTGGGGTCTCCCAGATGGTGCAGGCCAAGGTCAGCCCCCACCTGTGTTTTGCCCAGGGTCACCCTGCCTGAGCTATAAACCAATCTGAGATGGCTGCTACTTGTGCTTGCCTTAGAGATTCCCAGACAGAGCCAAGCTGTGAATCTAGGTTGGCTGCTGGCTGTTAGTGCCAGGCCTGGGCCTCACTCTGTCTAGCTATTGCTTATTTGAGAGGATTTAGAAAGTTGTGCAGTATGAGCCAAGACTAGCTATTCAAATGGAAAAGCAGCTTGAGTAGGCCCATAAGATGGGTAGGGCAGAGTCTCTGGAGATCTCCAAGGATGGTCAAACACTGTTAGCCAGGTTGATGGAGTCTCAAATATGGCACTGGCTTGCTGGGTCTGCGGCTCTGTGAGGGAAGGGTTTAGAAAAGGGACAATGACCTCTGGTCACCTTGATGCCAGACACTTCAGTTTCTCCTAGTATGCCACTGGTGCCTTTCAAGTTGCTACCCTGGTGCTGGAGCTCGGAGGGAGTCAGGGTGAGTAGATGAGTCTGTATGTGGACTTTTTAAGAGGAGCTGTTTGGGGCTCCAGAAGTTTCTTCCTCCGACTCAATGCCTGCTGGTTTTAAAGCCAGAAGTTGTGGGGACTTATTTTCCTGGCACTGGAACCCTGGGCTGGGGGGCCTGGTGTGGGGCTGGGACTCCTCGCTCCCAAGATATCCCTCCTGAATTTTTGTCCATGACACATGTGTGTAGGACCAGCCCATTTAGTGTCTGTGCCCCTCCTACCAGTCTGGATGGATGTGGTTTCTTTAATTCTGTAGTTTTCAGTCTTCCATTCAACTTGATTTCCAACAGTTGAGTGATTGTTGTTTTATATTTTAATGTAATTTTGTTGTGTTTACGTAAATAGATGAGCCATGTCTGCCTATGCCACCATCTTGACTGAAAGTCTTGCAACTTTCCTATAAATCTAAAGTTATTCTAAAATAAAAGGTTTGTTTGTAAAAAGTGAAAAGAATTAACCGTGCATATATAATTTACAGGATGTCTTCCTCAAACATAATTTACATTAAAAAGATCAGGTAATGTTTGTTTACTATAATCCAGAAATACAATGGAGTTGCTTAAAGTAAATTGTGATCTTCCAAACAACTGTAGTAATAAAACATACCTTTTATAGGCTGTTTACAATAGGTCAGGTACTGGGCCACAGAGTCTACCAGTATATCCAGTAGCTCATTTCATTCTTACAACAGTCTTAAGAGATAGACAGTATTATGCACATTAGATGATAAAAGGGACAGCTTGTTTCCACTTTATATCACTCTGATCATCTAGTCCAAATGCTTCAATTTTTGAAACTAGAGTACAAATAAGGTGACTTATCTCTTGAGTCACATTAATAAAAGCACATTTTAGCCTTGGCTGGTGTGGCTCAGTGGATTGAGTCCCAGCCTACAAACAGAAAGGTCTCTGGTTCAATTCCCAGTCAGGACACATACCTGGTTTGTGGGCCATGACCCCAGGAGGGGGCTCTCTCTCTCCAGAGGCAACCACACATTGGTGTTTCTCTCCCTGCCTTTTTCCTCCCTTCCCCTGTCTAAAATTACATAAATAAATAAAATCTTTTTAAAAAAGGAAAAAGAAATTGCTGTAGGAACTGAAAGTGACTAAGAGGTATTGACTGGTGTCAAGTAAATCAGTTGTCTGGTAGAAAAAGAGAATGAAATTATTCATTTATCCTAGAAAATAACCTAGGTATGATTATAAGCTACCAGCAGTCAGATTTAAATAAATATCAAGACAAAAATTCTCCGTACCTCAGTCTGGCATCCGTAATATGGGTACAATACTTGCCCTCTCTAGAGGTTGTTGTGAGCATTTAATGAGGTAATCAAGCAAAGATTTCAATGAATATATACAAGGTTGATTTGAGTGGGTTAGATTAAAAGGCTTTTAGATTTTCTTAGATTTTTCTGATTCTGTTGTTATATAGTTATGAGGCCAAGTTAAGCCTCATACATTGTCTAAAAAGTAATGGTGTTTTCATATTATCCAATTCAATAACTCCTACTTATCCTCTAGGTTTCAGCTATTCCTGACAAATACCTTCTCTAGGCAACCCAAATTATTTCCCTTTCACTCTTCCCTCTCGCCGTCTCATCGTATCCTTCTCTTTCATAACATTGTCACAGCTCTTCACTGTCCTACAAGAATCTCAGTGTAGCATGCATTTAGTCAAATTATTTTTGTTAAAAAATAATCATAGCAAAGTTAAATTTAAAACATCTCTTAAAAATTAATCTATTACTAATGGCTCAGCCACTTTGAAAAGCAGTTTTGCAGCTTCTTGTAAAGGTGAGGCATACACTTGCCATATGACCCAGCAATCCCACTCCTAGGTATTTAACACAAGCTAAATGAAAACCTATAGTCAAACACAGATCTGGATGTGAACATTTATTTGTAATCGTCCAAAACGGGAAACAACCAAATGTCCCTTAGCTGGGGAAGGATAAACTATCTTACATCTTTTTTAAAAGAACAGATTATTTATATATGCAGGATAGATATATCAAAAGAATCATGCTAAGTGAAAGAAACCAGGCTTAAAAGGTTATACACTGAATGAATCCAGACATATGACACTGGAGCAAAGACAAAATTACACAGACAGAAAATAGATCAGTGGTTACCAAGGACTGGGGGAGAGGGTAGGTGCTGTCTACAGACACAGGGAACGTTTCAGGAACCCAGAGTGCCGTGTACCGTGTATACATGTCGAAACTTGCCTAACTCTCTGTATACTTTAAAAGGATGAATTTTAGTGTTATGTAAATACCTTAATAAGAAAGTGGGAAAAAAAATTTAAATATTTTGCTTGCTTTGTAGGTTTCCTAATATTCTTTGCTTGCTTACAATGTAATTATTCTATCATCAGTTCAACATTATCTTTGTTGTCATGATGTCTGTCCCATAGATACTTAACAGATCCAAGGGCCTACTAAAAGCAGTCCAAGGTAAATGGCAGTGTTCCTTCTATTTATTTCACTCATTTCTGCTGGTAACTGCTGGACTACAGCATAACCCTATTTTGAAAACAGTAAAACCATATGGACCCTCTCAGAGATTTGTTGGATTGAGTCAACAACCTTTCAAGAGTCATGTGGCAGTTTCCTATTTTTTTCTCTTCTAAATCACTACTGACTGAGCAAGTAATGTATTTACAATAGTTATGCCTCAATTCTATTTTTAATTATCCAGGGAAGTTCCCAGAGACCTGCAAATAATGGAGGTTAGTGACTTTGATGCTACCTGGGTGAGAACCTGTGGGTTTGTAAGTGAAATAGGCAGTAATGAAGAGTAAAACCAGGTCAGGGAAGAACATTTTAGGAAAGTGAACAGGAAAAAAGGGGAAATGCCTTATTTCCCCCCTCTCTCATCTAAAGCAGCGTGTTTTCCTCCCATATTTCACTCCCTTCAGGATATGGGTAACTCCAGAATGCAACTTTCTCGACTGACTGCATGTATCTGCAACATTTCACGATGACAAATGAACTAGCATTTGACTATCCATCTGAAACATGAGGCCATCTTGACACACATGAAATTGTCACCCTTTACCTAGAGTTCCCCATTTCAGGAACTGTGACTATCGTCAAGAAAAGCTTCATTTGCCATGATGAGATCAGTGCTCAACTCAGCAGAAAAATAAATTTTAATGAAAATAAAACCCAAAATCCAGGTAATGTTTTTTATACCCCATACTGGTATTACTGGAAATCAAAAGCTCTTCATCACTGATTTGTAGTCAATAGCATTTATTGGGCAGAACCAGGAAAAAAAAAATCACATTCTTGAAAAAACTGCTTCTGCAGTGCCAATCTTACTGCTACCCGACTTCAGTCAACCTCCTAGTTTAGCATTTTAACATTGAGCTTCTCCTGCAAAATTATGGTCAATTTACATTGTCTAAAAGACACTTTTAAATACCAAATATTCAAGAAGCTGAATTGATTTTGGTTGTCTACTAGTGCTTTGGGAGTGTTAGCTGCAGATAACATAATCAGAGCAAGGGGTATTTAAGTCAGAACCTCTATGACAAATTAAGTCTTTTGGAGCCACCACAGGAAGATACAAATGCGTAGTCACTAAAATCCCATGGTAATGTTGGCCAATAACCGTATGCACGCTTCATGGAAAAATGAGACTGGTTATATGTTAGTAGTTCAGCATAAATTGTGATTACTAGACTGGGTTCTTGACCCAGGTAGCTGAGTTCTTCATGCACCTGAGATATAGGGGGTGAATTATCAATAGGATTAACTACAGAAAAGGTGAGGGTGTAACCAAAAAACTTAGTTATTTTGCACTGCCTATAGAATGGTTTTAAAAATTCAGATAAGCCTTACAGATAATCTGTGTTTAACTCCTGAACCAGGCTGCCTTTCCAATTTTTCATATTCTAAAGCCACACCACAATTCCTGGAACAAATGACAAGATCCAGAGATCTTTACATAAAATACACCACTTAGGAAACTAAAAAAATGCTTTTAAAGCACCAGTTTGTCCTAAGTTTTATAAAGCCACTCCAAGTTTAATTAAAACAAGAAAATGCACTTATAATAGAAACTCAGTAGAGTAAGTAAACTATTCATGAATGTAAAAGTAGTTTGTAGTGACCACCAGTAGATGGTGCTGAAAACCAGGCAATTATCTTGACAAACTTACACATAACTTGGGTTTTATGAAGAGAAAGCATGCATCTAGATAAACTCATTTTCTGGACTCTGGCTGCCCTCCTTCCTAGCGAGCTAATTCATTTATGGGGAAGGCTAAACAGTTGATCCTATACTAGTCAACCCTACAGCTGTGTCAAACTTGCTTTTACATCAGCTACTGGCTTTTTGAAAGAAATCTCTCATCAGTATAAAAGAGGGGAGAGTTGACACAAGAGGCTGTGAAGAAATCTTTTAGTACTCTACACCCCTCCATCCATGGTTCAGCTAGTGGTCAAGTCTATTTGAGAATTAAACAAAAACTTCAAATTGTAATCAACTTGAAAATTAGTAGGATACTTTCCATTCACATAACCCTAATCTCATAGTACAAGGTGTTTTGATTTTACCACTTTCAGCTGGACACTATGTATCATCTTCAGGTTCATAGAATGCCTTAAGTGTTGAGTAACCTACCAGCTATCAAAACCCAGAAATTTAGATGGCTGTCAGACCTAAGTAAACATTCTATTAACTTATAATCATATTTCTCCCTTGTAACTAACCACATGCAAATCACCAAATCATTTTACTTTGTGTCCAACAAATTTTAGCAACTTTGTAACCTCTAGTGGTACAATGTTATTTAAGTGGCACCAAGCAAAACTTCCAAAGCCATGTCCTTCCCCCTCATTTAGGTTAATTTACCACTATACCTTTTGAGACTCTGAGCTTAACCTCCTATGTGGCAGTGTTCTTTTATCCAACTTGGCTTTAGATAAAAATTCCTATTGGAAGTGAACTTTTAAATATTTAAGTGACAAAACACACTCAACTTCCAGTATCATTTATTTTTCCTAGAATCTAGATACAATTAACTAGCAAGACAGTGCTCAAAACTATTTAAGCCTCACTTGAAGTTGTTTAAACTAGCTCATCACTTGTAAACGTGAATTCACATTTCAGTAAAAATTCAAACTAAAATTTGACATTAACAAATTTACTTGTGATGTTAACTACAAATTTTTATATGAAACACGTGGACTTTTATATACCAAAATTTGGCCTTTACAAACTAACTTACATAGTTACTTTGCCTATTTGTCCCAACCTACTTAGTGTTGCACCAGAGCGACCCCCCCCCATAGCTTTTACTACATAAACAGATTCCTCCTACATAAACAGGACAAAGTGAAAAAATTCCCACCCACCAAAAAAAAAATTCCCTAACAGAATTATTCATTTCTAAATTTTCAGCAGATATAAAGATATAACACCAGAAATAGGTTATGGGCTACTCTTAAAAGTCTTTTAACCTAAAGTTACAGTGTTGACCAAAAGAACACACAGGTTTCTCATTAAACTGTTTTAATGGGTCTCAAAATTCTGTGACAGATTTTGGTCAAGTTGTTTCCATTAAAAAGTACTGATTTTAAAAACTAATAACTTAAAAACTGCCACACACAAAAAAACCAAATGGTCCACAAAACATTCTCCTTTCCTTCTGAAGGTTTTACGATGCATTGTAATCATTAACCAGTCCTTTACTATTAAACTTAAGTGGCCAATTGAGACAAACAGTTCTGAGACCGTTCTTCCACCACTGATTAAGACTGGGGTGGGAGGTGTTAGGGATAATATTCATTTAGCCTTCTGAGCTTTCTGGGCAGACTTGGTGACTTTGCCAGCTCCAGCTGCCTTCTTGTCCACTGCTTTGATGACACCAACAGCAACTGTCTGTCTCATGTCACGAACAGCAAAGCGGCCTATTAAAAGAAATTGTGTATCATTAGAAACACTTGATACACCAAAAAAATTCTTTTTCATCTTAGGTAAAATTTCTAATCACATTAATAGCCATCCTTACCCAGAGGGGGATAGTCAGAGAAGCTTTCAACACACATGGGCTTGCCAGGAACCATATCAACAATGGCAGCATCACCAGATTTCAAAAACTTCGGGCCATCTTCCAGCTTTTTCCCAGAACGACGATCAATCTTCTCCTTCAGCTCAGCAAATTTGCAAGCAATATGAGCTGTGTGACAATCCAGAACAGGTGCATAACCAGCACTGATTTGGCCAGGATGGTTGAGGATAATCACCTTGGGAAAAAGATTGGCATTTACTGAATCTGACAATTAAGGATCTGGAAGAGCTTGACAAGAACAAAATTATTCCTTAAAGGGTTACCTGAGCTGTGAAGCCAGCTGCTTCCATTGGTGGGTCATTTTTGCTGTCACCAGCCACATTGCCACGACGAACATCTTTGACAGACACGTTCTTGACATTGAAGCCCACATTGTCCCCAGGAAGAGCTTCACTCAAAGCTTCATGGTGCATTTCAACAGATTTGACTTCAGTTGTAACATTGACTGGAGCAAAGGTGACCACCATGCCAGGTTTGAGAACACCAGTCTCCACTCGGCCCACAGGGACAGTACCAATACCTAGTAAGTTTAGGGCACAGTCATAAATACCTCTGTAAAAGAACTGCAGCCACCCATCCAAATTATGTTCTGATGTTTAACATACCACCAATTTTGTAGACATCCTGGAGGGGCAGACGCAGGGGCTTGTCAGTTGGACGAGTTGGTGGCAGGATGCAATCCAGAGCTTCAAGCAGTGTGGTTCCACTGGCACTGCCATCTTTGCGGGTGACCTTCCATCCCTTGAACCAAGGCATCTAAAACACAACATTGTCAATTACTTACTGTTACCTGCCCAATCCCGTGCCCCCCTCCTCAGGGTTTTTATCAAACATTAAGTCACTTACGTTAGCACTTGGCTCCAGCATGTTGTCGCCATTCCAACCAGAAATTGGCACAAATGCTACTGTGTCAGGGTTGTAGCCAATTTTCTTAATGTAGGTGCTGACTTCTTTAACAATTTCCTCATATCTCTTCTGGCTGTAGGGAGGCTCAGTGGAATCCATTTTGTTAACACCAACAATCAGCTGTTTCACACCCAGTGTGTAAGCCAGAAGGGCATGCTCACGGGTCTGCCCATTCTTGGAGATCCCTGCTTCAAACTCACCAACGCCAGCAGCAACAATCAGGACAGCACAATCAGCCTTGAAAAGAAAACAGGGCCATATCTTATTAAATGAGAGGGCTTCAGAACAGATAAGACTAATGTATAAGACAGGTACAAAAATTAACTCGACAAACCTGAGATGTGCCTGTAATCATGTTTTTGATAAAGTCTCTGTGTCCTGGGGCATCAATGATGGTCACGTAATACTTGCTGGTTTCGAACTTCCATAGGGAGATATCAATGGTGATACCACGCTCACGTTCAGCTTTCAGTTTATCCAAGACCCAGGCATACTTGAAGGAGCCCTTCCCCATCTGTAAGGATTAGAATAGTTACTTGTTAACTAAAACAGGCTCCAACTCCATCTTGGTATTTCTTACCTCCACTACTTAAAATATAAATTCCTGATTCAAACGCTAAACCTAGTGGCTTTACCGTACTCTCAGAACATGGTTACAGATCAAAGGCATTCAACACAAACATTACCTTATTGCAACTTGATCAGTATGACATTCAGGTAGACTGGAGACTCAGGAAATTACCACTTAATGTACTTCGCGGCAGACCTACTTTAATTATCTACGTTATTGTACCTACCTCAGCAGCCTCTTTCTCAAATTTTTCGATGGTTCTCTTGTCGATCCCACCACATTTGTAGATCAGATGGCCAGTAGTGGTAGACTTGCCGGAATCTACGTGTCCAATGACGACAATGTTGATGTGAGTCTTTTCCTTTCCCATTTTGGCTTTGATTTAGTGGTGGTTTTCTCGACACCTAAATTGGGGAAAGAAATTTTAAAACCACGGTCCCACAGGGTTGTGAACAAACCACGGTGCAAACCAAAGGGCAAATTCCAAAGAGAATTATACCCAAAGCCAAGCTGGCCCAACTCTCGTCTCCACCCACCAAGTGTGGGGAAACTCCACCGCCTAAGTCCCCTCCCCCAACCCGAGGCTCGGCTCTCCAGGCCACGAGGAGACATCGAGTTGCCAAGACGGCGCCCGGCACACGGCGGGGTCACAGGAAGCAGCCCAGGGGAAAAAGGCCCTTTTCCTTTGTGCGGGTGACTCACCCGCCCGCTCCGGGCCGCCGCGTCCTCCATTTTGAGTTCCCTTCACAGGGCCGGCGAGCGGCCATCTTTCCGCGCATGCAACTGGTGCCGAGCGGGCGGGCTGGCCTTGCCGCCGGGGTGGGGCGACAGGCCCAGGGCGGCGCGCGCCCAGCCCCAGAGCCGCCCGGCCCACTCTCGGGACTCTCCCGATCCGACTCGGGAGCCCCACCTCGCCGGACATGTGCGCCCGGCCGAGGGCCCGGCCGCCGCCCTCCGTTTCTCACGGCAGCCCACACCCCGACGAGCGCTAAAGAGCCCATGCTGCCGAGATCCCAACCAACCTCAGCTAAACTAGTTCGACGGGAAGTAAAAACGTAAATGCGTTTCCTGGAAATTCAAACGGGCCGAGGCTTCGGGGTAACAAGATATAAGAGGTGCGAGAGGAATCGCACGCGACAGCGGGCACGGCGCGCAAGCCAGGCCTCAACCCAAGCACGAGGTTTAAGGGAGCCTGAAGAAAAGCGCAAGGCCTCGAACTCTCCCACCCACTTACGACCCGAAATTCGGGGTCAAGAACAGCGCAAAGTGGCTCAGTGGCACCGCGGGAGAGGAAGGCACGCGAGGGCCGCCGCCCGCTCCAGAAGGCCAGGCCGCGGAAGCCACGCCCGGTACTCACCTGTGTTCTGGCGGCAAACCCGTTGCGAAAAAGAACGTTCAGGAGGACTACGGCACTTATATATGGCTCTCCCCCACCCTGGGGGAAGTGGGCGGAGCCATACACGACACAACTTTCCCAGCTTACCCCGCGCCACCTCCACCAGGCACTAGTTCAATCACCGTCCCCTCCCCCACCGTTCGGGGACTATGGGTGATGTGCAGTCGGCCCACTGAAGAGCACACGTCGCCTTGCGCATGCTCCTCTCGACCCCGATGACGAGAGCGAGGGGTGGTGCCCGGGACGGGCAATCCCTGGATTCTAGGTTACTGGGAGTTTACCGACGGTCCCTGGGATTCCCCGAGGCAAAGGCGAGTCCTCCTTTTGTATGAATTACTTTCAGCAGCAGCTGGGGGGTGGGGCGGCGAGGAGACGGTGGGGCTGGGACGCCGAGAATCTTTCGTCTACTGTTTCTGGTTTAACTGCAAAGATGACCTCGAGATTGGGGTATCCCATCATCCTGCAATACACCTTCCGTCTTCACCTTTGTCTTTTCGCAGGTCGGGAACAAACCTTTTGAACTGCTTCCTCTTCTGGGCGCACAAGCCACTGGGGCCTGGCTCCTCCTCCCACCCTCCGCCCGCGCCTTGCCCTCGGCTCCCGGCCCGGCTGAAGAGGAGTACAAGGACCTGGGACCCGGGGCAGCGGACCTGGAGAGCAGGAGTTGTCATTCCGTGGCCGTGAGCCGCACGACTATGCTCTTGGAGTGGCCACTTGTCCTGTTCCAGTCCAAGCCCATGTATCTGCTTTTATCGAAGTCCGTTTCCCGCATTCACCATGGTACCCCACACGTCCAGTTTTCCAGTTTAGGATAGACTTGAGTCTTGAAGTTTGCTTTACTTCAAACTCTAGTGTTCTGTTTTAAAAATTTTTATTTTTTTTCCATTACAACTTAGCCCCCTTATACCTCCTCCCCAACAACTCTAGAACTCGAGTTTTACTACACTAAAAGGACCCTGAGTGTGTGTCATCCTCGGTTGTACACTCATTTGATTGCAAGCATGAAAAATGTAAAGACGTTTCAAATTCAGTCTTTCCACATGATCTCATGTAGAGACAGCATCAGCAAAGTTATCCACCCAGTGTGAAATCGGTGCTTCTCAAAAGTCGTCTATATATTTAAATAAATGAGTTCGTTTTCTGCCGTCCTATTGGTTGTAACTGAATATTAGCATAAATCTAGGGCGAAACTGGATGAGGCCTTTTTGGTTGCCAATCTGGGCAGACTCGGAGAAATGCCCCTCTTGTTTTAATGAGCTAATTTCTAGATCATTATGTCTTTTTCCATGTGTAGGACATCTTTGAAACATCTCCAGTCTATTGACAAATACTTGAGAACATACTATGTGTCTAGTACTAAACAGCTCTGAAGCATGTACAAAAGAAATACTTCTTTTGGAGAGGAACCACAATCAAATTGGGAGAGGAAAACTAACAATTGGGAAAGCAGTTAAACGTGTGCTTCCTTTCTATTTCATTGTAGAATATAGTTCTAGTCCTAGCTTTCAGTTACTTATCACAATCCAAATGTCTTTTAGCTTTCTTGTTTTACCACTCTTTGTAGATAGATACAAACTTCTAAAAATTAGGTTTTTCTGTTTCTTCATTAAGAGTTGTCTAGCCTGCTCAGTTTAACTTTGAAATAGTTTTCATAAAAGAAACTGGGCCATATAAAAGTTTCCCTAGAATATATATATTTTTTTCCCTAGCAACAAAAGCCTTTTCTGTATGTGTTTTCCAACTTCTCTGCTTTCGGAAATTCTTTTTTTTCGTTGCATTTTCCTAGTAACCTACTGGGCAGCACTGAGTGGATGCTCTTATTAATGTCGCGGTAATGGCCCAGACTTACTGTGTGTTGGGGAGGGGTGGGGGGCATCTCGAACCATATGATGAGTTAACGTTGGACACTGGCCACAAGCCTTAACTCGGGGCAGAACTCACACTTCTACTCTTCGTCGGGGTCGGGGCAGGGCGGGAACGCGGGTCGCGGAGAAGCCGGTAGTGCGCGGCGGTCCCCGGCTGGCGAGGCGGTCGCAGGGCGGGCCATGCCTCGCGCCTGCTCCCCGGGCCAAGCGAGCTGCTTTTCGCCAGCGCTCCGACACCTGCGGACGGGCCAGGACCTGCGGCAGGTAGCCGGGCAGCTCAGGGTCCCTAGCTTGGGTTCCCGAAGAACAGAGATCGTCCGGGCCCGCCCCCGGACCCGCCCCCACCTTGAGGTCACTTTTCTTTGGAACTACGACGGCGGAAGGAAGCGCCCGGGAGGAGGGAGAAAACCCCACGTGGCTCAGGGTGGGGGTCGGTTTTCGTCACGGTGGCTTGGCCTCTGGCAGAGTGAAGCAATTTTTTTTCTTAAAGCTCCTTCTCCAGACCCTATGTTTTGAACATAATCCTAGCTCATTTTCCCCCACGACTTTACAGCAGATACAGTGTGCCTTTTACTAACTTAAATGTTAAAACAGTAACGTTGTTGAGACTTGTAAATGTGCTTTTGGGCCATAATGTCGTATTTTGCTTAAGATCTTTCTTAAATTTGCTCATGCTATTTAGAGTAGCGAACTGTTAAAAAGGAAACATCTGCACCACTTTTAAAAAAAAATATTTTAGTTATTAATTTACTTAGTAAAAGACTGAACAGTAAGTAATAGTTTTCCGATGTCTCTAATTGTGATTCAGCAAGCAATCTCTCAGTTTTGGCTAATCACTCTATTGGGCCTAATTTAAAGCAGCTTTATGTAATTACATTTTGCTGAGGTTTGTCACGTTTTCATCTTGCCTGAGCCAATTAAAAATGATTTTTAAAAGGATATTTTAGAATATGATTAAGTCGAGGAATATTGCTTGAGAATTCCAAGTAAAATGGTATTTCAGGGTGCCAGGCATTGTTCTAACATTTGCAGTATTTAATGTAATGCCACTACCCTAATTCTGCATGTGGAGAATCTATAAGACAACCGATAGTTATGCATAATAAGCAAATGCAGACATACATTCTTTTTTAAAGTTTCACCTTTTATTGCACAAAATGGTGAAATACAATATGTCACCTTGCTTTTTTCACTTAATACTTCTTGGAGATATTTCTTGTGAGAACATTGGGGCTCAGCAGAGCAGCTTTGGAATCCAGGAATATGACTAGAGGACTAATTCTAACTTTTTCTAACAGGTCTCAGCAATAGCACTGAAGTCAGGAAATCAGGGATTCAGTCTTGCCTATGCTGCTTACAGAGCTATGAGCCACTAGTTCTTGGTTTCTCAGTGCATCTCTAAAAGGGCTGATTCAACCTTAGCACCTACCTCACAATTCTAATATGCAATGACAGGAAACCACATGGAGGTACTCCGTTATCTACTTAAAATCATGTTTCTATAAGCTTTTTGGACAGCACCTGCACTCAGCTGGTTTGCCTTATGACATTAACTTGACACAGTAAACAAACTCGTTGGTATCCTTTTATTTCTAAAAGCTTGAAATAGGTAATACATATATGTAGTAAAAAATTGTACAGAGATTATAGCATGAAATGTTACTCTTCAGGGGTTGAGAGAAAGTCTGAAGAATGTTCCAGGAAGTGTAAGGAATCTAAAGGCATTACTATTACTGCTCTCATGATTCCAAAGCCAGTGCTTACCAGGATAGATGCCCTCTCATTTGTTATGAAGGAAAGAATACTTTTCTCTCACTATTTTTTATGAATCCATGTTTTATAGACAATATTCATTTCAGTATTTCTATGTCTTTATAGGTGACTTAGTGGAAAGAACACTGAACTAAAGAGCTCGAGTCTATTCCCAGCAATTTTCTTTATTAGCTGTGTGATCTTGAATAAATCCCCCTTGAGCTTATTATCCTACTGTAAACTAATAACACCTATTTCACAGAACTGACCATTAGGATGAGATGAGAAAATGTACCTGAAGATGCAGACCATTTTTACACATGTTAGTGTCACTGTAGTTAGAAATAATCATTAGCTCTTTCAAAAACCAAAAAAGAAAAATCTGTTCGAAATATAGAGAAATTTATTAATTGTCATTATTCATTCTAAAAATGAGTACTATTTGGTCTGTTTCTTTTAAGTGTAAAACTATAGATTCACCAATACATGTGACACTGTGTGTGCGTGTGCGTGTTTTGTAAATGGCAGGGTCTTTCAAATTATGGCATTCAGTGTATGTTGGTAGTTGTACAGGACTTCAGAGGGCAGTCCTTATTTATCCATTCATCAACATTCACTGAACAGCTACTGTGTGCGAAGCACTTAGCTAGGCATTGAGGAGACAAAAAACAATCACTGTTGGATGGTGTCTGTGGCAGAGCCCTGGAGAAGTAGGGAGGGGGAACGCTAACGGTACGTAGATGATTGCAGGGGAGTGTGAATGCTGGAACCAGGGAAGCCTAGGCTGCTTTTGAGCATTCAGGAGGGGCCTAGATGGGGGCGGGGGGCGGTTGCGGGTGGAGGTGGGAGAATATGAGGACAGCAGAAGGGAAGCTTCTCACGAAGAGAGGGTCTACCTTGCTTGGTCAGAAACTGGGAGTCAGCCAGTGGATGGAAACCTTGGAGCATGAGTGTTCTGGGTGACTCCCCTGTGGAAGATGGGAGGGAGAGCTTACTCCTGCCTGGATTGGAACAGAGAGCAAGGCATATCTGTCCTAGGGACCTGTGAAGAACATTGGGGCTTCAGAGATAGACGGACCTGGGTCCAAGTCTCAAATTCATCACTTAACTGGCTGTGTGGCTCTGGGTAAGTTGTGTGGCCTCTTTAAGCTTCAACTCCCTCATCCGTAAAAAGAGTATGACAAAACCTATCCCGTATGACTACTATGAAAATTAGATGAGAAAAGTATCTCAAGTGCTGAGCATTTTTTGCACCAAGTTAGAACAATAATTGGCAGGAAATTTGTGATTTTTCCTTTTTGTTTGTTTTTTACCCTCTGTGTATATAGTACAGAGCTTTCAGAGTGAAGCAGTTCAGCAGTCCAAAAGCCTTCACTCAAATCCCTGTTGGCTCTGCCACAGCTAGTGATGGGATGTTTGGCAAGTGATTTAACCTCCCTAAGCCTCAGATGTCATGTCCATA